GCTCTTAGTGTTTATTACTTGGACTAGTTTGATACTCCGGTCTGGATGATCATATACCTAGTAGCTTATAATAATAATAGATTTGTGGTGATACATAAAAATATTCAGGGGTTAATGTCTCTACAACAAAGTGTAAGTGTGTATTCATAAGTACTATGTTTGTTGTGTTTGTTATAATACCTACCTATGTTTATTGTATATCAACTACATATGCTTGATCGTACTAGATAAAAACAAAAATATTATAGATTGAGAAAAAAGGTTAGTAAATACTTAAACGTAATTAAAATAAGATATGTATAGGATGAATGTACTATATAAACATAATAATATATAATCGGGTATTAATAAAAAAATTACATTTAAAATAGAATATAAAAAAAACACGTATAACTGACCAAATACCAGTAATGTTCAGTATTTAAAAAAAGCTTTTAATTTTGTTAGGTATCTAATATAATATGTTATCTGTGGTAATATCTAAAAAAATTAAAGAACTGTCTTACCTGACTTCAGCAAAGCGTTGTTCAGAAAACGCGAGGGCTCTTGAAGTAAGTGCCCTCCAATTAGTACGCCCTTCTCACTTGCACTTGTGGATAGTTTTTAAACGTACCCTTACAGTGACTTTGTGATTTGTTGTCTTGTCACATTCGAAAGACACGAAAGAATATTAGATATAGAATATAGATATATACTTTAGCAAAAAATGTCAGACCGAGGCACATAGCGAAATTAGGCCTTAGCTTAACAATCTGCAATTTTGCCAAGCATAAGAGGAAAGTATACACTCTGTACTGAGGAGGTAAAAACTATCGCTTCTAAGAATATCCTTGGATTCTTGTCCCTTACAGGTCTAGGTCTAGGTAACGAACTTTGAAAACGGGCGAGCACAATAGATCTATGCAGGTCTCAGTGTTACAGGTCTTAGCCCCTGACAATAGCCCGAAACCCCCAATAAAAATTAGACTCAGGTAAACTTTTTGTTTACATATTTGAACCACCAAGCAATTTACTTTATAAGCTATGTTTGTTTCTCACCGATCAATTAATAAATTATAGAATAAGAGGCATGGTATCTTTAGTTCTCTGGAATAGCAACATATTAGTGGATTCACGGACGCCATATGATATCGGGATGTCCAATCAATCTCAATCAATAAAAAAAAAATGCTGTTCATACAATCAAAAAAAAAAAAAAAAAAATAAAAAAAAAAACAAAACCAATAAAAAAATATACTGCACAATCAAGACAACGGTTACTACTTACTACAAAGTGGACCGTCAGTTTGTTTGGTTTTCCATTACAGCTTTCATCAAGTCAAAAAAAAAATATATATCGTGCGAGAATCAAACAAGAGGCTAATAGAAGTAAGGCGACGTGCTAAACCGCTAGACCATCGACGCTTTCATGTGTATGATCAATAGCTACTTCCCATGATCGAGAATTACGCAGTTGAACGGTCATTTTTAATGAGTTAACACTTCTTTGTTCTGAGAGGAAATCCTGCTCGATCCGCATTAGAGTGAATCGCAATTAGTCACATAATTAAATGCTATCGGTAATTTATATTAGCTAGAGCATCCTCAGCATTTTCATTCAGCATAAAAAATTCTAATTGGCTTATCTCGATTACATGATCTATTAACTCGATAAAAATAAACTTATCGATATTTACCCAATCCAATTCATGACTATATAATATCACATTTATATAAATTACGAAATATTATTTATCAATTTGTTTATTTCTGTTAAACCTTGCCTAACATGTTTTATATTTATATTAGATGTATAAACAACTTAGTCGTCCGACAGAGACGACATTGACATTAACATATAGTTTTTTTTTTAATTTACAGAACTAGTGTAAATGGTACATATTTTATAGTATAGCTACTCGCCCCGGCTTCGCCCGGGTGTACATGTATTACATATAAGCCTTCCTCCAGAATCATTGTACCTTATAAAAAAAACCGCGTCAAAATCCGTTGCGTAGTTTTAAAGATTTAAGCATACATAGGGACGGACAGCGACAGCAAATTTGTTTTATACTAGGTAATGAAGTAAGTTATACTAATTTTTAAATATGTCGCTATTATAAAATAAATAGGTTTTTCTTTGTATACGAAATATGATTACTGTAGCAATTCAGTAGGTCGCCAAAACAAGGACCAAATAACAATTGAGTAAAGTTTCGTACAATTGAATACTGCACGGTTTCAATTCGGCCTCATGCGTTGTATTCAGATAACGGCCGCAAAATTTCGAATGTTCACATAATACCTTCATCTTTATTTAAGGGTTTCTTTAATAGAAGAAAATGGAAACTCGTAGAATTGTAAAAAGCGTGGTCCAAGTGACAAACATTGAATATACAATAACACAACATATTTTTGTAATTAATAAAGTGTTTATTTCGTTGTTGTAGCTATATTAAAATTATTTATATGGCAATTATATAAAATCAGTAAAAAGTCTTCTTATTTTTGAGTAATTATTACATTAAAACTGTAAAAAAATATGACATTTACTGTAAACTCCAACATACAAAATTTCTACAATTGGTGTGAAATAAATATAACGATATATGGTAATATTTAGAATTACATATTTTTATTACTACAATTATAAAATAAATAAATTATATTGTATCACATTCAAAATATTCCATTATATATCGCAGTCACACACAAACCTTATGCATTATTGTATTTATTCTTATTTTCAGGTATAATTTAATAATTTGTGAAATTCGCTCTCTGCTCATAATTTAGACCGTATAGCGAAGAGTGCCGTTGGAACGCGGTCTCAATTATTAAACAATGCAATCGCCTGACGCGCTCGGCACAACCCTAGCGTTAATACTTGAGTACCTAGTAGGTATGTGGGTCAGATACGTGGGAACTGAGAATGTTTGCCCAGGGTTGCCGATCTTAAGACTTTTTGCTCCGTCCAAGAAAAACAAAAGTGTCGTGTTTGAACTGCAATTGATTTCGCCAATATCCCTATATCGTCATATCCTCAAGAAGCGGATGAAGTTATATAAGCGTATACAATGACTAAACAAGACGCATGTAACTGTAAACTGATAGTAAATTTATGTAAAATTTGATAAACTTCCTTTAGTCAATATCTCGTACCAAGATATTTTTACTTTATGAGATGCCAAATACTAACGTGCCGACTGGTGGTAAGTGGCAACCATCGGCGATTATATATACATGAATTGCACAACGTACTTCACATCCATCCTGACCTTTGATACCTGTCATATCGGTCAAAAGTACTGGTCAGTAATGGGGACTAAAAACCCCATGCTGGCAATGATTTATGTCAGGTCGACCTCGACGCTATTTCCCCCAGATATAATCCTGGTTAATCCCTAGTAATTCCGCCGCGATGGGCTAACTGATCTAATTTCATACTCATCCTATCACACCATTGGTGTTCTGCCAACCAATGCCATTCACATAAGCAAGTATACGATTTTATAATTATCCAATTACCTATATCTCTCATGCGTTGCCATAAGTTGCTCTGATGATGTTTTCTTTTCTCGTACTGAAGATTAAACTCTCGTATCAGTATTAGGATGCTCCTATGGATGGTAACCCTAAGAGTGTCGTGCAGTATAGTCGGCGAACTAACAAATTATTTAGCTGCGACATTTCAACTGAATACTTTATATTGTTATGAAGGACACGTGAATAATAATAGTTTAGAATCAGATTCACAGTATTAGGGTGGAAACCATTGTACATTATAGTATCTGTTTTAAAAGTTTTACTAAGGCTTTGTATGTAGTCATCTACCTGGGTACCTCTAGTCTTAACAAGGTGATGGTAAGTGGTAACCGTTGCCGATAGAGGGACACACGGGATTGCTAGTATTGTAGACTGATGACCAAATTACTAGCAATATACTATATCAGGTTAACACCGATGTATTTCCCCTGGAAACCATCGTGATAAATTCCTTGTGAATTTGTTACGATGGGCTAACTATCTTCACTTCATATTCTTATCATCCTCCTTTGTCAATATGGGCTAACTGATTTGAACCTCATGTTCTGATCATCATTCACTAATGCCCCACCAGCGAAAACTATTAGCGAAAGCGGTTGCATCATCAGGAAGCATTAAAAGAAAACCGTCGCCGATATACATGAACAGAACTACGTACATCAGTTAACTTGTGACTCACGGGCACGTATTGCTATTCTTATTAAGTCCATTCGTGTGTTGCCATTCTGAACACACGAATGGTGCCTGTGTCACTTTTCACGTTTTCTAAGATATCACGCCTTCATTCATATCCTATATATCACTACCTTATCTCATACCTTGTGTCCTTCAACCGAAACATATTCCAAAGCAAACTGTGTAACGGCTGAAATAGATGAGACTAAGGTACGTAACGTCTTAGCATTCCATGGATTCATCGTGTAGGTACCGGGTCCGTCGTGTGGCAGAGTGGCAAACTCCGAGCATTTCTCGGGACCTGTGAACCGGGTGTAGCTTTAAGGGACTCCTTTGTGTACACACGGTGAGTTGTTCATCGCTCGTGTTTCTCTCTCTACCCAGCCAAATCTGGCTTGCTAGTACAGCTTTAGATTCATGTTCTAGAATATAACTAACTGCAATTCTTTTAGAACATTATAGAGGGAATTCGCTGGTATACATCTGGCTTCCAATTCGACCCCATATAAATTAACCATATGGCATTTTTCATTACTTCGTTTATTTGTCATATTTTTTATTTGTATATTCTTTAGGTACATGTGTTTACCGTGGCACAATCAGTATTACACATCTAGGTTTTTTCTACCTCGGGTGAAATGGCGTTATCTATAATATATAGATAATTGTCAATTATTTATTATATATTTTGTATTTATTTATTAATTAGTCGATAAAAAAATATACACTACTTAATTAAGAATAAATAAAAAACGTCCTTGACTCCAAATGTTAATTTAATTAAAAAGTTTATAATCACTACCTTATAATATAATTTCTCTTATCTAAACAATACATCTGTTACATAATTATATACAACTAATATAATAATATATTCTATAAATCTTTAAGCACTTTATAATAAACAGACTAGAATAGGCCAACCAACGTAGACAATTGAAAACGTGTGATTTATTGTAAAAGCTCTAAATATTTCTTACACTAAAATTTACTAAGTATAACCATACGTGTAGATAAACAAAATAATAGTGGTAAAAGTAAGTACTACTTAGAAGTAACAAAAGTAATTGAATATTATTAAATCTTTTATAAAGACAATCACAGAAACGCACTGTGAATACTAAAATGAATCTATAGAGTATATAAAGTTCAGAGTGAAGATAAATATTTTTATTAACATTATAACTATTGAGTACAATAAAACATATATAACTAATATGCTAATATTGACATTACTGTTTATATAAAACATATATAGTTAGTCTGTTTCCACTAACATAATTATTATCGGTGATAATAAAACATACATTTTAGACGCTTGTATTGACTCGATATTATTGCATAAATAATTGTTAATTACATAGCTAATTTAATTTGTATAACATCTCCTTTCCACAACAGTAGCACAGTCGATTCTAGACATTTCTCTAAATATCCTAGACAAATTAACCAACATATTGACATCGTTGTTACGACACAACCACAAGTTTAAAATATTCTCCGTTGGCGAGCATGTGTTAGAAAAATAATAGTAATACGAATTCAGTTTCAATTTCTCAGCAAACAATCGCCAATCATTACCTTTAGGTGACTGGGAGTCTAATAATTTGCATAATATTACCCTATCAGATTTAGTCAGTACATTAGTTTTATAGTTATTGTCTGTGAAGTTAAGTCGATGAACACCATCGTTCTTAAACGCAAAATTGTAACGGCTCTCCTTTTTAGACAGTGACGAATAATTGAAAGGGTTCTCAAGAATATTAACAGTACAATTCGTTTCCACGCCCGAATAACTAAAACGCTTATTACAGGAATTCGAATTCAAATCATTCGTTTTAAGATTGAAATTAACAGAATTCGATTGCTTCTGTTTTTGATACACAGACATGTTTAGTTCCAGACAGTTAATCGAGTCTGTTTGCTGCAGAACGAATATACAGTGCATTGACCTAACGCCCATGTTCCAGATCTCCGAATATGGTAACTCTTGATACTTACCTCCTGAATGTATTTTCCATCCGTCCCCCACATCCCGAATATTGAAGCATAAATCAGAACAACTCTGCTGGAAATAAACTATTTTCGGTTCGGTGAGCAAAGTACACCCTACCCTCCTTTCGTCTTCCAAACAATCGTACACAGCATAAGGCGTATCGTTGAACACATGAACTTTCAAACTATAATAATTATCGTCCATTCTTTTGGAGATGAATAGAGCAATCTTTAATAACTTGGCGTCTAGACCGTTGAAACTTCGGCCGACTAAAACAAAGTCGCTTAGGAACTCGCATACCAGGTAAACTTTAGAGGGGTCGACTTGGGCAAACAACGGGGTCCCGGGTGTTTCTTGGCCGAGAGTTAAAACTTTTCGCCATTCCCTCGAGTTGATCTCTTCGGGTTTCTGCAGAATCGATAGTAGCCAACTGGTGTTCTTCAGAGACGCGCAATGCGGAAAGGAAAGGACCACCCCTTTTTGGAAATGGAAGTTTTTCGGTCCACAACGGATAACTGGGCTAAGTTGTGTTTCATCTAAGAAAAAAGAAAAATATGTTTACAATTTGACACTTACCAAATGAGTAATATTAGTTTTAATAAATAAACAATTAGAATGATCTGAAAGTAACCAGCTATTAATTTGAACTCAATATATTGATAGGCCAGTTATCAAAATCAACGATCTAGCGGTTCAGCGCACTTATTTCAGTTAGTCGCTGGATCGATTTAAACATTTGTATTGTACGAGACAATACATTTATATTTGTGAGTATGATCCTATGTATTAATTTGGGTGATTTTTGTGTATAAATTTCATTCCGGTTGTCATCCATCAATTTACAATTTACCTTACATAAGTATAAGTAACAACCTTCTATAGACTGGCATTCGAAGCCTCGACTCGCCTGAGCGTGGTACTTACGAAAATGACCAGTCGGCCCACGAATAACTTCGTCAGCAAATAGCCAAGACGAAACTAACTACAAATTCCAGGTAAAGTATGACATTTCGCTATTCAGGTCACTGTGGACTATATAATCCTGTTATAGTTATGTTGACCCCGCTCACAATAGCAAAGTTCAATACAGTGTGACCTATTTGCCAACCTAGTTTTATAATCAACAAGATTAAGAACTAGTACTCCTTTGGATATACTTTGGTAAAATATATAATAAACAGACATTAGAAACAGTACTAGTATATTTAATCTACAAAAAGTGAAAGGCTAAGGTCCAAATAAATATTAGTAGATTTTGGATTTTGATGGACATGCATGGATGCCTGGCAAAGGAAATATTGTTAGAAAATTTAACCCGAGTATATTTATTTCTTTCATAATTTGAATACACTGTTGGGATGACTTAATAAGAATAGCAATGCATGTATTAGATACATCCTGCTCTTCCAGATTCATTACCATATATGAGTTTTTAAAAAGAAATATTTAAAATATTAATATTCAAATGTAACAAAATAAATTCGATCGTAAAACAAAAGTTAATAATTAGAAAAATATTAAATTATTAAGAATTATAAGTGGCGTCTGCGTAATGTTATGCTTCAGAAGTCAAATGGAAATAAGTATATTATGGCTTCTTTCCAAAAATGGATAAGATGGATGACTAGATGATTAACATAAATCTTAGTAATAAAGTAATATTGACATTTCTGAAATAGTCTCATCAGAAGCCGACCACAATATTTGGGACTTACCACGTAAAATAAAGTTGGCCTTACCTTCCTGCAACATTGGTCTATTCCAGTCTTCGTCTGTGACCTCAACAGAGAATAACTCTTCACCTTTCTCCACAACCCCATCTGGCACGAATAGATTTACACCGCATTTGTCTAAATTTAACAATCCACCCTCATTTGATATTATTCTAGATGTAGCAGTCTCCAAATGCTTAGGATTTATGAATTTAGAATCGACTGAAGCATTATTCCTTAATGATTGATTCATATCTATACTTTCATTGCCATATGACGACCCCGCTGAAAACAACACAATTTTGTATTACGTATATATGATAGGTGCTCTTAATAAGAATATTGAAATTTGGATTTGAATAACTTTAAACTGTAAAATGATTTTAAAAAAGAACCTTATACATGTTATTCTGAAAATATTTACAGTTCAGCGCATAATTTTGTATGACATAAAGCAATGCAGCATTGACACTCACAACTCAAAAAGCAACTAGAGTCAGATCGATCCGACTGGACAGTATCCTTGCAAGCGAACCGATCAAGTTGAATGCGTCTCTCAGCCCTTACCTCATGGTCAATTGGGGAGATGTAACTGCAATAGAATTTAAACAACATAAAAGATTATATGGTTATGTGATTTACGTCCTCAAAATAATGTATCACAACTGGCCATATGTGTAAATGTTAAAAATCATAATAAAATCAGTATATTGGAACTAAGTATTGGTTAAAAATATTTAAAATTTTCCACTAAAAAATTATTTAAAGTTTATAAATACACTACCAAAAATAATATGAAAGTAGTACGTAAAATTCTATTTGGTGCTAACTTTAAAAAGGCTTAGTTTGAAAGTGTTGTATCAATAAATAGCTATTGTCTTATCACATCGCATTAGTCTGGGATATTTCTGTTCTTCATTTCCATTTATATTTCTTACCTGTTAGCCAGTTGTGGTACTTCATATAGATGTTCATTTCGTGTGTTAGTAGACGTGCTCATGTGTCTATGTGTACGTCTAGAATCAATTGTATGAAACTCTTCGTGTATAGTTAAATCTGGTTGATTTGTTAAAGTCCTTTTTATTACATTGCCAAAGTAATTTGTACCTAAAATAACATTGTTATTTGATTACATTTCGTTTGTTAAAGTCTCATAAGTGCTTTTTTATTTTATTATTAAATCTTACTTGAAGGAGGTTTCGCGTATGGTGAATTTTCAGTCATCTTAATCTTCATATACTTAATTCCCAATATTACACTAACAATAAATATGAGAAACGCAATTGACAAAGCCATCAAGAGCGGCCAATAAGATGACCCTGAAAAATAATATATTACGGTATAAATAATGTACGAGCATCAATGGATTTAAAATCCTATAAATTTGAGGTATATATGTTGAAGTTGATAGAACTTTGAAAAGATATATATATATCTGTTAGGTAATTACGTTTAAATGGCTAAATGGATTTCAATTAAATTTGATATACAAATAAAGCTAGTTTGGATTAAAACATTGTGTAACAAGTATTACATGCCTGCAATTCGTCAGGACGTAAGTAGTGCCGAATATTTGGTATCTACTTTCTATTACCAAATAATTATTTTATCAAACTATATTTGAAGAATGCGATAACACCTAATAAAATATAACTTGTAAAAATTACATTACTTTAGGTTGTTCAATTTTTGTGTTGTTATACATGGTTAATCTATTTTTAATATCATTAGCTTCTGCCCTTAATTTCCTTCACGTAACTATAACATATTGGACTAAAAGATAATTAATATGTCTTTATTTAGCAAATGGGCAACTATTATGCCTTTTGTGATAATTAATTTAGGAGGTACAGCTTAACAAACAAAGAAATAATAATCACTGTCACATTCACAATATTAATTAGAATTAGGTACTTGTAAAATCTGCTTTTGAAACATAAACTAAACATAAATGAATGCAAACTTCTATTTGACAAATTAAACAAGTTGGCAACGACGATAATTTGGGAATAGTTGCTGTCGTGGCAAGTTTTCACTTTAGATAACATGAAATCAAAATGATTTATGAAGGTACTTATGGACTAGAACAGGCAACTAAAGTTGGTGCATACATTATAATACCTATCGAACTTTTACAGCAGACCCAACTTATACTTTGCAATGTACATGAACGATACTTTAGTTTCACAACATTCTTTACGGTATACTTTAGTTTCATAACGTACATACTGTTAACATGCAAAGGTATTTGAATCAGGAATGGAATTATTTCTCGGAACAAAGAACTTAACTTAACCTTCACGAGAAATAATACATTTTCGTGCTATTTTATTGATTCTGATAATAAATATAATAATAATATTCTAGTAGCTAGTAATCTTTATTGAATTAAAATTTTAATATAAATGTAAGATAAAAGAACTTGCCGTGATTAATAAACCGAAAAAAACAAAGTAGTAGTACTAGTAGTATTGAGAGATTAATATTTCATGGAGTCGTTAAATATAAAATAAGTACTCCGATAACTGACTTTTATTATATTATTAGTCATATAGCTAACAAACTAAGTATTATTGATGGAAAACTTACAAATATTTTTATAATAGGACTTACCATCGTTAATAAGAGCAGACTTGGAAGTTCTAACACACATCGGACACTGAGCAACCTGATAGTCAGTACCAGTGCAAGGTTTTCTCGTACCACTGAGGCAATGACGTCTCCTACCTTGAAGACAGTCGGAGTCACATGGTGACCATTCGGACCATTGTGACCAACGATCTAAAATGGAATGAAATCATGAACAAATCAGATGCTTCCTCAAAGATTAAAAATTTAGAAATTTGACTCTAAATATAATATTTAAGATCTCTCATAAAAGTCTCTCATCTCTATAAAAGTCTTTTTTACAAAAAGTTGTAATTTTAGAGTTAATTCAGTACTATATTAAAAATGAAAAATGGAAACCTATTTCAAATATTGATATCCGTTTAGTTAATATTAGAACAGTAATTGTTTTCTAGTTCATTTCTTAGATTACAGTTGTTTATTTAGGATCAGCTGTGAGCAAATATGGCAAGTAAAACAGAATCGATACCAAGGCTTACTGATATGGTTTTTATATCAGGTATAAATGGAAACAGAATGTTTTTAGAATCCAACTCAATATGAGACTTACCTAATAAAATACTGGAGGAATCATCAGCTAATCCATCTATACCATCGACATACAAATCTGAAAATAAAACTTTCTATCTTACACTCGAAGGTACTTTATTGTTTGATCAATGTTTGACGTTACGAAATAAAGATAGAAAAAATGTTGACTTTAGTAAACGACATGTCCTACACGAGTAAATAATTTTTGAATTTGATGCTATAAATCCGAGGGTGTCAGTATAAAGATATCTCAATTCGCAAAGCGTAAAGCAAAACAAATAGGTATATCTTAGCATATAAAACTATCTTACTGGATTTCAATCAAAGGATTATACTTTCTTACAATTTCTTAGATACGATCTTCTTTTAAAAAAAGCAAGTATAATAAAATATTTTGATCCTAAAACGAAAACTGCTAATTAATTCTAGAAAGCAATTAAAAACATAGAGTCTCTTTTAATGAACTACCTGCCAGGTTTTCTTTACAGACTACAACAGTAGGTTATTCAAGGTCTCAAAGTGCACATAACAGCTCCGGTATTTCAGGCATCCACAAACTACGTTAACCATTCACCATCAGATATAGACTGCATGCCAGTTTGACTACAGCTTCGCGTTATCATCATTGTCTTGCCTTTATCCTATTACTTAGAGTCCGCGCAGTATGACCTTCTCTTCTACTGATCCCTATTAGCCGTCATATCTGAGCTTACTCTCCTTTTACACTTTCCATACGTCTTTTTCTACTACAGCATCGCATATTTAAAAAGAAACTTAAAGTTACGACGCGTTCAAAATCGCCGGCAACCGTTAGTACATAATTACCTAAATCACAATCCAAACAGTCTTGAGTCTTCTGTTCATCTGGCCCCATACACGGTTGACCTCCGTGAAGAGGAGGTGGTGCGGTGCAAGACCTCTCTCGTCGTCTACCCGATCTCCTCTCTCGACCTTCTCGAGAACAGAAGCAGTCGCTCCATGACGTCCATGTAGTCCATCCACCGTTTACTATTTATGTACACGTAGAAGATAATCATGAAGCGATGAAAGATGTAATAGCAGATGACAATAGAATTAATTGTAGAATTTGTACGAAGTTAAATGCCTTGGTATCTCTATCTTACATAAATGTTATGGTGGATCAATCGCCAACCAGCGTGCTTTTTAAAGAGGTAAGAAAGGTGAGATATTGTAGTATTAAAACCCGTTTAACTATATTAATAATGTGTTCTTAACCCGATAGTTTAAAAATAAGCACTTACCAACGACTTTTAACTGAGCAGGCTCCGATATTCTTTTTCCCGCTAAATTCTCCGCCACACACGTATAATTTGCCATATCCTAAAATATATTGAAATTTTAATACGTTAAAAATAACTGAAAAAATCATAAATATAAGTTGAAATAAGACGAATTGTGGTATTTCTGGAACATCATTATAGATAGAGTCTTGAAAACAAAAAAACCATTAAAGTAAATTGTGTGGTCAATGGTAAAAATAAATCCAAGTAAAAAATGTGTAAAATGTTCATATTTAGATTTTATAGCGGTGAAAGTTATTCTTGAAATTTAAAGATGAATATAGAAAATCTACATAACATTGTATAAATATTTTCATATTATTTGTCTAAATACTATACTTAAAATTTAAGTGTGTATAAGAGAATCTAACGTAATAGGAGCAAGTCTACCTCATCAAAAATATAAATTAACGTTGACCAGATTTGAACTCGCTTAAATACACTTACGTATTTCAAGATAATAGCAGAAGTGTCAGACTCAATTGCACCGGGCCATATATTAAATTTAGAATGTGTAAATGGTTCAGATTCAAATAAAAAATGTACCGAATTATTATAATATTTTATTTATTTAATTAATTGCGATATATAAAAGCAATCGCGGCCCTTGGCCGGATGCGACCCGCGGGCCGTATCTTTAAAACGACTGCTCTAGATCATAAGGTACAGAACTAGTATCCAAAACCATAAACGTACCAATAATGACACGCGTTTGATGAGCAGATCACCCTCCTTAGAAATCTGTACATTGTCATCAGCTACTACGGGAGCGCCGTTCTTAAGCCAGTACAGTTGAGCAAATGGCGCTGCAGGAGGTGGCTCGCAGCGGAACGTAGCTGGCATGTACTGCTTCACTAATTGCGTTTCAGGAGCCAGTGTGAAATGCTTCTTTATATCTAAGGCAGATATAAAAGTTACATATCCTGTTTACTTATGTAAATGACATAACTTTGTTATATTAGTTGTTGTTATATTAACAGTTGTTATATTTTTTAATAATAATTTCTTTTTTATTATTTCTTGTTGTTAACTTTTATGATAACAATTTATTTTTTTATATATACATTACAGTTTCATAAATGTTCCTATGACGTTCTTTAACACCTTGTGGCATTATTTACCAGTCAACCATAGCTGATGCCCGATTCAAATTATTTTTTTATATACTAAAACAAGTAATAACAATATGGTATAACTTTCTTGTTTCGTAACTGAGTGGAATGAAACAAGTACTGAAGCATTACTGAATAGCATGAGTAACTTCCTACAATATTTTAGTCAAATCCGCAATCAAAACGTTTAGACGAACATACAATAATTTTAAAAACTAATTATGAAAGCGATAAAAAAAACAAGTGCATGGACAGTTTGGGATTTTATTATATTACGAATAAGGTCATTTACAAAGCCGAATTTACAAAATTATAAATTAAAAACAAATAGAATTATTGAACAATTAGAAATGAATGTATTTTATATTGGCAATAAATGGATTTATTATCATTATTATTATGTATTGCATTTCTAAGTGTTCAATAATTCTGTTTTTCTTTTTAATTCGACTTAATTAGAGTTAAAATACGTTATTTAAATACATTGGCTGCCGTGTAGTATTTAAATACACCACACGTATGGTACTTTCACGCGCGATCAGAAATGTGCGCCATTTAGCGCGGGAAATCCAGAGCGCGCAGTCGAGAGTGCTTGCTTTTTTTATACTGATTATATATTCCAAAAACACATATAAGATGTTTAAATTATCAATAACTCTCTATAATTATGTCTTTGCTCTATGGTTGTATGTCTTCTATGTTCTCCATTTTGTAATGACAATTAAATATAACAAAAAGGCGCTAAAGCACACACGATTGAAGAACGCGGGAATGGGCGAACTGGCGGCGCGCGTGGTCTTACTGTACATCCCGCGTGAAAGCAGATTTCCGCATGAAAGAGTGTACTTGTAAAGGCAGCAATTGGTTTGCCGATACATTCGAAGCTTTTATATCAAACTGTTCACTTACATGCAAGCTCAATGGTGGCCGATTGGCTTCTAATGTGCCCCCTACTGGTCCATGCGAAGCAAGAACATTGGTACTTCTCGCTTCCGAAATACTCTTCAACGTTCTCTCTGGTCACTTTATGCTCACCTTCAATTATTCTCACTCCTGTTTGCGGATCAACGAACTCAAATTGTTCGGGGTGACTTTTTACGCCATTACATTTGAAATATACCTTAAATATAAATGTTATTTATAGTTTGTTTATATAAAAAAATCACAGAAACTAAATTACTACTAGTGTATTTCATTTAGTTTAGTAGTCGAGTGGTTTAGTACATCGCCTTACTTCCGATTTCGTCTTACCCCTTAATTCCTCGCACATGCAATCATTTGTTTATCATTGCGGCTTCATCATTCATCATCACAACAAAATATTTATCTATTTCTATCAGTTGTCTAAGTATCCATAATACAAACTCTTCTTAGCTTAGGATTACATGGCTGTTTGTTGGGATGTGTTAATTGTCCAGAGTTGTTATTATTGGGTATATTTATGTTTGTATTGGGTAAAGCTGCAGTTACCTACTTGATTATGTATATAACATAATTATAATGTACTTATAAGTACATTATATATACATTACATGTATTAAATATACTATACGCCATATAAGCAACGTGGAAAATAGAAAATAATTATGGTTAATGATTAATTTTGAATAAAAGGTTCAAATTAAGTTCGGTTTGGTTTATTTCTTAATGAAAGTGATTCACTTTAATGAGTATTCAGGCCGGGCCTGATTGGTGTACTTGTATAGTTTTACAATATAATGTCTTATTTTTCAGAAATATTTACGCCAGATAGTCGTTTATAAAATCATAAATTCATTTAATATGTAGATAATACAAAAAATAGTTTAAGATCCTATCTATTACAATACTAAATCTTACCTTATGAACAATAATTCGATATAATTTTCAGTTCGTCTAAAATTTTCATCTCAAACTCTAATGTTACTATTTTTATACAAATATAATTAATTATACTCACTTCTAAAGCGTTGGCAGCACGACACTGCAAAGTTGCTGGTTTGTTTTTAAAAACATATGTATTTTCCGGTTCCAATAGAAATATTGGCAAATTATCTTTTGTCGTGTGCAGCGGTATTTTATCGTCTAATGGTAGATTGTCTTGATTTACATTAGACTTTGCTGTCGCTAAATCTGGAGAATCTTTATAGTTAGCATCTTTAGGGTCATAATAATCTAAATATGTGCCCTCTTCTTCCTCGTCTTCCTCATTTTCTTCATGATCAGTAAAAACAGGGGGTAAAAAGTAGTCTGTTGCTTCATTTTTGTTATGTTTTATTAAGAATTCTAATGGTTTGTGTTCATAATCTTTAGTTTCAATTGCTTCCTTGCTGTCATCTATACGCTTTTGAGTGCCTACGAATTTTAGTATATTATTAGATAGTTACATTAAAAATATCTATTTAATAAATTAAAAATGTTCCTATTATGGCACTATACATAATATATTATATATAGGTATAGATGGATAGGATAACAAATAATGAATATATGAAGATATATTTATGCATTGTTATCTATTAATCAAATTAAAAAAAAAATTACTCTTAAGTATGACAAAGAAAGTTTCTAAACATAACAAATCCGGGCTCTGTGATTTAGTGGTCTAGCACACCGATTTACTTCCGTTAATCGCGGATTCTATCCCTAGCACGGTGCAAATATAATAATGAACATATTTGTTTGTGTCCGTCTGGGTGTTTCCTCTGTATATTATGTGTGTATTTACTAAAAAAAACTAATACTTTAAGGTATTTATATTATTAACCGGGTCTTTACACGAACTAATTTATGGCAAATAAAGGTATTTACCTCTCTCGACGTTTCTTAAGACCCGGTTAATAATATAAATAATGTATATTAAATACGAAAGTTTAAAAATAACTAAATACTTTAAGTATTTGTATTAGTTGTCTAATACCAATAACACAAGATCAGCTTGGCTTGGGGCTGAATGACGTTGTGTCAGTTGTCTTGGGTAATTACTTCTACTTACTTATAATAAAATTGATTTCGTGCCTTTATTCTGAGATCATTTTTACAACGATCTAAACATATCTATAACTACCATTAATATTTTATCTTGCAAGTGTAATTACGTAAGTAAAGTAAGTATTTTAAAATAAACAACTTTTAATTTTCGATCTATCAATACCATACTTTTAACTGATAATAAATACATCGAAACTTCCAATATGTGCTAATTGGGATTCCTATTTCAAAATTTAATCTATTCGTAGGAATTTGGAACATTTTTAAACAGCATTTCTGATAACAAAAACGTTATTTCCGTTACAAAATAACAACAAGTTGTAACTAAATTGTTGTTGCTACATTACAAAAAATATTAAAAGATAATAGGTGTTTGTCTTTTAATATGCAAGTACCTAAGTAATTGAAATAACGTGTTATTATTTCTTTATCTAGACAAATATTCTCAAATAAATAAATGGGAGTTTTATTCAATAAATAATTAATTGTACAAACATTTCTACTTACTTTTTGCCGTATTTTCGCCAGTTCCCTGAAATACTAACTGCAATTGAATTAAAATAAAGCAAATCCAAATATTCACTTCCATTTATAAATGTGTCTCGTAATGAAATTAATGAAATATCAAAACTCGCATCTTCGTTGCCATCACTTTCCATAACTGTATCCAATTCATTTACATTTTTTTTTATTTTACATTTCTTCAAAATTTAAATTCTACACAGATTAATTCATAACAAATATTTCTATAGTATAAATACACTGCATTTATAATTATTTCACGTAAGTCCACACGAAGAAACCCAGTAATTTCATGTCACAACTACAGAAAATAAACATTTGTATACGAGACGTCGTAAAAGTTTATTCACTTTCTCTCCAAATTCAAATAAGTGTTGGTCTCTCGGCGGACATGGTGCAACTGGGAATTGAGGGATGAATGAATACAATCCCCTTGTTGTGGGGCTGTTCTGCGCATGTCAGAAACTTTTCACCACTAATGACCCAAGTTGGCAAGTTATCGCTTGTAGAATTAATATTTTGTCATGTAATACAACAGTGTTTTAATTAATGTCTATTTACTATGCATTTAAATTATAGTCGACATCACAACGTTCCAAATTATTTATACGTTTATGTAGGTAATAATATTGATGGAGGTGCCGCGGTAAACTGTGTTTTGGGTCTCTTCATCTTCATTCTCAACAATGCCGTGCCAACTTTTATAAAGCGTAGTGTTAAATTGCTAATTGCTCTATAGTAGCAGTCTACATATTTACGTAACCTTTTTTATTTTCCCGCGCAAACGAAATACGTGACAGGTCCTAAAAATGCTGACGAGGCGACGCTCATAATAGATGTATGTAGTAATTGTCTGTCATGTCATAGGTATCAGTAATCCATACATATAAATAAAATTGGAGTGTCTGTTTGTAATATTGAAATAACCGCTTTTTTACTACTTGCATATGAATATAAATACGGTACATACAACAAAAAACTTTGTTTAATATATTATTGTAATAGTATCTATCTATCAATCGCATAGATCATGACATATAACATCGCATATATTTATATAATCTATACATCTATGCATATAAATAAAATCGGAGTGTCTATTTGTAATATTGAAGGAACCGTTTTTTTACTACATGCATATTCATATAAATACATACATACACCAAAATAACATTTTTTACAGTTTTTGTCTGTCTGTATGGGGCTAATCTCTGAAATGGCTGGACCCGATTTTGACGGTACTTTTTTTGGCAGGTAGCTGATGTAGTAAGGAGAAATATACTTTTATTTTAGAAAAATAAAGTTAAATTCCACGCAGACAAAGTCGCGTGTACAGCTAGTTAACAAATAAAAGTAATAAGGTATGAACCTCCTAAAAATGCGAAATAGAATCCCATGTCAAAACAAATAATTATAGGTACACTATTCTTCCACAAATAGTTATCTAAATCAAAACCAAATTTTATAAATTGCTAAAAATTATAATAAATTTTTAATATAAAAGAGATGTTTTAATATTTACTTACTTATTTTAAAATGTGTATTAATATTTTGTTTAAAATTTAATACAATGAAGGCCTCAGTGTTCCAGCGGTTTAGCTCATAACTATAATTCCAAGGTCACAACAATAGATTCCTCGCACGGTACAAACATTTATATTCCTGAAATATATAAATTACTAGCTATACTCGCGACTTCGTCGGCCTGGAATTTAACTTTATTTTTCTAAAATAAAAGTAGCCTAAGTTACTCCTTACTACATCAGCTACCTGCCAAAAAAGTCCCGTCAAAATCGGGTCCAGCCATTTCAGAGATTAGCCGCAGACAGACAGACAGACAGACAAAAACTGTAAAAAATGTTATTTTGGTGTATGTGTGTATTTATATTAATATGCATGTAGTAAAAAAAACGGTTCCTTCCATATTACAAATAGACACTCCAATTTTATTTATATGCAGTAGATGTATAGATTATATAAATATATGCGATGTTATATGTGATGATCTATGCGATTGATAGATATATACTATTACAGTAATATATTAAACAAAGTTATTTATTAATATAAATAATTCTTTATTTGCACCCATTACCCACTTACATATAATCAAGTACTGAATGAACTTTCATTTCATGGCATAATGTTGCTAGATGATGTTTGGTAACCGAAACCCCAAAATCAATATAGATAATAAAAAAAGCAGTCGTTATACTAGTATTGTGTCAAGTATAATCTTGGACAACTTTATGAATGATATTACTGTGATTAATAATTATTATAAATTAATATTCTTTAAAGGGAATTCTAACTTCATGAAATTAATGATGCATTTAGATTTAGAGTGAGGGTAGATACATCATTGGAACTCGACTAGTTCCGTGTGGAGTATGGAATGTACCTAATTTCACATAATGAATATGTATTGGTTTTGCTATACTGCTGGTATTATTAGTTTCCTTTATTGAAGTATTAATTATTTGAAATAATGTTTAATAGATTAGATATTTTTTATGAAAGTTATGAAAATAATCATTACGTAATAATGTAAAAAAACGGTTCACTAAATCTGCTTTTATAATCTTTTCTACAAGGTCGTAAATAAATAATAAAAATAAAAGCCTCCGAATCAAAATATAATAGATAGTTGTAATAAGTTAACTTGTCGAAATATAATTTAGCATTGAAATTATCCAGTGTCCTAAATCGAACAATTGTCAAGTCTCAGAGACTAACGTCAATCCTCCCTTACGTCAAACATGACAAGTAACTTGACGTAAATGAAAAAATATTGTAAAACACGAAGTATCGAATAGAATACAAAATATTTTGTGATTATATTTTAGAATACACTAACATGACTATTAGTTACAAGTTACAGCATTAAAATACACATTATTGAATGAATTAACGTGAATATATATATATCTTAAAGAACAATAAATAATAGTGTATCTATCGATCGGCAACCGGTTAAGTTCTATTCAGTGGAATATCGATTCGCGCAAAGAAACGATCATGATTCCTAACGAAATTTTCGCTGAGGATTTAATGAGTACAGTGATTCGATATGGCTTGTACATCGGTGCGGCGTTTCAAGTAGTGTGTTTGCTGGCTTGTGTTACTTTAACAGACGAGCATAGCGAGCCACATCCATACGAAAAGGTATCAGTTAAGAAGACCTTTAAACCGCTTTATTTTTCTCTGCATCACATTATTCTGTTGTCAGCAGCGATCTTGCAGTCTGTTTAGTTCTTAAGAATGGCAATACATGAGTAATAACATGGTTATACAATAGTATAACCATGAATAAATATAATAATATTTAATGTGTCATGGCATATTCATTACATTGTATAAAAATAGAAGGCGCCGCTGTCTTTGCCATTAGATCTTTTAAATTAGGCAATAGATTTAAATGCAGCTTTTTGCAATAGATAAAGTGATTCACGAAGGTTTGTATAATACATGCATACTGTAATACAGAAAAGCTAAGAAATTCAGAGAGTTCTAAATGCACCCATGAAAAGCTGAAATTGGTTGGTGGTTGTGTATATATGATGTCTGTTACAGTTCTATCAGTTAATTTGGTATCCATATTTAATAAAAACTTAACTTCAAGCTGGTCAGCTCTGATAACTATGACTAATTTATTTTGTTACTGAAGTAGCCATTATATTTATTTACTTTTGTCATTTTTGCTTTTTGTCAGTTTATATTCACACAACTACATTTATTTAAAAGTGCAATATGCAAGTTTCTTATCTTGTGATATGCCTACCTTCCAAATGAGCGGTAGAAGAAATATTTACTATTTAAAAGGGTTTATATTAAGTTTTTTTTACTAAAAAAATATTTCTCTCTCTCTAAAAAAACAAATGTGCATAAAACCTTCAAGCAGCTTGCTTTGTAAGCTGCGTTTCAATTGTAGGTGTATGTGGCAGTAAATTTACTGGTCAAGATGCATGACATCTTATTCCTCTGAAATAGTAATGGAAGGGTGGTATCATGGATGTTATATAACATGATTCTGCGGCGGTCTTAGCAGGTGGCGAACAGGTAATCGCCTGGGGCCTCGCTCTTGCAGATTTGTCGCAATCCAACCCAAGCAAATTTTAAACAACCTGGAAGTGAGTCGCAAAAACCTGCCACCCTGAGCCTCACAATACTTAAAGCAGTTGGTTACTGATCATGTATATAGGTGATGGTTACCCCTTGCCTTCAACTTGTTTGTCATGCCAATTGTGTAAAAAAAAATGTGATTTCACATATATATTTATATAAAGCAACTTCTAAAAAGTGGACTACTAAATGTGAATCTATTGAAAAAATTGTATATTAACTTCAAAGTTGTTTCAATTTCAGACATACACTGATAGTGATGAGTGCAGCTCTGAACAGTCATCACCAGGTCACCGAGCAACTATGTCGCGTACTCGTCGCCACGATAAGAAGAAAAGACGTTAGCTGAGATGGAGAACATGGAGATGAGAACATAACTAATACTCACAACATTTCAGAAAACAGATCTTATGTATATAAATTTTTAGGTCTAGTTTCAAATGTCATTGCTTATACATAAAATAATGTATGGTTTATAAACTCAGCTTACAGTCCCATGAATATTGTGGACATAAATATATTCATAGAAATCACTCCTTATTTGTAAGTGTGTAATTTTTAAATAGTGTAAAATGAAGTTGGGGTGTGAATTTCTGTAGTGTGTTAAATTAGTAGATTTTGAATTAACCATCTTTTTTATACTTTTCTACAGAAAGTATGCAGGTGCACTACTTTATTTAATATATTTGAGGTTGGCTTAAGCCAATAGTTTATTTTAAAGGCTTTGTTAATATAATTTTACAGTATACTAAGATAGAATTTAACTTTCCTACATTCTCATGAGATGAGATTTCTAACTGTCTTATTATCAATTTACCACAGATAGTTTTGCAATTGACAATAAAATTTGACAATTTAAAAAGCATGTTATAAATTATACTTTGTAAGTGAATGTTAAATAATACTTCCAGAGTCACAGAATCAGTTTGGTATAATTGACTAATACTTATTGATAACATCGCATGAACACAAATTGTATTTATTTCACTAATTTAAATATTTCATAGATGTTTTAGTTTTTCTTGTATTGTATGTTATTCCAGTGTGGATAGGTAACATCAAAATAAACAAATATTCAAATGAATTATTTGTTAATAGATATTTTTTCAAAAAGATCCTAATGAATCTGCTTAAATAACCTAGTGTTTTTTACTTTAGTGAAGTATTTTTTTTTATATTTCACAATGATTAAGTACACGATCTCTCTATTAAGTATATTTAATATTTAGACACATGCATTTATAATATTAAATAAAACATACTGCAATATATTTAAAAAGCATTTTATTGTTACACGGACTAGAAACTTACAGCTTACAGATTATTGCTGGATGTTAAACTAATACAAGTTCTCTTATAAAATTATTCAACATATTGTACGACATAAGTACAATAACAACATTTAAGGCACGTAATATCACGTATTGATAAGGCACCATTCGAAAATACATTATAACACTATAGTCAGAGCTCCCTTTGCGAATGTTCACTATTAAATTTGTAAATATATTTTTATTCTTTTATATAAGAACACGTAACTGACAGTGACTATAATTGGTAAGAAGGCACACTATTTTGACATACGATGGAATTAATCTGATTCTAGGAATAATTTAGTGATGAATCAATTAGGTTAGGGAAGTTGATAAATTACTAATGTATCAACCTCTTCAGGTCGACTTGCAACTGTATTAGTACAAAGCGCGACTCACATTATTTCGATAAACTGAATTAAACATTTATAAAAACATTGGTAAACGATTGGATTGAACAATTCGATGGGAGGGGGGAAAATCTCTTGAACATGACACATATTCCATTTGCTTAATATTTATAGAAATTACAAAAAATTATGGCACTCCGATGGCAAATAACATTATATATAATATATGTATATCTATATAAAAATCAGCAACAATTTAATATAATTCAATATATCAATATATTTAATATTTGTATGGTACATTTATGGAAGACTAATATAAACTGCCATCTGACAATTTCTTTACATATCTCAGTTCACACAAAGTTCGTTGTTGAATTACAACTTGATTTAATTACATATTTATCTCCTTAATCTACTAATACGTTACACTTTACGATATAATAATGATTTTCAATATTACTGGACCCAGGATTTAAATAAATATGAAAATTAGTATTTTCGTGATTAATCATGTCATTAAATTCATAAGCTGTAAATGTAGAAGCATTAAATACTGATTTCATAATAGATTTGTTATTATTATTAATAAAAATATGTAAATACTTAATTAGTTTTGGCATTATGCTTTGGAAAATTGTTAAATAAATAATACATTATTTTCATTACCTACACACATTATATGAATTCAGAATGAATTTCATTACATTCTCTCGAGAAAATAATTTAAATGAATATTTCAATATAACTACATACCAAGTAGAATCATGACTTACTAGTTCTATAGGTATTTTCAAGACCACTCAGCAAAAAGCGGAGTAAATCTTGGCTCATCTATTTGGAATCTATTATCTAACAAGAGCCGACCAGATAAATTCTTCAGAATACAGAGTGTAGTGGACTAGATGCAGACACATAAGATACAATAGAACATCTTTTTAATTTATAACGCGTCTTATTCTTGCTCCAGGTATGACAATAAATTTATTTGTAGATATATGATATTTTTTGAGACAATTAGTCTCAAAATAAACCCAAATTTGTATGTATTATCAGTTTGGATTTCAACACTATACGAAATATGAAGATTTTATATGAGTGGCAAATTTGTATATAAAAGCAATATCAATACATGGTGATTTCGTTAAATCTTATCAAAGAGTTGAGTATTTTTTATGAATAAACGACAGTATAATATGTATAAATACAAAACTTATTTTATATTTAGTATGTTGCAAATATTTAAAATATTGCAGCTAAGATAAGATAGTTAAAATATAAAGCTCTCGAGTTTCAGTCGTATATTCTACAATGTAATGAAAAGTGTGATGTTAGATGTAGATGTTAGTTAGAAAATATTAATAACTAGTAACATTATACCAAATAAGTGATTCATGCCTACAGTTAAAGGCATTACAAATATTAAGTATTAAAATATAACATGAATAAAAACATACAGGTCTATTCTAAATAAAATAGAAGCATCACAAATACTATAACACATAAACCCTGTTTCAATCATACTAACAATACATAAAACTCAACAAAACATAAAAAGAAATACTAATAGCAAAACATAACATACTGCAAGGAACTCAAATACTTTGTACATATTAAATGCAGCGGTATATAAAGCAACTATTTACAAGCTAGTTGTTAGATTAAAATTGTGAACTTTCAAAGCTTCTAATAAGTCATTATCCGTTAAGAATTGTTTAAACGCGTCGAGTTTTTTAAAACATATTGTTACGCAACACCACTTACTATTATTGTTGGTTTTGTCACAACACGATTCCGTGGTATCATTGTCGCTCCAATTGTTACAATTGCTAGAATTAGTAGACTTACATGAACATTTTAGTTTATCGATGATTGCATTAGCAGACACATCCTGATCACATTCATGTATTGTGTAAACACCGAGTTCCTCTAAACTTGAATTATTATGCCGCCGGTGATAATGTATGAACGTGTTGTGATTCGTATCTGTAGCTCGGCCGCATCCGACAGCACATTTCATCTCAGCATGATTACATTTACAATCAACGCATGAGCATTTATCTTCCGGACATTTTCGTGATTCAGGAGAACTTTCTTTTTGTGAACAATTCTCGCATTCATTGTTTGGATCACATTTGCAATCTGAACATGAACATATTCCTGCATCTGTTGCTAGCTGCTCTAAAGCGTTCCTCTTAGCTATTTCCTTTCCAAATATGTTTTCCGTTCTCACCACATACATATCAGACGGTGGTTCATTGTTAAACAGCAAAGTATCTTCAAGTGCTAATTCCGTATTGAAGAGAACAGAATTAGCCGGATTTATTTCTATATTTTGTTGTACTTTAGAAGGCGGTGGAGTATTGAGAGATCTATCATCGTTTGTAGTTTCTAACAAATTATCAATTACATTATCAAGTTTACTATGTCCTAAATTTGTTACAAGTTCGCTATCATTAAATACTTTATCACCAACATCTAGTATGCTTGGAGTATCTAAATGGAAGCCTTGTGACATAAGATTTGCTGTAGGTGTTACATCGGAATTTAAGTCGATATAGCTTTGCATATGCGTAGGCACGAACGTTGCAAGAGTAAAAATATTTTCCGGTGTCTTTTCTTTTATGCTGACTGGTGTTTCTGATATTGAAGCTGCTAAGGCGCTGACGTCCACCCATGGCGCTTGCACTTCAATCTCATTGGCTAAAGCCAATTGTACAGCTTTCGTTTTCACTTCCATTTTAGTGTCGCCAACAATTTCACTTTCTAAAGGCACTGTTACTTGAAAATCAGATACGTCAACCCATGCATCTTCTGGATTTTTCTTCTTTTCTACTTCATATGGCGATATAGTAGCTAAATTAGTTAAATCGTAATCTGTTAGACTGTTATTACTTTTAGTTGGATTAGTAGCATTATCAAAAAAGAGTTCAGTTAAGTCTACATTATTATTAAGTGAGTTTACTCGGGCAATATCTTCTAAACTACCATCTGTAGAGTTTGACTCCGTCGTAATCCGGCCAAAGGATTCCAGTAGTCCATCCCAATTCGGCCAGTCGTTGGCCGGTTTTGTTTTTGTCGGACTCTTTGTAGTAGCTTCAATTATTTTCAACAAGTTATTTTCTGTTACTACCTGTAATTGTAATAATTAAAATATGTTTAGTTACAAAAGAAGTATGAGCGCACCGTGTCCCTTTTTTTATGGAATGGCAAACATGCTGATGTGTGATGTGTGTTCGTCGCCTATTTACATGAACAACACTATGGACATAACGTTGTTATATGACATCCTCGATACTGCTCGTGCTTTGCCATTCCGTGGGATATAAAACAGTATTAAAAATAAAAAATAAATAAAATATAACAGTATCATAGAAACAATTCATGAGCTTGTGTTGATGTGGATATTTTACTATCTATTTAAAATTATTATTTAAATATATCTATGTTTTCTTACAAGTTACGTATAATTTATAAGAAGGTGGCTCTGTGTAATTGGCTTGAAAGTTACCTTTTTCATTATTATTATTACAATTAATATGTCATCCTGCGCCGACGCCCAATAATGGAATTAAGGCAAGGCAAGAATGATCTTATCAAAGTATCTAGCAACTTTACTATCCCTTTGGTTGTTTGTTTATTTAGTTATTGTAAATGTAATTAATTTTGGTTTGTTACAATAATAAAAATACCACGCTAAGCAGAGCTTGTATTATGGGTACTGGACAACTAATATAATGAGCTTGTGTTGATGTGGATATTTTACTATCTATTTAAAATTATTATTTAAATATATCTATGTTTTCTTACAAGTTACGTATAATTTATAAGAAGGTGGCTCTGTGTAATTGGCTTGAAAGTTACCTTTTTCATTATTATTATTACAATTAATATGTCATCCTGCGCCGACGCCCAATAATGGAATTAAGGCAAGGCAAGAATGATCTTATCAAAGTATCTAGCAACTTTACTATCCCTTTGGTTGTTTGTTTATTTAGTTATTGTAAATGTAATTAATTTTGGTTTGTTACAATAATAAAAATACCACGCTAAGCAGAGCTTGTATTATGGGTACTGGACAACTAATATAAATACATACATAATATACATAGAAAACACCCAGACCAATACAAATAATCATACTCAAAATACAAATGCTTGTATGGTGCAAAGAATCGATTCCGCAACCATTATATGTAAGGCAAAACTAAATCGCTAGACCTATATATATTAATCTAACCTGGTGGTTGGGCACGTTGGGTGCGTGGGGCCGGTGTGTGCGAGAATGCGCCTTAAGGTGATGTGATGCTGTGAATGACTTGCTGCATCCGTCCGATCTGCATCTAGATAAAGAATAAATAAAGCATCTATAGAATATTGTCACTAATTACGAGCTATGTTATAAAAAAAAAAACAATAAAAAAGAATTCAAACTTTTTCAAGACACGTAACAACGTTATGTACATGATGCTGTTCATGTATATACGCGACAGTTACTATAAGGCGGGACGTTAGCTTCTTTATCATTCCTATTGGAAAAAAAAATTGTAATTCCAGATAAAGAAGAAAAACTGGATTATAAGGGAGTTATGACCACATTTTGCTAAGTGTATTTTAGTCCACTGTGGTAAGAGTTGAACTTCATCCGCCGGAAATGCCGGTATCGCAATCACCAACGCTTACAATCTTTACAAGGCGGGTTTTAAATTTGTTTGTGATTCAAATTACATGAACAAAATGTTACGAATTAATTATCCAAAGGTTGTCTATATAATTCTACGATAGTCCTAAGCTAAGTAGAGCTTGTGTTATCATAAAACATGATCTGTACCTATTTTTTTTGTAAAAACACAGAATATGAATAATAAGAAACACCCAGACCAACAAGCATACTCATAAATACAAAAGTTTGCAACGTGCGAGAAATCGAACCCGCGACTTTCGAAAATAAAACGGTGTGTTAAACCGCTAGACCACTGAGGCCGTCGAAATATAAAAATAATATAATTAGTATTTATAAATGTAATAAACTCACTTATAAGGTCTCTCTTGTGTATGCGTGCGTGTATGTTTCTTCAAGTCGCTAAGTGTCGTGAAGAATTTAGAACAGCCGTCGGCCTGACAATTGAATGTATCCCCGCTGTGTAACCTCTGGTGGGCTCGTAATCTACAAGTAATAATCAATAATATATAAATACATAAATTTATTATATATACTATAATAATTATATTACAATAAACATAAATTCCCACCATACAATACACGCACACAATGCCAACTCAACCTCCACTCCGTCGTCTTCACAACGAACACAGTTTATTTATTAAAATAATGCAAAAATACAAAAATAAAGGGGCATAACACCTCGAGGCATTTTCTCCCAGTCAACAATAAAAAGACAAACACAAATTAACAATGAATAGTCCTGTGAAAGCAGGAGACAATTTTGACAAATTGTAATTTATTCCTAGTGAACTCGCCATGAAAGGCTGATTTGATCTGATTTGAAGTCATTTTTATCATATCATCCCTCAGAGTACAGCGTTTGCGGAGGCGGGTGTACCATTCCATTATTATCAAAAAATAGAAATAGTTTAAATTTTGTACCTACTATAAATATGGAAACGGGTAACGCGTATATGTATAGAAATACATATATATATAAGCGTTACACGTTTCCACCTGGAGTGGGCAAAGAATAGAACACCCAATTCAGAGTATGTTGTTTTTTTTAACCCTGGAGAATACGTCAAATATTCGTTAAAGAATTAAACCTCTAAATTATTTTAAGAAATAATTTAGAAGTTTAAAAAGAAATACTTTGCCAATATACACCACTTTTGTTTATAACAAATTATATTCAAAGTTTTCCATATTTGAATTGTACTAAATATATGTAACAAGAAAAGCAATATGTGGATATGATACCGTGATAATAATATGTATCACGTTACTGTATACGGGCTATCCGCTTACGTAAAGCATCAAGTGAAATTGTCACTAGTACTGAAATGGAAAGTGTAGTTATAGAGGTCGTCAACTTGTTCTATAATATCTTCTATCGTCTTACTAAAAATATACTCGTGCAAGATTGTGAGTATGGATGCACGCAAAAATTAATGAATTAGTTTTTAATGAAACTTCACAGTTATATAGCTTATATATATATAAGCTAACTTGATTAATGAAAGCTATTCTGATGAATAACGCATAAGATATAGATTTCACGCAGCTGAAATCGTGGGCATGGCTAATTACATAATATAAATAGAATATTTCCTTCTATAATATTACTTCAGATAGGAAACCATGTGTTATAATATCTGTTCCTAGCTCCTAGCTCAGTGACAGTTCTTAGCTCGAATGCACTCTGAACTGATAGTAGATTTTGACGTATCATAAGAGTCTTTAATAGACTAACATTAATTAAAGATATTTTGATTTGATTTAGACTGTATGTAGCAACATTAATACACGTCAACTAGCTGTCTTCACGTTAAGATAACAATCCTGGCACGGTGCAATGACAAACAACAGGTGGCTATCAAAATAAACGCAATAACGTCAAGCACAATTATTTTCTTTCACAAACCCAAATGCGATACTATTTTACAAAAACGCTCAATTATTTTATCAATTTCAATTTATGCCAGCCTACAGATCAATTTGAGATCTTAAATCTAAACGCATATAATATAAACTCGCGTGTAAGTTGATTGAATTGCTTTGTTATATCGAACAAAATACGACTTTGGCTGATTTCCAAATAAATAGAGGCACGTACGAACCCATAACTCTCATGTAAATGATTACCTTAGTTCACTGGCCACGAAACTTTATGAAGACTTTTAAATGATTAAGTAATATATAAGAGTAATATACCACGAAACTTTATGAAGATATCTAAGGCGTTAAGTAATTCAACTTCAATTTTTTTATTTCTATACAATTTTTTTTTATTACTCAGCCAATATGGTATTTGTTACAAATCAAACCAAAATATCTTTATTCATGTAGGTTTATTAAAGATTCTAATGATAGGTCAAATCTACAGTCAATTCGGAGTGTTTTCGAGTTAAGAAGAACTGACAAGAAATACACCTCTAAATATCTTCAAATGAGCTTGTACTTGTTTAAAAAATACAGATTCATTTTTAAATTCAAAATAGGGAAATCTCCCTGGAATGACCACCAGCATTTATGTACTTATTTCATATACTTAATTATTAACCTTTGAAGTCCCCGCTGGAAACCAGCGTGATTGATTCCTGATCAATTTGTCACAATACTTCACCAGCATATACCATATATATATATATTAAGCACAGATAGGGGGTTAGTCATCACCATTCCATAATTATCTATTAAACATAAACCATACAGACCTGTATAATGTATTGAAAGCCTTCCTACAGTTGCCCATTGTACAGACGAAAGGCTTCGATTTCGTATGCGCGCGAACATGTATTTTTAAGCTGTACGATGTGAGAAATGCCTTATCACATGTCTGCATTGGACATTTGAACCTGTATTCACCTGAAAATAGATTTATTCACATTTTTAAAGGAAATAACATATATAAATAAAAATATTATAAATGCTAATGTTTATTTATAAAGATAATTGTTGTAGATAATTCATTTCGATACTATAAAACTCAATGAACTATGATTATTAATAATGTTGTTTAACAATGTAACAATGTTGTAAATAGTAATTAAGAGAAAACTATTTCACAGATTTATAGAGAATTTTATGGTCAAGTAATTTGTTACCAGACTTAAGGTCTTGAGTTTAAATTTAGTCGTAACCAATGACGTCAATAATTATGTGTGTCAATTCATATTTTTGGCTGACTCTCCAGTTATGAGAAAACCGATAATAAATTAGTTTAACCTACGAAAAGGTGGTTTTTCTCTTGCTATATCAGACACAAAGATACTAATCAAAATATATGTTTCAAAAGGTTAATAGAACATTGACAATAATTCTGCTATTTCATTTGGGATAACAGCTTCATCATCATTTCCTTGCATTCATCCTATTATTTGGAGTAGGCACAGTATGTTATCTCCTTCTACTCATCCCTATTCTACCCTTTAGTTACTTATATTGATTGTTATAATATTACTAGCTGAACTGACAAAAACAGGTTAGCCATATAAATTACTAGCACTATTAAAAAAAAAAAGAGTTGATGGTAGATGGGCGAAAATGTTGGGTTGTATTTTTTTTTTGGGCAAAACATAAAAAATTGATAAAATTATAGTCCAAAAATTTAAAAAAAACTTGTAGACTATCTTTATCACTTAGTAGTATGAAGTAGTTTATATCCTATTCTCAGACCTACTGAATATACATACAAAATTTCAGTAGAATCGGTCAAGCTGTTACAAACACTGTGACTTGAGAATTTTGTATATAAGATATCAACCTTTGTGTGTCTTCATGTGGGTTCTTAGGTTGCCCACAGTGCTGTAAGTCCGCTCACAGCCATCTTGCTCGCACCGGTATCTCGCACCATGGTCTTCCTGCTTACGATGATTGTTTTCCATACTGATTTTAACCTCTGTCTTTGACATATCAGGAGGTTCATCATGACTGGAGAACAAATTGATTATGGTTATGTATTGAAAAGTTAATCAAATAAAAATATATTCTATAATTCATTATATATGCATTATTATATTATATATTATGTGAGGTAGACTGCAAAGTGCTGTACAGCCTGAAACAGGTGAGACTGTGAGTGTACCCACACAGTACTATGCTTGGGTACACAGTCTCACTTGTTTCAGACGCCAAGTATCTTACTTTGTAAGCTGTACCTATTGTGGGGTACAGATTAGACAGTGTAATAACAGTATAAGGGGCTTTACATCTTATCTTCTAGAATTACATGTGAGTGATTTCACAAATGTCACATGATGTCTGTAGTGTTGTTCATATATATAGATGATGGTTACCATTACCATCAAGTTCAGGCCATAAGATTGATTGCCAATTACATAAATAAAAAATATAATATTTAAAATATATTTCTGCTATGGAAAAGCAATAACTGTTGTTTTAATTTGAAAGACAAGCTGATATTCAATTTAAATTTTAAGTGTATGCTTAAAATTTGGACTTAAGGAAGAGTCTCAATAATTTTATTCATAGCATAACAAGTTATCATAACCACAAGCCACCAAAAGTCAATAATTATTGGGTACAGGCAATAAATTGAAAATTACTTTCAGTTAGACCATACTGACTATAGTTTATGTAATTTTTCCATTCCAAATGTTAGACATAAAATTGTTTTGGTGATTGCTTCAGCCAAGCATTAGAAACACATTTTCATAATTTGTAAAAGTAGGCAAGTAGATACTTTACAAATATTCCTAAAAATATTGTCCTATAACAACCTACTGATAAAGATGTAATAGAACATTTACAAACTATCAATTTAAAGTAATTCATTTGAAAAAAAACTGATACAGGTAAACAACCTGTATCACTTTCAGAATTAATGAAAATATTTATCAAAGGTAGCCCTTATTGATCCTAGCTAGATAGAAAATATAACCAAACTATTTGTGTATGTCAAAAAATATTAAAAAATGAACTAGTAATTATGAATTAGTAGTGTAAATACACATGTATTTAAGTAAGGTATGAAATGTACCTTAGGCATCTTGCAGTAAACACAAATTTCTAATAAGTTTACAGGTTATCAGACATTAATGGAGTTGTTATTTGTTAAAGTATCAGTTACCTCTTGCTCGCCACTCTAGTGTATTCCTTTTAGAATACAAAATTAGGTAGGATAACATCACATCATGATGGTAATGTACCAAAATAGAATGCCCAAAAATGAAACTACACGAAAAAGACCTGATATATACAATTACACGGGTAAGAGCGAGACAAATGTATATTGACAAACAGCTGATTGAATAACTAACAAGGAACTTTATAGGCGGCAATATGATGGCAATTCTAAATTTGAATAACCACAGTGATAAGATTTTGAGATTTTTCAATAAAACTTACGGTAACAATCCATTATATTCAATATTATTAGTTTTATGTGATATTTTATTTTCCGACGTCACATTTTCTGCAGCAAGCTTTACATCGTCACACACTCCAAATTTTCCAAAATGCTTATCTAAAGACTCGTAATATAAATCGGCGTTGGTATCGACAGTAAATTCACTCTTTAAAAATGTTTTATTATTCTTTTGTGTGGAGTTAATGGAACTGTCACCGAGCCATGAGGCCATGATTGTTTGTTTCATTCATTCAATGACTGTAGTGATGTTCGTTTCACGTACTATACTGTAGAAATCGATAAAGAATCGGTAACACAAACGTTCCAGGTGTACAAAAGATGGCGCTACAGTTTGATAGCTATTTCACAAACTAAACATAACATAAATCGTAAAAATATAGAATCCTTCATCCATTCATCTAAATATCTGATGTCACGGAGCCTAGTATCACAGTTTTTTAACTAGTGATGTATTTTAGCATTGTATTTTTTAAAAATGAGTACAAAAACTGTGGGATACACAAAATGTGTTGAAATGTTATAGTTTTCCAACAGATGGCGCTGAAATTTAATATCGAGAGTAATCTTGGAAAATTAGTAGGTAAGCGCCCGCACAGAGGACCTCCCGATTAAACTCCCGTTATAATGGACACCATACCACTTGTTGTCTGCACGGGCAGTGCGTCGACCGCACGCCCTTCTTACGCGAATGTGGCATCTTCACATTCGGAGAATATTTCGCATATAAATTGTGTCGCATTAGTGTATTTCCATTATACTTATAGTTAAATAACTCAGTTTAACATTTAAAATGTGTGTCAAAATTTTATCATTTTATATTAATTTGGTGAGTGTATTTGATATATAAATAATAAACTTATTATTAAGTGAATATATGTATTCACCTACTTAAGAAAGTTACAATTTAAACTTTTTTATGTAAGTACATAAATTGTAACTTTGTTAAGTTTCTTAGTTTCACTTAATTTTTTGTAGGTATTCGAATATATTAACAGATAGATTTTGCGTATTTATTTCCAGTATATTTTGATGCTTCTTTTACTTCTGTTGATACACTAGTAAGGACTAGTGTTGCTAAAATTTAGTCATTTGTTAGTTAAATTTAATTTATTAGTTATTTAATTTAGTGAAACTTATTAGGGCTTTAATCAATTAATAATAATAAAACTCTTTATTGTGCATAAAAGAAACAAATAATTACAAAAAGGAAATAAAAAAAATAAGATATAAATTAGTATTTATATCTTCCCATTATTTACATTGATATTGAAATATGTATTAATGGATACACAAACATTTATTGATTCGTAAAAAAATATGTTCTAAGAAATAGCATTCCTATAACAGAATCTAATAATTATTTTTTTAAATTTCTTAAAATAAATATTTTTCCCGATATCATCCGAAAATGATGTACTGTTTATGTAGGTACATAAGTATATGCCTATATGTGCCTATAAGTATATTTATACCTAAATATATGTTATAGAAGTGTTACTGCAATTTTTTTGTAATATTACCTACCTAATATAAAAAACACATCCTTATTATTACAAAAATATTTTGAAAGGTTTCGAACTACTACAAGTATTAAAAGAACAATTTAAATGTCCAAACATTAAGTACCATTTTCTAAACCTTTACAAATTCTCAAAACGTACCGATGTCGGTACCTATTTGTAAAGACATGTCTTGAATATCTAATATATTGAATTATCACAATTAAACAATTTTATCATGTTCATACGCTCATCATAGCTTCCTCTAAACTCATCTGTTGCATGCTCCACTGACTCATTGCCTATGCATTCAGAGCGAACAGACCGTTGAGGCAGCTAGGTAAAAAAGGCATGAACAGTGGGTGAAGTTTATCTTCAAGTTTACTGTTACCGGCGGCACCCATTCGCTCTAAACGCATTATCGTGTCATTAGTTAAAGGTGGATGACCGACTTTGAAATATTCCTTAGTCATGAGACGTGTTCCTAACAAAGGCAAAAAGTGTGGACACCATAACGCTAAAACAATATTAAAGTAATTGTGCATAAAAGTAGTGACTAAAAATGATTTAAGTTACTGATATTTAGTACATTGTAACGTATTTATAAATTAGTAACAATTTTTTTCTTGTATTTATAAAGTTGTACAAAAACGAACTTAAGTCATATGGCACATGTATTGAATATATTACAAAAGTACTGTCGTTTATTTTTCTCTATGTGAAAGGTTATTAACACGAGTTCGCAAAAACGTAACTGCAATATAAAGTAGGTACCTAAATATTTATTAGAAAATAAACTCATAGAATGTAGAAAACATGAATAAGTTTCCTTATATAAGTTTTACAATGACTACCTACAACTCTGGCTTTAATAGTAGTTTTATTCGAATTCATTTTGGAAAATAACTAAGAGACAACTTTTACGTGAATTAACGCTTATTCAGCAATAACCACAATGACGTTCGAAAAAAAGTTGGTCATTGTCACCATTCTACTTTTCTTATAGTCATTAGTTCTATATTCAATTGTAATTTTTTTTCTGATGGGACGTTAAGCTAGAAATAGCTATTTTATTTTTATAATTTTGTATTTTCGTTATTTTGATCATACTGTGGAAGCTTAATTATCAACTAATCTTGTTTACATAGTATAAAAGGAAGTCGTTTCCGCTATCGGTTCGCTTAGATCTTTTAATTTAATTTAATTGATGAAGTGATTCAAGAGGTATGTTTATTAGTATAATACATATGCGTGCGAAGCCTGGGCGGGTAGCTAGTATACAATAAATACGTTGGAGATACACAGGAAACTCTTAAATTTTTTTTTCTAAAAATGTAATAAATTTTGTGATAATAGTAAGTATTAGTGAATTGTGTAACTTATAGTGTTATTGCTATAGTATACGCATAATTAAGTAAATAATTTAAATCTATTTGATAATGTTAAAGTGAGCGAATAAATTATCCGATTAAAAATCGATGAGTCAATGACAATCGAATTGCACTTTTGATATATATCTATATATCAAAATTGCATTTGCATATTTATTAGGTACATTGACGACTTTGAAATCAGCAACTAAGAATTGACTAGGGTCTCTAGCTGTATTTGAGTACCTAAGTTTTATTCTAAATTAGTTGTGTTCATAATTAATGTTATTCGCTGTCAGTATAACTGTCTATACGCGAATGAACATTTAAAATAGTTATACAAAAAATATTTTCGAATATTAGATTTTTTTTATTTAATTATAATGGACAAAGAAACAGAAATCAAAGCTTTTCTTTTCATAACAGGAAAGGATACAATATGTCTGATTATCTATTTTCTGAGAAGTGGGGCGTATATAATAACAAAATAAGTGAATAATTGTTCCTTATAGACAAAGTATGAAAAGCTGCGTTTACATATAGCAATACGGCATATATTTGAACTTTCCATGCCTATCTATATATTGAATAAGTAGTAGTACATTGACCGCTCTGTTTGTTTTTGTCTCTGCTGAAAACATAACCTATGTAAAACGGGCAATTAGGGTTAACCAACACGTAATAATATGCAAATGCTCACATGAGTTGGCTAGGGGAAAGTCAAGTAGCTACTGCCTATAGCTGAGGAAATGTCCGACTAAGTCGACAATAAGGTTGGGGCAACGAAACCAACGAGAGCCAGGAAATTAGTATATACCAATATTATAGTATGTGAAAATTGTATACTGTAAGGATTCTCAACATTTTTAATCGGTTCCCATTTCCTGGCTCTTGTTGCTTTCATTGCTCCAACCTACGGGACGGGATAAACTACCAAAATATACTTTTAGTGACTTTATTAAATTTGGCTCATTGTGAGTAATTTTGTTTAATTCACAAGATAGGATAGTGTTTAATACAAGATAGTCAGTGTAGAGAATATGGGAATCTCTATAGGATTGCCCTATAGAGATTCCCATATTCTCTACACTGCATGTCCAGATCTAATTATTGAAATGGTTAGTATAAAATCTAACTATTTTACTACTTCTCGTAACATTACAAGTTTCACTTTTCTATGTAATTGTAAACTCAAACTAATTTACTAACATAGGACCTTTTCGGTCTTTTGTGAATGTCGTAATTTATGACTATTCCTACCTTCCATGTCGGCTAGCTACTTCAGTTCTATAGAACTGGCAAGAAATTCAACTGTTAATATTATTTTTTTAGTTAGTTTCAATCTTTAAATATTACATATCATTGAACATATACCTCGTATGAACGATTCATAATCAAATGAAATTGCAAACAAGTAGACAATGCATCTAATTATGTATAAGCGGTAATCGTCGCCTATACATATATAGTTACTCCACAGATTTACATTATAATGTGATGTCTGTGATATCGATCATGCATTGGCATTCCGAAGAACTAGGATTTAATTATGGGCTTGTAATTTTATAAGGTGCAGTAGAGTCATCACCGAGACTCTCTCTCTAAAGCATAGTTATTTGGTACTCTCTCGTAAAGCATGTTTATTTGGCTACTGAAAGAAGTGAGGCTAAGGTGTGGTGTGCATTAGAGTCACTTTTTATCGATTTCTTTGTCTAGCCACACGATATCTTACAGTTTAGCCAATGAAGGCATTCAAGGCATCTACGCGGCATCCATGACAGAAAAAAAAGACAGCATGTTTAATTCATGATATGATGTGAATTTGCCAAGGTCAAGATGAGCCTGATTTTATACTCATTCTTTCATCAGCATAGGTATGACATTAACGCAGAAAGATAAACAAATTCTAAGAGATTCACAAATTCTATTATTATTCATAAAAAAACACATTATTTTCGTAATGCAATTCCTAGATTAATATTTAAAACAATTGTTTAAAGATCGCGTGGGCAATGATTACAAACCATTAGATAAATATTTTTTCTTTCTTTCTTAAAAATGATTTTGATTAATTTAAAGTAAATATGTCTATTTATGTGTGTATATTATTAAACGATAATGTTATGCGTATATTTGATTGGCAGATATTATACACAAAATTTTAATTCTAGATAGCAAATTCACTTCAGGTTTCGTTACCCACTATACATAATATATAAGTACTTATGTATATCAAATACTCGGAAATCGAGCAACAAAAATGTCGTACAAGAACGTGCTGACCATACAATAAGCTCAAGAGACCGCTAAGCACTTTCGCTGCTTTTTCTTTAAACAAATTTCACTTTTGGGTCTACAGAGACTCTCGTTGATAGACATAATAATAAACACACTTGTCCCTGAGGACTAAGCATAACGTTGAATAGAATTATAGTATTCAAAATACGTAACGCATGAAAGTCAATTATTGCTTATGAATCTATTACATCACAGAAGTCCTTCGTCGTTATCTTTCTTATTATCCGCGGAAAACAAATTATACTTATGGAAAAACTATTTTTCCTAAAAAATAGAACAGTGTGTCATTATACCTCTATGTAAATACTCACATTTTGTTACTAAATTATGTTGCTACACTACTTCTATAATGTAACGGTACGCACTGGACGTTACTTTGTATAAATGAGGCTTTAGTTCTGGGTGCTCAGTGTTATGTACGCAGGTGTTTGCCATCAGACTTTTCATAACAGCTTTGATTTTAAAATAGGCAATTGTTGACTTTATCGTTATTTTTAAGAATATGCTTAATTATAATTTATCCAGATTATAATGAATAACACCCTTTGATAAATAGATCCGTCTCTGTCGGCAATTATTTAGAATTTTATTTAGACTTGTTATAATTAGGTTAAATAAAACGAGGTCGACAAGTTTAGTAACAAAAATCCCCAAACTCGATTTAGATAATAAAAAATCTTGGTTATCTACGCCAATTGTCGTTTCATAGTGGACGTAGATAGTTGTCTAACATAGGCGGTTTTTTGATTGATGATGCAAAAGTGATATCAGACTGGTCGCTATCAGATGATTGGTTAAAATTTTCCATGAAATGACAAAATTATTAATTATTAGCACAAAAAATCCTTACAAACAATTACTTCCTTTATAGTTAGTGTCCTCCTTAGGCAGTGAGCACATGATCATATAGATTTATTAAATAGTAATTGCTAATAGACACTAGTTTAGATACATATTATTTAGAAAAACAATAGTTAATAACTGTTGTTACAATAAGTATGGTTGACAAGTAGGTATTAATAAGTGCCAATATAGTTTGATAAAACACGAGAGGCACCTGATAGCGAAGCAAGTCATACAAACGGTTCAATGACATGTTATTAAAAAATGACCTAGAAATCGACTACGAGCACTTTCTTTTGAAGGTCTTACCGATTCGCGCGTCACTACACTAGGCTATCTAATGTTTCCGGTCAAACAATCACCGGATGTAGAAAAAGTACCTAAGAACTTATTTAAAGTTGTGTTCGTTCCTAAGGGGGAAAATGGCAGTTATTAGTTTAATTATTTTTAATATCATTTAAAACGAGAACTGTGATAATTAACCTTTGAATATTACAAATTGTAAGAGTACCAAATTCGTTTTTATTACGTAATATAATTTTAATTTATTCTTATCGGTTGGTGCCAAATTTTAAACGTTATTTTATATTCACATTAAATAAAATCCAAATATCTTTTTTATATTCGGAATGTAGTTTGTTGTGGCAATAAATTTTCAAATGCCATTGCACATAATTACATTAAATCGTTAAGCATAAACTTTGCCCCCCCAAAAACCGGTTTTTTTTACAAAAATTGCACAGACGAAGGATTATGAAATTTCGCCCATTTTATAGTTTATGGAGAGAAAAAGTGCATTATACAATTATTTTTTAAATTGTGTGTCAAAAAAATTATATCGATAAAGAACATTACATACACTACCACGAATTTGACATACCTACATACATACACACAGAAGTAGTATTTGACAATACAACCTTAATAATGTTCAAACTTCTGCCGGAGCCACAAGAAGAGAAAAAAAAGTTCAAACTTATAATTTAAAGATTGAATTTCGAACATTGAGGGCCGTAGTGCCACAATATTAAATTTTAAATTTAGAGTGAATACAGTGACCACCAACATATGCTATTATATATAATGATAGTAGTTTAGCAGCCAAAATTTCTTGTCTTTTTTCCGCCTCTTCTCTCCTTTGCATCGGCATATCTCTCTTTCCCTTTCACTTACAAAGTATGTAAACATTTGAGATAAGGAATTTAATTTTATGTTTTTTGATCCTGTCGATAAAGGGATAACCATCTGTGCCAGCGGTTTCACCTGCGTGAAATTAAAAGCCTATATGTTATTCTGATGCAAGTATAAGATATTACTGTAGAGTTTCATCAAAATCCGTTCAGTAGCTTTTGCGTGAAAGAGTGACAAACATTCATCGATACTCACAGACTTTCGCGTTTATGATTTTAATAAGATGGTAGATATACTATTGTATAGATGAAAATATGAAAGTTTAAAATAAAATTAATAAACGACCATGGATATAGCGCTGTCTAATTCCAAACTCGGCACAGTTTGCGCTATGGGTACCTACTGTTTTATGGGTCATGATGGAATGGTGCATCCACTAACGGTATACGCTGGTGAGGTATCAATAGAGAATGATAGGATAAGCATGCCATTAAGTAAATTAGCCCGTCATTACAAAATCAACAGGAATCTATACATATAAATAAAATTGGAGTGTCTGTTTGTAATATTGAAATAACCGTTTTTTACTACATGCATATGAATATAAATACGGTACATAGACTAAAATAACATTTTTTTAAATTTTTGTCTGCCTGTCTGTCTGTTTGTTCCGGATAATCTCTGAAATGGCTGCACCGATTTTGACGGGACTTTTTTTGGCAGGTAGCTGATATAATAAGGAGAAAGTACTTTTATTTTAGATAAATAAAGTGAAATTCCACGCGGACGAAGTCGCGAGTACAGCTTGTTATTAATATACTATATTGCACTTGTAACACTAAAAATATAGATGGTTATACAAAAATGGGAGCAAGGGTGGACTTATCCCTAAATGAGATCTCTTCCAGCCAACCTGACGTTGGGACAGAGGTGGTAATTAGCGGGCAAGGATAGCGCTGAAGTTTGAGTAATTACAATATTAAAAAAAAATACTTATCCACGGTACTCCCTTCTGACATGGGACCTACTACAGCAATGAAAAATTACTCTCCGTTTTAGCAATTTTCTCCCTCTCCCAGTATGGGAACTAGTCAATGGTTACTAATACAGACAAACAGTCTTTAGGAAAATAATGTTTAATTTATTCGAAAATCAAACCCCCGACTCTTAGAATGTGTGCTGGTGTCAAACCTCTACACCATAAAAAGGTAAAATAGAAACTAAATAAACATATCTAAGTAGTCGTGATATTACTATGACATGCCCTTAATGTGGGTAGACCACAATTTGGACAATAATAAGGACAGGTTCTGTTTTATAAATACGGTTGGAGCGACTACGGAAACTGTGTCATTCGGCCACGGCACACATACCGCCCTCACGACTGCCTCACGTTCACTACTGACACTGTGAATGATTTTGTGCTCCTTGCGATCATAATAATTCATATTTCTATTATTATAATCGTTATTATTAATAATAATCATCGTGATAATCATTATTATCACCATTTATAATAAATTAAGAAACGATTGAGAAAACAGAATGCCATCAGTCTGCCATGTATACATTTCTGTATGCTGATGAATAAATTACTTCATAATAAGAAATATAATCACAAACTATGTTTATCTTTTCTTTAATTCTATATTCTTTCTATTTATCTTTAATAGTACCTACCTACTTCGATAATATTTTGTTCTATGCCTACTTACTTTCTTGTATGTACGTAAATCGATTTAAAAAAGGACTAGATTCTTATTATATCTTAGTGTATGTTATATATTTTATTACAACAATAACAGATTATTATAATTATTTTTTATTTGAAATCTGTTAATTCTGGCGGTTCCATAAAAAAATAATTACTCAGTAATGCTTAATAATGCGATTGGAGTTCGGTTTTTTTCGTTGCCATTATTAATATTTTTATTTATTCAACCATAACTACTAACTGTTAAGCACGTGATTCATGTTAATTTATTGTTATTTATTTCGAATTTCAGGCGTTACTAGCATACTGCGTGGCTGATTGTGGGCCGCGATTAAAGTATGCTTGGGGAGATGCACTCCAAGGCACGGACTGTCCCGGCCCAGATGGTACACCCTATCCAAGGTATTATTTGCCAAGTAGATATATAAGTAGAAATATATTTATTTTGATTGATAAATAGAAAGGTCTTACGTACCGGATTTTTTTGCCGTTCAGATAAAATTTTAGCGTACACATTTTATAAAGTAGAATACATAGTGAATCTACTATATACAATAAATAATAAACGTGTTTTTTCTCTAAAATGTACTAAAAAGTTCCACTCTGCTACTTTGTATAGCGCAGCTTTGACTCGTATTGGTACATACGAGTCACAAGTAGGGCGACTATGGGTTAAGGATATCTGCGGGAAATAAAATGTTTTCCGGTTGTCAGAAAGTATTATAGTCTTTTTAATTTTTTAAGACTCTGTAATTCTAATTAATAATAATTTCAAACTTTTCTGTGTCTACTTATTATTTTTCTCCGGATATCCGCCAAATGTTTTCCGCAGTAATAACAGGGCATCAAAATATTTAGGGAAATTCAGGAAAAATGTTCATATAAGAACATTTTTTATTTACTTGTTTCATATGTATTTGTTTTAACTTTATTATTTTGCTTTGACTATAAAAGTTCTATTAATCTTTGTATATATAAATATTTATTTATTATTAATAGGTGCTCTATATGACTGAAAAATTGTTTTCGTGAAAACCGAAACTGAATATTCCATATTGTAATAATTTTTCATATTGCATAATATTCGTAACCACTACAATATTTTTACAATATAATAAAATTTAGTAAAAAGTGGCTGTGCCTGAGTGCACCCGCGTGAAATTTATTTATTTATTTATTTATTCATTTCAATATTACAGATAATATTTAGAGCCTATGTGTTATTCTGAGGTAGAAGCTATATTATTTTCAAAGTTTAATTAAAATCAATTTTGAGTAAATTTGGCATGAGAGAGTAACTAACAAGAGTGCGGATGGGCCGCACTTCCGCTTTTATAATATAAGAAAGATAATGATGTCAAACCTATACTGAACTTACTAGATGTGTTTAGTACCTAGATTCATTAAGTAAATTAAATTACTCGTGTACTTTAAAGCATGTACTACATACTTAATTTATGTTCTTACTGTACATAATTGCTTTTGTCTAATTATAAACTATCACTTTAGCGTACACTGACCTTGATCCAAACCGGTTTTATTGAATAATCTGTACTTACTTATGGGCAATACGCGTCTACTGGCCTGGCCAGCCGGACAACGTGGCTAATGTTTATCTTTCTCCGGGTTACAGTCGATTTACTCGACGGCTTCGGTGGTCTAGTGGTTTAGCACACCTCTTTACGTCCGATGGTCGCGCGTTCGATTCCTCGTACAGTACAAACATTTGTATTCATGAGTATGATTATTTGTATCGGTCCTGGTGTTTTCTATATATATATTATGTATGTATTTACAAAAAAAAGTATATATGTATTTATATTAGGAGTCTGGTACCCATAATACAAGCTCAGCTTAACTTGGGATTAGATGGCGCTGTGTGATTTTGTGAGAGTGTGTCCAAGGATATTATTATTATTTATTTCGGTTAATAGCCAAGACTTCATTCAGTTAACTATGTCGGATATCCAGGGATTTACAACTCTATATTAAGAGGTTTATGTCCACGCAATAAAATTGCAATGTTACCTGCATTATTAGTTCTTCATATGTCTATTCAGAAACCTTGCGTCTTCCGTCACCTAAGAGCGATAGCAATACTTTCAATTGAAATTTTGCTGGAAATATTTACGTTCCGCTCTACTCGGCTTATTCTAACAGTCAATATGAAGGTATCTGTTTTGTTACACTGAAAATTCATTAAAATTCCAGCGTCTTTCACATTGTTTAAAAATTTACAACTGTGAAACGTTGATCTTAGTTGTCTTATCTTATGAACAAAATTTTATCGAGTTTAATTAGTTATTGTAGAAAGTTTTAATAATAGCATGTATTGTAAGGAGAGGCATAAAATATCTAATTTAATTAATACAGAACTGTCCTTGCTCTATTTATTCACTCTGGACAGATGAGTTTATTGAAGAGATAAAGTAAATTAAAAAAATTGGCAGAAAAGTTCCCTCGATAACAGTCGAGCTTAGAAATGTGATATTATTCAAACACCACGTGATGAAGTTTGTTTAAGTCTAAAGAGGAGTCTCTTTATCTAGTCAGGAGGATAGACGACAATTCGTTTCTATAGTAGAAATGTATAATATTAAAGAAATACAAGAGCATAGTCTGTTACTAAACAGACAGACAGGTGATGATGGCATTCAAACTTGTCGAGGAGCCATATATGGTATGTAAAATCAATATAGAAAAGTCTGTTAATTTAATTTGAAAAGAAACTGTTAATATAATTTTGCTGGTCCAGATTTATTGGCTGCTTTAGATGATAGTGATCCACCTAATTCACATAATATCAGTACAATGTTTTAACTCAAAATATTATAATAAACAACACCTGTTCTCACCCAGACGCAGAGAACAGCACAGGTCTTGATGTAACTAACCATTCTAATGACGAATTTGTGTACATGATGGTGTAACAGTGGATATATTAGCAAGTACATATATTTAGAGACCTTAAAAATATATTTATTCTCGAAATTATAGATGTTTGATAAGAGATATCTAGAGTAATTGGTGTTCCCGATATTATAGTGTCTTAAAATGGTGTGTTGGCAATTAAATAGATTTGTAGTCGAAGATCAATTCACCTAGAATTAATAGAAAATAATTTATTCAAATAAACTTAATTTAAGCACATTTGAATAGTCATAACATTTTTTTTCTATCTACCGCTCGACCGGAAAGCTGTCTCATCATAAGAAACTTGTGTGTTGCTCTTTCAAATAGTCCTTGTAAGTTTACGTTTACAAGTCGAAACGTGTGAATACAAACTACCAATCAACACTAGTTTTTTTGGGTCTAATATAAATAAACAATAAGATTAAATCAGTCGTAGTGATAAGAGCAGACCAGTCCCTACAAGCAGCACTCGTTCACGAGTATGACGGATGAGCCAGCCATCACTGCGCTCGACAATATTTTAGGGAGCCTAATGACCCGGCCATCTGGTGGACCGACGATCTGGTCAAGATCGCTGGAAGGCATTGGATGCGAGCAGCGCAGGACCGATCGTCGTGGAGATCTTTGGGGGAGGCCTATGTCCAGCAGTGGACTCTTCCGGACTGCGATGATGATGATGATGATGAATGACCCGGCCCACCACGCCGCCACATGTCTGGACATTTTAGTGAGCATGACTACTCATTCCACTCGACCACGTCACAGCTACTTATCTACAATATACATTAATTACAATGTTTAATGAAACGATATGCAGACCTCCAAATGAGGTAACGTCTAGCATAAATCTGAAAAAAGATATAGTTTCTGATATAATATCTGAATAGCTTGGTTTATTAAGGAAACTTTATATATTATAGATACGATTTATCAATTTAAACTAATGTTAGAGAAGTATTAAGAGTTGTTGTAAAATTCTTTTATAATATTGACCCGTTCTCCAAATCTCTCCATGCTGCTAATAAAATAATAGATGGATACCACGGATAGCTGATTGTTAGTAGTGGCCTCATTACTAGCAATAATATTCAGTTGATGTCAGGTCGACTTCGACTTGGTTCTCTGTATAACTATTGTGGTTAATTGCTGATAAATTCTCCACGGTGGATTAGTTGACATTAGTATATTCTCATCCTCCCCTACTGATCTGATAACGTATATACGCACTTGCTGGTGCACCATTCTGTAATCATCAGTTAAAAAAATCATCAGTATACGTTTTATTTCGTAATTTCTTCGAGTATCTTCTATTAAGTTGTATAAGGAAAAAGTATGAAAATAATTTAAGTTTATTGTAGGTACAAAATAAATAGGTCGTAAAAAACCGTAGGTAGAAAAGTCTATCTGTCTAGATCTGTATTCGCGAATAAATTTGAACGTTGGTTTCGCGATGTTTTTTGCTACCAAATCCATCTACCTGATATTCTAGCACCTGTTTTGCACTTTTTGTTCTTTTATTTTAATTTAAGTTTATTTATCAGAATAGATCTTATCTGTGGTAGCAGGTAGATATAATGGGCATTAGTATTTATATTATTTGTAGCTATAGTTACAGTTAATCTACCATCATCTGCACGCTATTCAATTTAGTATTTTGTGAGAACATTCTCACCACATCAACCTTGAGTAACTCAATCAAAAAGTAATTTTCACACTCAAATATTTGCCACCTGTATAATTTGGTAAAGTATGTACGTAATCTTTATAGTTTGCTACTAAATAACGTGACGGTAACGGGAAGCTCAATTTTTGCCTAACGAGACATCTGTAATATTAATTTTATAATAAACTAGCTGTGCTCGCGATTATGTCTGTGTGGGACAAGGACCTTGGATAGCATTATTAATTATTTATTTATTATATTTTACCTTTCTAAATGTAAAACATTTACAAATTTTGAATGTCGTATTTATTTATATTTAATCAAGAGCCTAAAAGTAGTACAATAAGTTTCAAACTTCTAGTTTTAAAAATAACGATACTTCCACAAAACCTTTCATCTGCCCTATCAACCCCTTGCAATCATTTTTTCGCATTGAAAAGTAGTATATGACCTTTCTCAGGGTCTAGACTATCTGTGTACTAAATTTTATTTAAATCGATTCTGTAGTTTTCGCGAGAAAGCGCGACAGACAGACAGACAGAGGTACGTTTGCACTAATTAACCAGGTGGGGTAGCAATTTTATTGTCTGTTCGTGTCCATGACTAGTGACACCTAGTCGAAATGTCGAGAGAAGTATACCTTTACCTTACCACACGATTGTTCATGTTAAGACCCGTTTAACTATATAATAATAATAATTATATTATCTGTGATAATAATAATACTCTTGGACAATTCACACTATGTCACCTAATCCCAGGTAAGCAGAGGTTGTGTAGTGTGTTGTATTTGTACCGTGCGAGGAATCGAACCCGAGACCATCGGAAGTAAAGCGGTATGCTAAAACGCTACACCACCGAGGTCATCGTATGTCATACATCATAATAATGTGTACTACACATGAAAGTTTAAAAATGTCATTATTTCATTTCAGACATTTAGTGAACAGGGCATTGAAGTCTGGACCATGGGGCCAATCACGCCAGGGGCGAGGAGTTCGTACCCTGGACCCGGCGCTGATGAGGCGAGCTCTCCTTGATGCGCACGAGGGTTACTCCGAGGCGAAGGCCAAAGTCCACACTGGCAACAGAACTGGTATATTTATATTTATTCCGTGTTATTGGTATTACAAAAGATACATAAGTACTAATATTACAATTGCGAAAGTGAACTGTCTGTTAATTTTTTATGCTTAAATGTTTGGAGTAAAGTTAATGAATTTTATAGAAATATGAATTATTATGACCAAAATAGGAGGCTTTCACCTCCTATTTTGGTCTCATGTTGCGAAAATAAAACTGAAATAGGGGATCAGGAAAATTATATATATGTCTAGGATAATTATATGTATATGGGGGAAGTCAGTAATTTCTCAAAAAAATATTGTAAAACTCATCATAATTACACCTTTCGTAAAATAACACATTGTACGCAAATAATATATGAGTACAAGTATAAAATAATTAGACCCCAAAGTTTTGCACTTTAGGGTTCAAATCATTCGGATCATAGTATAAAATAAAATCTTTTTCCGAAAAAAAAAATAATGGCTGACTACCCACGAACGGTTAACCGTCGCCCATGGACAATACTATAGACATCACGTTATTATGCTACCATACCATTCCTAACTAGGACTAACATGTCATGCCTCAATATTCTGTAGTTTCACTGTCTTATCTGACCCAAAACCTTGACCCTTCAAACAAAACAGCTTACAAACAATGATGCTTAGTGACTGAAACCCATGCTTTTTACAGTCACAATCTCTACTTGTCAAGTCAAATCGTATTTCTTACTGATTCTTTGCCGGCTAATTCTCCACTCATTAAACAATAATAATCATCAAACATAAGTATGTATAATAATTGTTGCAATTACCGAGACGTCGACAGTTGTTTCTCTATCTAGAATAACAGTTGTGATGGTATATCTCCACTTTTTCTGACTTCTTCCAGGTCGTGCCACGAACCTTCCAGGCCTGTCTACGATGGCGTCTAACTCGTGTGGTGGATCGAGACTCTGCAGAACACGATATAACACCACCGCCCCCATGTATGGAGTCTCGCTGACATCTGGACAGCCCGTCACTATAGTCCAGAAATTCCCAGATCTTCTGCAGCAAGTGGTATTCGAGGTTTGCGAGTGAGTATACTAATATTTTTTTTATTCGGTTATAAGATCCATGCTCACTAGTGATCCATTAGATATTTATACGTGGTTACGGAGTTTTCTAGATGGACTCGGTTTTGCTAAATGGTATACCAATTGAGGTTGATACGATAGACTATCTGACCTGACCTCAAGCTCATGTTGAACTTGAGGTCACGTCAGATAGTCTATCGTGACAAGTTAGCTATGAATTAACCGCAGTAGTTTTTAGGGAGGATCACTTGGTGATCTACCTGCCATTGCCAGCTATAATAACAATAATATCCCTGGGCAATTTATACAGGGCCATCCAGTTCCAAGCTAAGTAGAGGGTTATGGGTACTAGACAACTGATACAAATACTTATATATATTTGTAAAATACATACATAATACACATAGAATACACCCAGACCGATACAAACAATCATACAAATGTTAGAAATGGGGGTCACAGTCACCAGTAATAAAAATCCCTTTCGAACTCATAGTCACGGAGTAAGATTACGATAGAGCCATCAGGAGGAAAAAAGGAATAATATCAGTACAGGAAAGGGAAAGTCGAATAAAAGACTATACCAAGCAATAGCTGGTGTAGCAATAATATATAGGATCACGTGCAAGCTGGTTTAATATTCCATGTCTTTAAATATAGAAGTATTTTTTTAGTCCTAGTACCTATGTTAATATTATTTGATTGCACAAAGATTGAGTGCAGAGCGGTCTCTATATTGATCGTCGCATGCCCAAACGTTGTAGAGACTCGCAAGTTTCTTGCTCATCCAAAAAAATATGACTATTCAAAAGTGTACATACTATTTTTATTTCTATTAATTTAAAATTGTACGTGTTCTTTCTCTTAATGTATCCTAACAAAATACCTTTTGTTTTATCCATTTCAGATCAAGTGAATGCTCCCTAGTGCGGGGTTCATGCACCCAAACGTATGTACCTTATTTATTCTTAGTTCTTCCTTTGGGACCTGTGACTTTAACTGGACAGGACTACGTGCTGGTGGAGTCAGGGTGTGTCTGCAGGCCAGATCCTATGCCATAGGTATTGTATCTTAATTAGATAGGTGTTATACGAAATTATCATGAATACGTGTAGCTTTTCTTATAGTTATAAGGAGGCGTAGTAACACATTGAAGTCCAACAGACTGCAGTTTATCGATGTCAAACATCATTAATATTGATTCAAAAACAATCGATATTGATAACTATTCTCAATCGATCAACCTACTAAAACATTGACACGATAACAGTATGCCCTGGCTAATATATTCGAAACAGTTATTTTATTCGACATTTTAATTGAAAGTAGTTGCTATATTGACTTCACGTTTCCGATCATAACTTTGTTCTATATTTGAATTTGAAAATCGAATCGATTAAAATTTGAAGTAAAAGAACGAATGAGAAATGCGTGTATAGAGTGAATGAATCTGTTGTATTACTTGTATTAAATGTAGATGAATAATAATTAATTATAATAATTATTACAAATAACTTATTTTGAGAAAAATGTCTAATATACATCTTATAGTAAAATGCTACTAATAGTTAATAATATACAAGTAGACCTAATGTGCTGTGTCCCAAATTGAAACAATTTTAAGAACTATTATTATATGATCAAATTGATTCGTTATTGACAAACACATTCACACAAAAATGCATTCTTAATAATCACCAACGTCTTTTTATAGTCAAAGTTTCAATACTCACTCTATAATACTTGATGTTAACTCAATTGCCGATTTTAAAACAAATGGTATGAGTCGATGTTTTGTTTGTAAACTGCTAATCATTCTATTGTAATCAATGTTTATGACTACAGGCAAGATATATTGAGAGTTTGTGATTTCCTTGTAGATGTTTCAAGCCTTTCACATGCCAAAGTAGGTCGTAAGCTTTCTCATGGCAATATCCGTATTTACAACAAACTTTCGACCTTACTACATCACGCTTTTGGTAGGTTTTAAATAATGGATTAGAATTATGATAGTCCTCTTAAATACAAAATTACTAGGAAGGAAAAATCAATGGAAGTAAATATATACTAATATGGATGGATCAGTATATTTATTTTGGTCGATAGAATGTGAAAATCAAAAGAATTTTTAAGGAATGATTTAATTTGTGGTCGAAAAACATATTTCTCAACAACCAAATAATAATAAAATGTATAAATAAATGTAATGACCGAAATATCTATTGAGAAATAATCAAATAAATTATTGTTGGTTAATATTTCAAAGATTAGTAAAATTGTCTGTCCAGTACTTCTGTACCTAAGTTACGTTTTAAAAATATTAAAGTCATTGGGTTAGAAAAGTACTAATGTCATACACGAAACCAAGCTAGGTTAAGTTGTAGGGTTTTTAAAAGTCGATTATGATGTTATTATATTTAAGAGTTTGTCACATTTTCCCATGTTGCAACGTTTTTCATTGCAATTCAACCTATTGGTCGTAGCGTGATGTTATATAGCTTCCGATAAATGTGTATTCCGACACTAAAATTATTTTCAAAATCGGACAGTTCAGTTCGGATCAGTTGTAGCGGCAATTACTCCAAACGTCCAAACTCACAAACTACCTTTTTATAATATTAGTACGGATAAATGATATTAATATATAAATTAAAAGGTATAATTTACTGAAAGCTTCAAAAAGGTATTGGTGTAACGAAGGGTCTAAAATATTTTATTGGTTACTGTAAAATTGCCATGAAATCGTCTTGTATCGTCATGAATCGTCACAAATAACTTGTGCAAAATGATGTAAAAAAATGGGCAGTACCTAGGTAATATCCTCTTTGATTAAAACTGTTAAGTTACTGCGCAAGTTATGTATTATTAAAGTTTTGCTCAAGTTTATTGCTGCTTGTTACTAATAATACAAGACTTAAATTTTTCGGCCATTTTGTAGTTTGTAAAGCTAAAATAAATCTATATAGACTGAATTTATTATTGTTAATTTTATTTATTAAAATATATTTATATCTGTGCGCGCTGTTGTCTGTATTCATATTTTATTTATCGAATTTACTAGATTACTTAATTGTAAATTATTTTATGAATCCTGTTATGTGTCTGCGAGATGTTTCTTTAATTTAAGTAGTTTATTTTAGTTAATCCGGAACAACGAATGTAATAAACAATAATAAATTTTAACATATCCGTTGGTGTTTATTTTAATTATCATTGTACGTATAAATATTTTATTATAGTTATAAATTGTTTGCATATTGTGGGTTATGGGCCTTACAATAGTGTGGGTATCGCCTCAAGTAATCAGCCGCCAAACAGCTTGCTTTATAGGATGATTTTCAGTTGAAGGGTGAATTAAAGTTGTGAATTACAGGAATTAGAAGTACGATATCATTATCACAACTAGGATCATGTGATAACGTAACGTTCCTGATGCTGTTCATGTACATATATGTATTTAAATAGTCAACCTATAGGTTCCCATATATGACCTTAAGGGGGTCGTCAGTATCTTTGACATATCAATTACATAAAAAGTCTCGGTTTTGTTGTTGCGTTTAGGATCAAACATTAAATTTCAATATTTAATTATATGCACGAAGGGTAGTAATTTCAATAGTGACTAACAAATAATTAGGCAATTCAATATAAGAATTAAATATATTGTTGAAATTGTTGCCACCTACTATTTGACCACTGAAATTATTGAGCACATAATAGTGGTTTTTTTGGACAATTCTAATGCTGGCCACAGCTGGCCTTACAGTTTCACCGGATGATTCGTGACTTATATAGAGGCAAATTTACGACTTTATATAGAGTAATGGTTATGTCCAATAGTGGACTATTCATAATGGTGATGATTAGGCATAAACATAATAAATATTGACACAGGTAAATATATCTACCTATATCAAAAAGGTATTGATTTGAAATTCAAATACGATAATATTTTTTTTGTATGTATCATACAACGTTTATTTGAACAGCATATACATATAAAACCTCCCGCTCTACATATTTACAATCACATTCCTTACAATTATCTAATTTTCATAGAAATATAGATATTTTATTACAATTTGTAATGATATTATTGATATAGATATATTGTAGTGTATAATTATGAAAATTATTTAAATGTATTTATTGTATATAAATATATATGTTGTATATTATCAACAACAGAAAATAATATTAGAATTAATCGATCCACTATTTAACAAAATTAAAGTAAAGGTATTTTTTTTTAATGTAATACATTAAATTATGGCTAATTCGACAAAGAAAAAAAATAAGTACTTAATGAATAAATTATTAAAATGACTATTTTACTCTTTCAGATTATTTAAGAAAAAAATTAAGACAGTACGCACCGTCGCGTCGTCAATATTAAGTTATGTTATTTCTTATTTCCTAATCTGCTTAAATTATCTACGAGGAACAGATAAAAAAGTGAACTGTGCATTCTCAGTTTGCAATAATAATGTCTACTATCATTTTATAGATTTTTTTTGTGTATAAACATAAATAGGAAATAAGTATGCATATGGCTCTAGTATTAGTATATACCTACTGTAAATATGAGAGACAATTAATATTTATCGATATATAGTAAGTTTTGAATGATATGTAGTTATTTAATTCTTTTCTATTCTACTATAAACTAGGGTTACCAACCACACTATATTATGTACCCAGTACTTTAATGTACACAATTAAAATTGAATTACTGTATTGCAGAACATTTAGTCATTTGTTATAAGGATTGCAGATGTTCATCTGCATGCACGAATTGACTTTTATTGTCTTTATTTAAATGTAGACTCCAATTTTTCATTGCATAAGAAATGATACACTTGTATAAGTATACTTAACCTTAACCTTAGGTCCTACCTAAGGTTAAGTATAGTCATTAAAAACAGAGTTGATAATACTAGCTGATATAGTCAGAAATATAAAAAATAATGCAAGGTGAGTTAGAAATAGAAAAAAATAATCTGTTTTAGAAACATCAGTTTTGAATAAAGAATTGGTGGTAACCGATTTAATTGTTGATTTTGATCTAACTCTATTACTGTGTAGACATTATTATTGCTATATTAATATAATCTATTGTTCGTAACGGTAATACTGTGGCGCTTGCTGCTGTTGTTGGCGTGGTACGTGGGCGACTTGGGGTTGCGCATGCGCAACCTGCGCTTGCAATTGTGGCTTTGGCGTTGGGATCTTGACTACGATGTCGGTTGGTTGCCGAGAAACCTGAAAAAAAAACTCATATTAAAATCATTTTGAAAAAAAATTACAAATAGTTATTTTTCAGGATTTACCAAAGATAGACATTGTACAAAAATCGTCGGTGCATGTAACTTTGTCTCTACTATTTCATTCGCTAAGCAGCTTTCTAAGTAAGATGTGGTTTGTTTTCAGGTTCAGATACGGTAGAGAAATTACATGATATTGTGAAGTTCATCGTGCTCTTCATGTATTATATGTATATAAGTGACGATTACTACTTACCACCAGGCCGTTAGCTTGTATGTCATTATTATTCCATAAAGAATAAACCAGAAAATAATTTATTCAAATAAGCTTATATTGTACCGCTTTTGAATAGTTATCACATTTTTATTTCAATCTAGCGCCCATTCGGAAAGCTGTCTCACCACAAGAAGAATGATAAAGAAACCAGCATGTTGCTCTTTTAAATAATTTTGTTGTTACTTTAAATTTTTAAGTTGATGTATGTGAATACGAACTAGCAATTAGTACTAATTCAATTACATACTCAAATAGATAAAATATTAAATATACAACCAACTAGTTGAGTAACTAAATAATAGTAAATCAGTATTATACTCTAGTATCTTACCTCAGCCCTAAAGCCCTCTTTAGGGTCAGCGGTGTACGTGACTGTCCTCACGAAGCCATCGCTGTCCACCACGGAGTACGAGCCCTTGATGACGTCACCGTCGCGCTGTTCTTTACGGTTCTGGTAGTTGGTGTACTGGTCATCGTTGACATCGAAGCCGAACTGGTATGAAGGATGAGGCTGTGGAGAATTACATCATTAGAACTGGAATGTTTATATTTTGATTGATAGCATTATTTCAGTCAGGTGTTAAAATACACGTTACAATGGTAGGCTTTGTATGAAGTCGTCTGCGTAAACACCTATATCTCACCTATTATGTTTCCAGCTTCATTCTTAGTGAATAAATCGCTAAGAATGAAGCTGTCACATAATTATGATCAAACTTCACTTGGTAAGTTCGTTTGATCTTTAATTTCAGCTGCCAAACAAACTTAACATCTAGATAAATTATCATTACTTAGATATAATTATAAACATTTGTTTAGCAAACATAGTATTTACAAACAAATGAAGTTTACGTATGTATAATTGGGATTCAGTTCAATTCACACAGCGCTTAGTTCCGTTGCCCGTTCTAGTCCCAAGCTTAGCAGAGCTTGTATTATGGGTACAAGATAACTGATACATGTATAATTGTATATAGATACATTTTTATACATACATATATATAGAAAATACTCAGACTAATTCAAACAATCATGCTCATGAATACAAATGTTTGTACCCTGCGAGGAATCGAATCCGCGACCATCGGAATATGGCGGTGTGCTATACCGTTAGACAACGAGGCTGTATGTATATATATATTGTGTTATACAGCCATCACAACATAGTTACTTTTAAACTTCACTTCATCACAACATAATTAACTAATTAAAATACATTTAGGTGCTCTAAAATATATGCTAATAATACTTTATAGTGCTACAGCCGCGCTTACAGCGCTGATTTTCGTTTTGTGTGTCTGTCCATCCGTTGTAACCTTACGACTAAAAGACAGATCTATAATAATTTATGAGTTATATATTTCTCTATAAAAACAGGGAAGGCAGCGGGTGATTTGTAATCGACAGTCAAAATATAACTCTGAGCATAAAGTCAATTCGAATTGGGTTAATTAGTGAACGGAGTTCGTTTACCAATAGCGTGGAAAGAATTTAGATCCTATCTTTATTCATACCAAGGCTACTGTTACGATTTACTACCGTACAGTTTTTACGGTTGCCCTACAATTCCACTTGAATGCATGTTCGGTGAGGTAACTCCTTAATAGGACTATAACATAGTGTATAATAGTATGTAAAAGTTACAATATTTACAGAATTGAAATGAATTTGAAATAAACTTAAATTTAAGCACTTTTGAATAGTCATAGGTATTTTTTTAGTCTACCGCTCATTCGGAAAGTTGTCTCATCATAAGAAGATCGAGCAAGAAAGTAGCGTGTTCCTCTTTCAAATAATTGTTGTAACTTTACATTTTCAAGTTGTAATTTATGGTTACAAACTAACTGAATAAGTTTGTATAAATATACTTTTACGACTAATATTATACATGGGGTAGTCAGAACCGTTACCTATGTCGACGTCATGCTGAACGCAACACCTGAATATATACATTTCTTATATACAAATAAATAAAATTAAAGTATCTGTTTGTAATTATAAATTAACAGCTTTTCACTCAATATTTCATTAGTATACGAAAGTACATAAAAAAATTAAGTTTATTTATTTCATCTGTCCGTCTATTATGAACAAATAGACGGACATATGAAATAAATAAACTAATCTCAGAAACGGCTTGACCGATTTTGACAGGCCTTCATTCGTAGTTAGTCGTCATAAGGAGTAACTTAGGCTCCTTTTATATCGGGAAAATATTTATTTTAATAAAAAAAAAGGTTAAATTGCACCCGAACCAAGGCATGTTATAAGAAGCCGCGGCATCTATTTCGGATTAATTTTCTATCACATATGAATTAGTCAGAAATATAAATTAGACAGAAGGACTGTTTAACGTCGTGTAATAGAATTATTAATTCTTCTTACACCTCCTTTTTCTGTGGCCAATAAAACTTTTCTATTTTATTAATTATTGCGGTGAAAATATTAGCGTAGAAACGTGTATTTCCTGAATAAACATTATAGAAGACACTTTTATTGTCGCGTGCACGCAACTCCGTCAGTACTGGTTTGTACCTACATTTAACAGTACTTTGTAATGCGGATGGATCAAAAGGGGAGTATCGACAACTTTCACTATGAAACTCGACGCTCTATATCTAGATTGCTAGGGTTGTCGACTTTCCATTGGAAGTAATAAAATTTATACTAAAAGAGATAATGCCCTGGTAGTAGAATGCAGGAAGGCAAGGTTATTTCCTCGGGAATGGCAACGCAGATATACATATATTATTAGCGTACTCACGAATACAAATATTTGTACTGTGCGAGGAAACGAACCGCCGACCATGGGAAAGTAAGGCAATGTGCAGGCAGGCAGTAATACCGCTAGATTATCGAGGTTCAAAAAGCTAGTTCTATTATATTCCTACAGTTCATTTTGATATCTATACGGTTTTATAACTGTACCTCATTTAGTATAATGTGAACTGTAGTGAAATAGCAGGCTTTGTTTTTATTTGACAATTGAGGAATTAAAAAGTATAACAAATTTTGAAATAAGCATAAAAATATTTTAACATTTTAATGATCGTCTTAGTAAATAATCTCTTAGTAAACTAGTTACGATTACTAACTATTTTATGGGTATATTACGTTACTTTCGAAATTTAATAAACAAAACATAGCAAATAGTGCATTTATAGAATATAACTTAACATCTTCCGTTTAAAAGCATGCGTGTTTTATGAGCTGCTATAAATATCGAAATTAGACTATTTCTAAGAATAGATATAGTGAAATAGATAGAAATAGTGAAATAAGATCTGCATTACGAGCAAGTTTGTTGAAAAATGTATATAAATAATATACCATATACCATAATTCTCCATAATCTCAATTCCTTAAACAGCACCTACTAAGTAAGTTACTTACGTCGTAGTCTTCTTGTGGTTCGCGCAACTCCTGCTGCCTCTGTGGCTGATACTGGGGTCTGTATTGTGGCTGGGGCTGAGGTTGTGGTTGATATTGTTGCTGGTATTGACCTTCACTTTGTGCTGAATATGGCTGCAAATACAAATAACACTTATTATAAAATTGGAGTGACAAACAAGCAGACGGCTCGCCTGATGTTAAGTCACTTTTAGTTATGTTTTTATTATTTATTGCACCAGCAGTAAATTATATAGAATACAAGTTACCTGCATTGTATATGTACACCCATGTATTGTATATGTACTTTTCTCTCAGAGAAAAGAGATGAAAACTCACACTATCTATTGCGAATAACTGCATTAAAATCTGTTGTATAGTTTAAAAGATCTAAGCAAATAAAAAGCGGACACGACTTCATTTTAAACTATGTAAAGATGAATAAAAGTAGTAAGTTACAAAAGGCGATTTTATCGCGAGCAATCTCTTACAGACAACATTTGGGTAGAGGACAGCAGACAGAAACTGTTAAATATTAATAATTAATATAAATACACAAAAGGTAAAAAGGCATAGTAATATTAACTAAAGCTGAGTTTCTTGTAAATTCTTCACAGCTTGATAACACTCCGGACTGACGGCAGATTTGACGTATCGTATGAGTCTATACTAGACCTACTTGAACAAAGATATATATATTACTTAATATAAAACTTACAAGACGCGTTGGAGCCTGAGATTGCACGGGTCTGGCGATGACTTGTGTGGGAGCTTGCACTTGACCTTGCTGCCCGATGTACTGTCTCAATAGATGTGGTGGTATGCCCTCGACCTGCTGGAATATTATTTATATTTATATATTTAACTAAACATAACAGTAAGTATAAATAAAACTAATCTGATTCATAAAATTCTCGTATCAATGTTTGTAACAAACTCCTCCGAAACGGCTTTACCGATTCTTATTAAATGTGTGCTGTGAGCAAATAGTCACACGCTGAGTCTACTACTATTCACTATCTACACATTTATTATATTTCAACTAATTCTTTATTATGTGTATTTAAAATATTGTATAAAATTGTAGTAACAAAAATTTTATTCAAGATTGGGTATGCACGGGCCAGGTCCAATCTCTTTAACTGTTATAACTAAAATCTCCTTTAAAAAGTACAAAAAATATATAATATTATTATCTTTATACAGAAAGTTCATAAAAGATTAAATTTAAGAATAAATAATGATATTAGATAAAATATTTTTGTCACATACACGGTATTTTTATAAATGAACTATATAGAGAAACCTACGAAAGGCGATCTCACGGTTTACTAGGTGATAATGTTGTTACAATTACATGAATGAATTTAAAAATTGAATCATATATAAAAAAATTACAGACAGAAAATTAATAATAATAATCAAATAATATTAATGTATCCTCTTTACAATATTAATAAACAAGACAATGTATGAATCGGAGCATTCAATATTCCTTTTCTGCCTACGCCAATAAAGGACAGGCGTGATATTATGTAGATAATACACAGTAATAAACTTCAATACAGTTAATCGTATATGAAACATTACATCATAATTGGAATGGACCTACTTAGTGCAACAAGCTGAAATAAAATATACCACTGTTACGAAATCGGACAACTGACCGGTTGTGTTTCGAACGATTTGTGAACCACATACGCGAGGCTTATGCAAATGCTTTGTTCAAATTTTCCGGTCCATTTGTACATAATTCAGCTGGTGCGTGGTTTAACAAGTTTCTCATCAAAATTTCAACAGCTATAAATAACATAGTTGTATGTCTACAGAACATGATTTATCTTGGTGTTCATTGCATTATGCATTTGTGTGTAATTGCAGTAAATTACGTGAAAATTATTACAGTTATATATTTTTTTTAAATAGTAAATAGTAGCTTTTTGTAATAATACTGGCAACATTCGACTTCGGTCGCTTGCATTACAAATCTTTGAATTGCTCTATACTCTTTGGCTTCGCACGGGTGTACATATAAACATTCCTCTTGAATCATTCTATCTATTACTGAAAACTGCAATCCTTTGCATAATTTAAAACATATAAGCGAACAGACAGCGGCGGTGACATTGTTTTATCTGTACATAATATACTACGAAGTCTATATATATTATTAGATTTTAATGCGGTTTTTAGCAATAGATAGAGTGATTCAAGAGGAAGGTTTACATGTACACCCGTGCGAAGCCGGGGCGACTAGCTACCAGTATATAAAAATGTTGCACGTGTAGTTGAGCATATTCTTTTCAATTTCAGTATAGTTGTATCTGTACTTTTGCATGAAGTTTATTTTTTATAATTTTATAAATTCGTAAAATATGGAATTTTATTCGTAACTTTATAATACACATTGCAGTAGTTGCATCATAGGAAAGCAATTCAATGTATATTTCATGAAGTATACTATATGAAAGTTGCTAGACTGGTTGGTTTCCTTTAGTAATAGGTATCTATCCGTATTTAACACGATTGATGCTTTCTTCCCTATATACTTTTGATTAACCATATTCCGAAGTTTCTAGTGTAAAATAAATCTGGGACCTAATTATGTAACGATGCTATTAAAAATCTCAATTACAACGGTTTAAAATGTATAAATTTGCGATTCTATTTAAGAGTTACAGCGTGTTAAGAACCTAGGTGGTCACGGACAGTGCGATTTCAGAGGAGCTTCCTCCCTTGTACACTTAGATTTTGGAATGAACTACCTGCTGTAGTTTTCTCTAGAGACTACAACATGGAGTTTGTCAAGAATGGTATATATGGTTTCTTAAGGGTCGGCAATTCGCACGTGACACCCCTGGTGTTTCAGGCATCCATAAACTGTTATTGTAGGGATTTTTGGAATATAAAATATAGTCCATGTTATTTTTTTTATATAAATGCATTGGCAATCGTGCTAACGGCACACTTTAGAACAATCATAGCCGTCGCTTCTAAATACGAATAGCTCTACGTATATTATATTATCATATGACTCCTGCTTTGCTATTGCATAAGACTAAGATATCATGCCATTGTAGCCTGCAATTTCACTGACTTAACTCACCCTTCAACCAAAACATACCTTATAAAGCTAGCTGCTTAAATAGATGAGATAGAGAGAGGTACTTACGCAGATGAATTCATGCAAAGTTTACCGCTATAAGATAAACGTTTTCTGTAGATTTAAGATATTTTTTAATATCAATTATAAGTATAGTATAAGTAGTAATTAAATAATATAGTAAATTAATAATTGTCAGCATATTTCAAAATACAAATTCTAAATCATTTAATTGGGTAATACAATTTTTTATTTAACTCTATATAATTGTTGAAGTATCCTTATAAAAAATGCCAATGCCAGAAGACTCCATCCATTGTGTGTCACATGTCTCTTGATTATAACTAAACATACAAATCAAATCTCTATATAAATATTAATTTATTAATAAATGGATGTATGTTAATAGTTAACACGAATAAACATTATAATACATAGTTATACATTATAATTAAAACATGATCATTAAATAAATGATCTCTGACATAACACAGTTGCTGACCGCGATCTATTTCCTGTCAATCATGTATGAACTGTTTTAAACAAGATAATAATAGTGAAAGTTTGCGGTGTTATGAGATGACTATATTAAGAGCTGAACTGTATAAAAAAACAAAGCCGCAAAGGCGTAATAATAATAACACTTGATGCAACATGGTAATAATGCGTTATGTATCATTACGTGAATCCAATGACTACTCTCAATATGTTTTATTATCCAGTAACGAGGTCATATACTCGAGTAATTTTTTTATTCTTTAAAATATATAGATACATATAAATATATTAATCGACTCTAATATATAGTTATAATATAGTTTGATGTGACATACATCGTTTTTAGTTACTAATTTTAATTGCATTGAAACATACATTTATTATGTAACTAATTGCTAAGAAAGGATTTTTAGGACTTCACTATTTCAAGTATAAAAAAATATACTTGAAATAGTGGTCTAAAAGCATATAGATCTTTGGTAGATTAGATTGTTTATACCACTGTGGGTAAACAGGAAGGAAGTTTTCTACAGAAAATCTAAATAATTCTAGAGTCATAAAAAATGCAATCATAAGTTAATTAAGAAGAGTTTTAATATTGATTCCCCTGAGAATCAAACCCTGGACTTTATTTATGAGTGGGTACATACAGGTGTGTGTTCACTAAGTTCTTATGTAATGCAATTCCAATTTTATTTTTCATTGCCTTACCCAGGGTTTGAACTCAGTGCTGAACTCAAATGATTGTATTAAAATAACTAATTATTGATTGCAATATATACTTACATTACTAAATTATACTTTTCTTATATAATTACTAAATTTATAATTGATCTTGCATGATCAAGTTTGAATAAAACGAGACACGCCGATTATGTCTAGACTAATGTAATTGGCTTCAACTAGGGTTGTCTCTAAATTATATAATACAATAATAATCATTAAAAAACCTAATGTAGCATTAAAGACGGTGGATATAGACTACTTTTTATACAGATCAATTACGATGTCGGGTACAGAACCTAGTTCACAATAATGAATTATAATTTAACTGAAATACTCAGAGATGCGTCGATATTTGCTAAATGTTTATTCGTAATGAATTGTAGTTTAAGGTACATAACTGTTTATTAAACTGTATATGAACTTCGAATGCACATTGTAAGAAAGTAGATATATAATATTAAATTAATATTATAAGAGGTTTTGAGGCATAATGTAAGGAATATATAACATCTACTTATATAGAGTTTGTAGACTGTATTTTTAACTCTCCATTCTTATATTTTTTTTACTCTCTGCTTTTCTTAAAAATCTGCCACGTTGAGTTCAAGTATACGCAGCGAAACATGGCCATATCAAGAATCTCTTTCCATACAACATTGACATCGTATTTTGATAAAAGTCCCTAAAGATTAAAAAAAGACATTGACATTTGACAATGCCTCTGACTACCTCATGTGGGATAAGAGTCGTGATGTTAAGTATTTCTCACAAGGAATAATAGAATAGGGATTATGTAACACGTACTTGTTGTGGCTGCGTCTGGTACTGATGCTGTGGTCTCGCCATAGCACATCCCAGGATTGCTAACGTAACACACCTCTTCAACATGATTGCACAATATTAATTAGTAATTTATAAAAAAATAAAATTTATGAAAAAAACAATGGCCACCACACACTCGCGTCAAGTATTACGTATGCGCTGCGTGTATGTTACTCTCACTTTATATAGAGGCACCCCTTCTAGCCTGAAGGTGGATGGCGGGAGTGGTGCAGCTACCACTATCGAATATGTAGGTGAGAATAAAAAAATATTTTGGAACAGTTTTTGACGCGTGTGAATTCCTTATTAATTGGCCGCATTCTGTAACACTATAATAAAAATAACAGACTAATTACGGCAAAATTAACAGATTATGAATGCAGTAAACATGAGAATTAAAAAAAAACCATTTATATCAGAAGACATTATGTATTTGTAGTTAGTATTGACATTGACTTGGGGACGGACATTGCAAATTCGATGTATTGCGTAGACTATAAATTGTGACAAAATATACACAAGTTTCAAAATTCATTTAGATTTCTACAAACATGGATATGTAAGTAAAGTTAAGAGGTACTTAAGCGTTATTTTGTAATATGACAAAAGGAAAAATATTGTTCCCGTCAAATTAAAAACCTTTACCTTTTATTAGTCTGTAGAAAGAAAATTTATGTTCACTGCATGCATTGTTAATATGTGATGGATCAAGCTTTCCCTTTGGTAAAAATTATGCTTTGTTACAAGAATTAATATAGAATAGATAGACTTCGTACGGAGTCGTTTGTGTAAGTACCTCTGTCTCATTTATTCCATTATTTAAATTATTAACAGGGTCTTAACACGAATAATTTTAAGGCAAATAAACCTCTCTCGACGTTTCGACTAGGTTGCACTAGCCGTGGTCACGAGCGGACACGTGGTCATTTATTCCAGCCGCCTACCGCATCTTTTTAAGATGTGTTAGATTGAAGACAGTGAAATCACAGGGTTCGAAGCAGGACATCTCAATCTTCCAAAAAGGCAACGCTTTTTCAGTGATTGAGTATGACATATCCAGTGATACCGCGGTGGCAACAATTCTTTGGTTCATGTAAAGAATATATATATTGGGTTTGCTGTACTGCATAACAGCGGGCGTCATATGATGACGTGATATCCATGGTAAAGTGATAACCGCTTACCTTCAAGTAGATAAGGCTATAAGAACTTTTAACAATTTAATCGCATAAAAAATTCACTTATGTTGTGAAATTTTAGAATAAAGAAATTAGCAAGTTACTAGATCCTTATTATTTAAAATAAGGATCTAGTATCTTACCATTTCAATCGGCATGTGTATTAAAACTTTGCGACGTCGCAATGTCGTTCATGTCTATAAGTAACAATTAGCACTTTCCATACAGTAGATAGTCGGTAATTATAGTCGCTTGTAAAAAAATTGTGTTTATTAAAAAGGAAATAATAAGAAGTTTAATAATAAGAAAAATAAATTAAAACATAAATGATTTAATAAAGTATAAAATCGTTGACAAATTTTATTATATAGATATGTATAGCTTTGCTATTATTTTAAATTTATTGTTTTTTAATGGTTGAAAATGGAATGGCACTTCTGCCTATGGTAACGATATTCGTTAGGGTGCATGCTATGGCGAATTCGGGGATGATCACTTTGGGGTCTCCCTACGATGGTAGGTGCATATGTAATAATGAGGCTACTATACCCTGAAAATGTTTTTACCTCTCTACAAGACGATAGCTAAAACATTATATAAATAAATATACATACACATAACATATAAACAAAATTCCCCACTACGCCTGTTTGTATGTTAGCGATGAGATCATCGCTACTACTACTGAACGAACTTTATGCCGCTTTCTTCTATCAATTAAGTAATTCCTGGGGAAAGTGAGATTGTAAAAATCTTGTACAATACTTAGTGTGTTTTTGTACAAGATTTTTTGTAAATTAATTAAACCGAACTCGTTCAAAACCGGAGTTGGTAACTAGTTACAATATACTTACTTAATGGTACTTATAAATCAGTAAACCGTTTGCAGATGAACACATCACTCTCCATTGTGACATCAGTCGAGTAAAATTGCAACTGGAAACACTCATTATACAACTGTTGTACCGTTAAGACATTTTGATCTCGCCGCTTGATACCGTTTCTAATCATGCGTGCCCTATTACAGCATCATTACGTGACTCAAATACAACAAATTTAGATTTTTTATTGTCATTTTGTATGTTTTATTGTCAAATTTAGTTCTAGATACGTAATTTAAACGCTAAGTTACATAAAATATAGTAATAACAGAACTAATCATAGTTAGACATTTTTTCAGATTAATAAAGCAATTCATATATAAGTTAATTATGTCCATACATATATTGTTTTCTTTTAATTAAGAAATAAAATATTGTAGATTTTTAAACCTTTAATTAATATTTATATGAATATTCTTTATTAATTGTATTATTAAGTGTCCATTTATGAGTTATTGTTTTCGCTTTGAACAAAAAAAGCTAAAGTGACAAATGTGAGTGACTAAATGCTTCCTACTATCTAATGAGCGATTATTGTAATTCTTTGAGTATTAAAAAATTGATTCAGACTTTTTCAGGTATCTTTTGTTAAGTTAATTTAAATGATGACGGTTAAAAGTACTCGATTTTGTTGACAAAAGTGTAACAAATTTATTGTCTGTTACATCCATTGCGGTTAGATTATGATAGTATTATCTAAGATATTTTCTGCTCTCAAAAAATATAGTCGCTTTGAACCCATCCTTTTATATGTCAGTTGAAACTTATAGTTAATGAAAATAATAATTAAATCTGGATGACATACAGGGTGCAACAAGTCTTAAAGTAAGAAGAATTTGTGCTATGTGTACTACACAACTGACAAATATACGCAAGTACATTTTTATAAGTACATAAATAAACAGGTCAATAGACTCATTTATATCTATAAATATTTATTTTGCTCATTTCGTCACTTTTTGGCAAGATTTTTCATTAAAGCTCCTCACTTATTTGACGTAATATGATGTTATATAGCCGAATTCTAAGAGCAGTCTTAAGATTATCGCGTTGAACCATACAAATATATAACTAGCTGAATACAGTCCCCCGTAGTAATATTGATATCTATATCAACTAAATGCACATCCATTGACCCTGGTACTTTAAATCATAAAGCAAAACAAAACGGCTAATAACGTATAACGTGAACATCTGACATTTCGGTTTCAATAGCGGGTGTATCTCGGGTTAGCATCAATAATTATACGTTTGCTTCACTACTATATTATGCTATATTATATCCACGTTTAATACCTACATTTTCATATATCCAAATGTTGGCAATACTATATTATTTTTTTGTAGTTGGCAATAATTAGCAATATAGCAACTTATTATTGAGGGAAGAGGATTGTCAGTAACGGGGGCGATTTCCCCATTGCTAGCAATGTACCAGTCAGATCGATCTCCATGCCGTCTTCTTTGGAAACCTACGTGGTTCGTGCTTCACCATTCTTGGTGAATATGTCATGATCAGCTAATTGACTTACACTCTTGATGAAGATAATCCTATCATCCTCTACCGGTATCCCGCTAACGTATACTGTTAGCGCATTGCTAGTATTGGAGCGTTAGTCCTTAAAAAATCTCTTTCGCCCTCAGCAGAGGGCTTAGATTGCAAGTTTTAGACAAAAGCGAGCGTGATTGTCAGGCATAAGATTTACAATTCAACTTTCTAACTTAATACTTGTGTATCTATTACCGTACAACTTATGAAGATGTCCCTAGGTGCGATTGTAAGCATAATTTATGGTATTATTTTTGTTTATTCCCTACAATTAGCTCTAATTGATTAAAACACATGTAATTCCCTGAAAATATAAGTAAATGAGTCACCACAACATATATTTTTTTAAAGTAGTATTTTTTATAATTAGTAAAAACGTTGAATTTTGATTACGTACCGAATATATTAACATAATGTTATGTTCATAATTAATTTTGTATATAGTTCTATAAAATAGTGTTTAGATAATATTTTTTGTATGAAACTGTGAAAGATTCTTTCTTTATTAGCTTTTATTTAACTTGCAATGTATGTATGCATCTAATTAACGTATAATATTATATAATACAATTTGTATGATATAAAAGCTTATCGCGAGATTTACTTGTGTAGATAAACACATAATTTAAATTACATGACCGATGAGTGATTTAAAATAAAAACAAATCAAACTAAGTAAATAGGAGTACTTAAATCTCGAAACAGGCTTTTATATCTTATAAATTGTGTAATGACTTCATGAGTTGACAGTAAAAGTTTATTTTATACTTTTTAGCACAGCAATTTAAAATTTTAGTAAAATTTTTATACTTTTAATTTATTTGGGATTATTGATTCAGTTTAATTGCTCTGTGTTGAATACTACTGACTAGGTAACAGATACACTAGGTATCTAAATCTGTATCTATATCTAATGTATGATGAAATTACATTGCATCCATCTTTTGAACTTAAATAAATAATTATGTTTAAAAGATGGATACTATAAGAAAACCCAGTTAGAACCCAAATTATATGTTCTGACTGGATTTTCTTATAACCGTATCAATAATTTTTACATACATTTTTATACAATATATATATCTTTTTTTCAGTAATATTAAGTTATTTATTTTTATAATGGCTTCCAAATAACTTTTTTATTCAGTTACAAAGGTCCCTGCAAAATTTGAACTATAGCGACCGACTTTTGGCGTATGTTATAAAACCGGTCAATCGGAAAGTCATTCAGTGGCTGCCTCGGTTGCTACCCACATTTAGGCTCACCGTATATTGGTTACCATTATTCGATTAATAGAGCAAATCACGATATAAGTAACGAAAATTTCGTTTGAAGCGATATTTTCAAAATAATTATTAAAAGAAACAAAATCGGTCTGCTAACGGAATAACATAAGACAGCTAATATGGCCCAATTGCTAGAAACATATTATACCTGAAAAGATCTTTCACGGTGACATGACCTCCACGCGCCAATTACTATACATACCATTTAATCACTACATTACATACTGAAAAATTCGAAAAGATGATACAGCTGTTCAAGGCTGTATCTTCATTTCGAATGTAACTATAGAATATAACGTACTTACACTAAGTTTATTCAAAATAATTTATTTTCTATAAAAATAGCATTACTTCGAATTACCCTATTCGTTATAAGTACTAATATGCGGCGAGCCTAGGACATACTACTTATATCGACTGACGGCTTCATTTTGACATGTTAAAAGTACCCACACTTGTGACTGTTGCAATACACCTACGTGGTAGAGATTTAATAATGGTATCGATAGCTTACTGCAGATTTATATTTTGTAACTCGGACACAATAGATATATTATCAGATCAAAAAACGCGGTCAGATACATCATTGTCTGTACAATTTGTATGGATACAAATGTGTGTTTTTTATGTAACTGTAATGGTTAACGAGCTGACGTGCCACCGGATGGTAAATGGTAACAGTCACGTCGCTTGTATAATAGTAATAAAAATTTGGACAATTCACACACCGCCATCTAGTGCCAAGCTAAGCAGAGCTTGTGTTATAGGTACTAGACAAGTGATAAAAATGTAGGTACGTTTTTTTTGTAAATACATACATTATATACATCTCGGTCATCTCGTGGTTTAGATTAGGCACGGGTCCGATTCCTCGCGCGGTGCAAACATTTATACACATGAGTATGATTATTTGTATCAGATTGAGTGTTGTCTACTCTGTCTACCATTGGAAGTAAAGTAGTGTGCTAAACCACGAGATGACCGAGGCCGTTAATGTATTTAAAGTTCCCTTCATACATATAAGAGCGATGGTGTATCGAGATGAACTTTTGCGTGGATTGACATGAGTTTCATCTATTTCAGTCGCCAAACAGTTAGCTTTGTTTCTGTTGCAGGGCGACTTAAGGCAGTGAGATTACAGGATAAGAAGCATTTCGTCTTAGTCATCTGGAATGGAAATGTTGAGCTGTATCACCATATCATCACATGATAACGTGATATTCACAGTACTGTACAATTATACAGTAGGTGACTAAATACTACTCTACTTCCCGAGTAGTTCTTCTGTACTGGGACAGACACCAACGGATTGTCATGATGTCGTGATTTAGAACAGTTGATAAATGAAATTGAGTTCATGCACTCATTTATGACTAAGTGAAATGCATGTATGCACATGTTGCAAGAATTGCAACTCTTATAAACTTGCAATATGTATAGGCGTGGTTATGGTCGGGTTCATTGGAGCAAATAACCGCGCCCTGACATGTTGGAACTGTATTTATGCAGAGGAGTTTGTACAAAGTAGTCTATGTGGGTACATCTACTTTTTTTCTATTTAATTTAAATTTAAAGTAATATCTGTCACTTTCTTTGTGGCGACGTTCTTTTGGCCTATGTCTTATTATTATGATCTTATGTGTATTCATAATTTTTTTTTAATTACTTATTATACTACTTATTTGTGTCTCATTACGTCATCTGTATCTACTACTTTAGCCATCAATTTGCTTGCTTTGTAATCGGTTTTTTATTTCAAGGCCATATAATATTTAAATTACAAGCTATGAAGAGATTACAGCTTCGTCCTCGGGAGTGGCAACGCCTGATGACGTGAACACTCAACACTTCATTATGCAATAAGTTTATTTCCATTTTTTTTATTTTTCTTGTTTATTTTATTACATCCATTTTAAACCATTCTCTGTTTATTTTATGTTATATCTATATAATTTTTGTTATTGTCACTAGTTTTTATTATTCTTACTATTAATGATAGTGCAATAGGGCTGGTTAGATGCGGCGGTCTTGTCACATGCGTCCTCGCGTATGTCCATGGGCAATACCTGAAAATCAGTCCATTGCTGCTCTAGCAAACAATACACTGAAGTGATGCATTTATTGCGTATCGGCGATGCGCACATACTACGTTACTCACACGTTTTTTGTACCTAAATTGTATTTTATTAACTGACTTATGTAATTGTGTATTTACTTTTTTTGATATTACTGTGTCTTGTGTGTGGCCTTTAACGCAAATAAAAGTTTTTCTATTTAATTTTTATCTAATGTCCAATTTACAATCAACTTGTTTGCAATTCCAGGAATATAAAATATAGGGTGCAAATTAATATAGATTTGATGTTACTGTGTTAGAATATATTTTGTTAAAAAAGAATACATTACGATGTTTCTTTATGTTTATTCTTTATCAGACCATAGAACGTTGCTAATGTTGCTATATAACTTTAGCGGTACAACCTGTCGATTTGTTCTCCATCTGTTCAAGACGCTGAACACAAAGGGTATAACAGAAGATGGGGCATGGTTCGGAGTCGCAGGCCTGCCGGGCAGCGATATCCCATTTCAGGCGGTTGCGCCTGCAGCAACCAGTCTGTTAAGGGCTTTCTAATACTTTCGAAAGGTTTTATTCCCATATTACCTTACGTATTTTTGAAGAATTGTAGTTTGTTTGTTTTTTTCTTAAACTAAATGTTTAATTTATATAACTAACTTAATTTTTTTTGTATAAAAGAAGAAGAAGAAACTATAGCTCATAAATGGGCGACTAAACCTAAACATTACCTAATGGATAATAGGATACCGAAGCCATAATAGATAGCTAAGCTCAATTATGTAAAACTCGACTGCACAGTTCTTGCATAAATTGGTATCGTACAAGAGAAGTTTTATGTAATACTAGATACATGGGGTTAAATAATATGTATTGTATACTATTAATTTACTAGTAATTATACCAATTTGTGTGTACTAAGATACAAATAAAAATTTTTATCTGTCTACCATTTATATAGATTTTTTTTTATAACATAGAGGACAAACTACCTTGCGGCTTACCTGATGGCAAGTGATTACCGCCGCCCATGAGCACCCGCAACGCCAGGGGAATTGCAAATACGTTGCTGGCCTTTTAAAAAGGAATAAGCTCTTTTCTTGTAGGTTTCAATATCGTATCGGTTCGGAAATACCATTGCTGGAATGTGGTTGTGGCAAAAAGTTTCTAGAAAACCGCACTGAGATTTAGTTTAATGAAATAAATTATTTTTATTAAAACTTTAATTTGTAACTAAAACGACTATTACATTAATAAGTACAAGTAAATAAATTAAATATGAGTAATTCTCAAATGAATAGTATGCACTACGATGCGTACTTGTTACCGACGTGATGGCGTACCCCCCATTTGTAATTGGCATTCTTATCAGTTTTGACAAAGGTGTGTACAGGTCCTGTGACTCCGCTGGACGACCCTTTATGGTCGTCGTCGTCGTGGTGGTGGTAATCCTCGTGGTCCCGTTTCGGTCTTTGCCATTGCGGTTCATCTTGGATTGGTTGACGTACTGAAAAAATATGTTTAATTTTACAATCTACAATAGAAAAAGCTAATCCAATAGCAGACTTTTTTTACATTGGCAGCCTAGGTGACCTAGCGGTTTAGCACACCCCTTTACTTGGTTTCTATGTTGATAGTCATATGCCTAAACCTTGTTAATGTGTATATTTCGAACAACATTAGTTTAACGAGCAGTACGCCAGTTTCTTGCTCATTCTACTTGTAATGTGTATGCGTTCCGAATGAGTGGTAGAATAAGAAATATGGCAATTCAAAAATGCTTATATTGAGTTTATTTGAAGAAAAAATATTTATATTCTATTCTATTTTTAAAATTACCACAGATGCGTCGTATGACGCCCGTCAATCGACGATGCCAATCCGATTAAATCATACCTGCCATAACCTGTAATTTCTCTGCCTCATATCATTCAACCGAAACATATGTTACAAAGACAGAAGTAATATGCCGACGACTTTGTACAAAGTTTTTCCAAGCTGAAGAGGAAACGCCACTACACATCCTATGTGTTTGTAGTCTCTCATGCGTAAACGAAATATCTCATTTAGAATTATACACTCTATCCTGAGAATCATAATGATTATAAAGAATCATAAAGACCATTGCTCCTAAGAATATTCTTTAACTTTTGTCCCTGACAGATCGCTAACTTTAAAATGGGCGAGCACAATAGAGCTATGTAGGTTGCATTGCTAGAGGTCTAAACCTGGCAATAGCCCAAACTCCTCCATAAAAAAAACGACTTTGTACAAAGTATACTTAAATAATGTAAGTACTTACTTGGTATTCTGTAATGAGGTGGTGGAGGAGGTGGGGCGTATCTGGTGTACCTCTGCACTTCTCTGGGTCCTGGGTAGTAAGGTATGGACCACGCCGCTGTTGCCATCACAGCATATGCTAAGAAACACTGAAGGTAAAAACAAAATATTAAAAGATTATGATTATATTAGGATTTCGGGTAACACAACGGATAAAAAAATATATTAATACATAAAATTCTAACAGTGTCATTTACGAATCAATTACTTTGTTAGAGCTATTAGAAATTTATTCATTAAACTAAATAGTCAGAAAAACGAATGTAAACTTTGTATATCCAGACACATACGTAAATTTAAAAATGCACATGGAATTTTATTAACTAAAGCCTATTGAACTAATAAACTAATTTTGTACTCATATTTTCGCAAATAGAGCATTGAATTATTATAATTAGTTATATTAATAATAATTATATTTTCAGTTTCGCGCCAAGTCTTCGATCGATTTTATTGAATCCAATATACGACATATGTATATCCCATAGTATTGTGTTCTGTTATAACGACATCGAAGAATTTTCCAGCCTTTAAAGATTACATTTCCGTGAATCATTTTGGTATATTCCTGATTAATAGAGGTAAGAAGAATAAATCAAGAAAGTAATTCTAACAATATATTACCAATAGTAATATTTTTCCAAACTATTTTTTTAATCAATGTTTTTATAGGTATTGTTGTATTTTTTATATAATATAGCCAAGAAGTCTTTAAGCCTTACATATTTTAGGTATTATGTAGGTATTCGACTCGGACGCGCGCTTTCCTTTGCCTGCCGGTTGAATCTCGATTGTATTAAAATAATATATAACAGGCGATTAAGTCATCAGTAAACGAACAGGTTACTGGTATTTGTTAATTTTGTTAATAGTTTCTTTAAAGTTAGCCAACTAGAGCACCTAGATATATTTACTGTTAAGTAAGACCAGATTGATTTTAATACAACAAGACAAAAAATTATGTAATTGGTGCATTATTTTTTATTTCAATATTATAGATATAGTAATGTAAAAAAACTAAATTTACTTTTTGTAATGAGATTATTTTCTTAAGAGATTAGGACACATTGTGAAAAGGTAACCCGGGTAATGATTATTTGCGCAGCTCAGAATTAGTATACACTGTCAAAACTGCCATTTAAATTTAGTATCATATTTACAACTAGATGAGTCAGTGACCTTGATCTTTACTATTATAGTATTTGGAATAACAATAGTTCATTATTTGTAAATTGATTGAAATAAAACAACACAAAGTTAAACAGGATTCCTACAATACCTATATTAGTGCAAATCATTTCCCAATCAATTATGCCGTTTCTAAGGTTAGGGTGCGTAAATCCCACAGACAAACCGACGAAAGTTCCTTAATAATATGTATGAGTACATACAGGGGTACTTTCATGTACAGACAGCAATGTTATAGTTTATTTAATGTATACATAGATATGGAGGTGTAAATAAACGTGCAATCTACCTACTTGTACAGAGAAAGCGAACTCACCAAAACAATGTTGTCCATTTTACAATCGTGTATTGAAATTCATGGGCGGATACTCCGCAAATCAAGATAGCAATGGCGGTCGTGGTGTCAATCTGTCTTTTATAAACAAGAAAATGAATTTAAAACACTTTCTATCGGTCGATTTTACGGTTGGATGCTTTGTGACTCGCTCCGAATGATTTGGACTGAACAATGGATCCATCGGAGCTTCGAATCGTTGGTCATGGCTATCACACAGCAAAATATTAAAATGCAAACCTTTTGTTACTTACTAGATGATACCCTGCGGCTTCCGCGCGGTGTGGATAAATTTTCAAATTTAGTTTATATTGAGATCAATGTAACATCTGATAGCAGATAAAAACTTGTTATTAATAAGTATGACTTAGAATCCTGTTGTCATAAAGCCATTAAATAATAGAAGAATTTTTTAAATAAATTCTTATTCCTAATTATACTTATTAATTATAAATAAATCCCATTTCGTTAATCTTCGCTTTCATACAAAAATTCCAATCACGGAATGCATCAATGCATAAACTTTCTTACATTGAAAAACTTACCTTTATATACCTCACATTGAAGGGTTTCTCTTCGTTGAACGACTTTCATTTTCAGTTTCCCTTTCATTGAACGGTTTCATTTCATCGAAAGACTTTCATTTTCAGAGTCTATTTCAACTAAGGATCTTCTTACTGTTAATACTACTTTTAGACAATTACTCACTAATAGTTACTTTGGACAACTTTTAAAACTGATTACGAACTTATGCATAGCAATTATATATTGACACTACGTAAATTGCGAAGACTTCCTGCGTTTATGTAATGGAAACAAGAAAGTCTGCTCTGAATGTTTCAGTGCATTTATCATAGTGTTTATTTTGATGTAATAATTTTGTAACCTTCGCAAAAACCAGTTGATTTAGATTAGTTGTTACAGTGGTATTCTGGTAGTTGCTATATCTATAACAGTCATTCATATATATATGTAATGTACGCGTCAGGGGGGAGGGGGGTTGTTGGTGATGTGGATTAATGATCCCATTGTTAGCAATGTATCATGTCAGGTTGACCTCCACGCGGTTCCCCCAGGAAACCATCGTGATAATTCCCTGGTGAATTTGTCACGTCAGTTTACTGATTTGACTTCATGTCCATCTTATCATCCTCCACTGGTGCCCCGCCATCATAAACCGTTAGCGCAGGCGGGTGCACCTAGTGACGGCTGCATTTTTTTTAATGTATGATAATGCATACATAAAAAAAACTGCAACCTCACTAGGAACAACCTATGAACCCATTTTTCATAGATTAATTTTAAATATTTAGTTCGAATTTACACCGCCCCAACTAAAACAATATATGTTTTGTATGAAACTGTGCAAACTTTTTTTGGTATAATTATATTATATAATTATAGTATAATTTTTGGTTCAATACACATAAGGCTAATTCTTATAAAACGTGTTAATTCTGTGATATAAACATTATTATATTCATATTTATTTATATAATTCTTCTATTTATATTTACAAGATAATTTGTTCAAATTGAAATATTTATATATTTTTATTTATTTATTTATTTATTTCAGGCTACTAGGCCCGTAGTATAAATACCTTATAGACATACGTATGAAATAATATAAAATTAAGATATTGGAATTGTCTGTGTGATCACGGTACTGACGGCGGCAATCTGCCACGGTAGCGCCGCACGCTACACCACACCCTTCGGCCAGTAGTCTTCCTTCATATTTTTTGTAGTATGTCGATCATTATCATTCAGAACAACAACAACAACAAACAGTGAAAGAATATAATAAAAAATTGTATGCAAATGCAATAATAAATACAAATTGTATTTGCAATTAACCAATTATGAGTTTTCGATATTTAAATTAATATGAATTTATTACTTAATCGATTCTAATTCGATTGACAGACATTGACCCCGATGTATCGTTTGTAAGTCACGATATCGTGAATGATATTATAATGGCAACCTTGACCACAGAATTTAAAAACGTTTTATTGCAAAAAGTCGTTTCCCTGCTTTTTATCCATTCTTAGATAAGTACATCTTTATACACGATTGTTGACAATGAGAGTACAAGTTCTTTTTAGTAATTCGATACCTTGGTTTCATTTGAAAAGATTTACGTGATGTTATTTATATTTTTAAAAAAGGAATGGCATCTCTCGATTTAAGTTCCGTTTAAATCTGAAATAGTGATGTTATAAGCTGTTTAATCGCAATTTTACGGATTTATTATCGGTTGTTCTACAAACGTGGTCATAATACGGAGTCTTCAATATTGTAGTGAGGGTGAGTTATGATGTGCATCAGAAAAAGACTCCTTCATCTTATACTCGTGTCACAAGTTTCAGGATCTGCTTGAAGTTTCTCTAACTAATGCGTGATGAACTGAGTGAATCCATGGAATACTAAGAAGTTCGTTAGTAATGAACTCTACGTCTCATGTGTCTTTGGATGCGTAATATATAATGTATTTTTTATTGGCTAGTTATTGGTATTGACAGGTGTTGTAATCCGGTAATCCTACAATCTTCGAGATGCATTGTACTCGCGCGCGATCAGATGCATAAATTGACTATTCTCTTATGCATATCATCGAGCTCAGTTAGAACGGCTGATAGGAACCAGTGGAAGAACATAACAGACCGTGTTTTTTAAAAACTTATGCCCAACCTTTCTTTTTTAATAATTGAGAAACTACTTACAATGGACACTACTTCGCGAATGGGAATAGGAGAAACTGAGGTATTCACTCAGATGACTTTGTAGAAAATCTACCCAGATAAAATGTAGTAAGTAGCAATAACTCCTCATTTCAATAAAATTTGCAAATGTTTTATACATAATCTGAAGAGAACTAAATAAACCTAATGTACGAAATGCTCCATTTCTTTAGTTTATTCTACAATTTATTTAGTTTCAAATAAAATGTAATAGCAATACGGAGGAATTTTTTTATATACAAGACAAAATCTGCATTTTTCTATATGATTTCAGAAGATAACTAAATAAACCTAAGGGTACGAAATGCTTTCTATTTGTTGTTTTTATCAGGGTTTATCATGATTAGTTCAGCACTTACCTACTGAATATGTACTATGTGAAAATAAACTATTAGTAAGTAGTATTTTTTTATGATCAGTAAGTAGGATTCTCATTTAGCCAATATCACTGTCACAATTGTAATAGGTACATGCGATCGTGATAACGATGTGGGGCCGATATTTAGCTACTGACACACTTTCTTATTTACTTTAGTATTGTTGAAAGCATTATCGTAAAAGTTAAAGCAACGAAAGTCAAAATGGAGTAGACTGTGTAAGAAATGTGAAACCGTATATTCATGTAACAATATACATAAAAATTCACTTTCGAATTAATTTTCGTCCAAAATAAATTGTACTAATTTTAAATCGGCTTTATCTCAATTCGACTGTTATATGTTACCTCTTAACTATTTTTTTTATTATTACCAAACTTGAATATAATTTAAATCTCCATCTCGCTTCTTTATATCGGTCTCTAGGCACTATTTATTAATATATTTATACAAGACAGAAGTGTCAGCTGTATATTGACCAATCAGTCTTAAAAGAACTTTTTAATTAATTAAACAATTTCCTTCTATATGTTAATGTATTAAATATATTGATAATATACATAGGCGTTTTCTATGTATACATTTACAAAAATGTATTTCAATATTTCTATCCGTTGTTTAATACCTATAACACAAATTCTGCTTAGCTTGGGCGCTAACTGGATAGCGCCGTGTGAATTATCCAGTGTCTATAAAGGTCCTTATAAAATAACTGATTAACACATAACCGAATAGAATAGAATAGAAAATCATTTATTCAAATAAACTTAATTTAAGCACTTTTGAATAGTCAACATTTTTTTAAATCTACCGCTTATTCGGAAAGCTGTGTTACAGTATTCGCACTTTACATGAGGATGCATGCGGCAATCAATACAAAAGCCGCTACGCTATCATATATGAAGAAAGCAGTATGAAAAACAAATTCTAATGTTGTCCGCAAATAAACTTATACTTGCTATATATTGCTATCATCTATAAATTCATCTATCCTATAATAGTCTTTTTTACATAACATTTGTTTAATATAAAGTTTGAATTGCCTCTCTGTCAGATTTAGCGTAGATTCTGGCAGTTTATTATAGAATCTTACGCAATTACCATAAAATGAAGTACTAACTTTGTGTAGACGCCATTTAGGTAAAATTAACTTATTTTTATTGCGTAAGTTTCTACTTGTACAGTCTTTAAGTTTCTTGAAACTATCTAAGTTTTTCCTTGTATACATAATATTTTCATAAATGTACTGTGAGGCAACGGTGAGGATATTTGATTGTTTAAAGCATTGACGTAATGACTCTCTAGAACCCATACCATAAATAGAACGTATGGCTCTCTTTTGTAAAATAATATATAGTATTTACATCGGCAGCTTTACCCCACAGCAGTATGCCATATGACATAATGCTATGGAAATAACTAAAATATACAAGTTTTGCCGTCGCCACGTCTGTTAATTGCCTTATCCTTCTAATTGCATAAGCAGCAGAACTAAGTCTACTGGCTAATTTTGAAATATGGGGCCCCCATTGTAACTTCGAGTCCACTGTTATTCTTAAAAAAACTGTATCACTAACAAAATTTACTATTTCATCATTAAGCAATAGCTGCGTATTTACTTGTCTTACATTAGGCAGCGTGAATTTAATACACTTAGTTTTGTTGGAGTTTAATAATAGATTATTACATGTGAACCAATTTAATATAGCAGAGATAGCATAATTTGCATCGTCTAAATGATTACATTGGCGACCAATTTTAAATACTAACGAAGTATCATCCGCAAATAACACTATAATCGAATCTGCCAAGTCTAAAAAACTAAAGTTGGGTTATAGATACTCATAGATTTATTTTATAACAAAAGCAATAAGTTTTTAATGCGTACAATGAGAACGTACAACAAACAAGAATTTTATGTCTTTTTTAAGAAGCAGTTGCAAGGAAATTTACACTAAATCGAATGAAAATACATTTCCTATTGGAATCTCATTATAATAGAAATAACAATGTACAATCATATAATACTAGTTACGTTATTTATTTTAAAAAAACTGTTATTTACCGGTTACTCGTTACCTTTTCTTATAAGAATTAATCGGAAATGTTTTATCGATGAAATAATTATATTTGCGTAACAATGCCGCTCAAATTTGTTTTTACACGCTATCTAGAAGTAGTGCTGAGATCGAATCCGGCATTATCGATTCTATATAAGGTAATTGACACAATGAGTTCATGGCTCATTCATTAAAAAAAAAAATGGCTGTACCAACGCCAATTTTTTTTTATATTTATAATAGCACAGTACAATTTATAAAGCGCCATCGAGCCCCAAACTAAGCAGAGTTATGTTACGAGTAAGACTACTAATAAAAATACTTAAATACATTATTTATTCCAAATTTATGCATATTATATATAATAAACAGTAGACCAACACAAACAATCATACTCATGAATACATCGTACAAAGAAACGAACCCGCGACCACCATCGTAAAGCTGTGTCTTAAACCGCCAGACCACCTGGGAATTTAGACGCCAATGTTTATTTAGTATAAGTTTATTTAGTTTATTAACCGTAGTCTATGTATTGTTAATTTATTATATATAGGTATATGCAATATTGAAAATATTTAAAATCTGTTTTACTTATTCTACGCAAAAGCCCAGTGTGACACGAATTTAAAAGAGAGATGCAATAATTACGTTGTGTTACATAAAACTGGACTCATTACGCGGTTGGCGCTGGTCATCAGCTTTGTTTTCCTTCTGTTTACTGTCAATGTATCGCTCTAGTTGTTTTTATAAAAAATATTCACTGCATTCGGTACAGTCAGCTTCATTTATATCACTTTACGGTCTCAGTGGACAAGTGGTTTGGCACTCCGCCTTATTTCCATGGTCTCGGGTTCGATTCCTCGATGCAAACATTTACATTCCTTAGTATGATTGTTTCTATTGGTTTGTGTGAAAATTGACTGTGTGTAAAAAATGTATTTAAACATTTTTATCGGTTAGGTATCTAGTACCTCTAACAAGCTCTCTTTAGTTTGGGACTAAATGGCGCTGTGTGAACTGCATAGGGTTGTTATTATTATACTTACTAGAAGTGAACTGGAAGAGGACTTCAGTCTCGCCTATTTCAGCTGCCAAACAACTAGCTTTGTAAGCTATGTTTCGCTTGTAGATTAGTCAGTGAAATTACAGGATCTCATGCCTCTAGGCATGAGATCCAGTCTGAGAAGATGAAGTCTGAGCTGGAATGGCACTGCCTGAGTGATATCACGGTGTCACATGCCAATGTGATGACCGTACTGTTAATGTGTATTGTCGTGTTACGGTTTACTGTTGGTGAGCCGTCAGTTTGTTTGCTCTATACCATTTACATTTATTGAAATATATATACTTTTACTATGACTAGTCGAAAGGTAGTAAGTGTATTTATGAAACTAAAGAAATTTTCTTAAGATAAAATATCTAGAAAATAATTTTTAAAACCCAATCTGATGAAAAGTGCTATATTCGTTTTCTTATTTCCATTGTGTATATACACAATTTTGAAAATAGTTACATTCAAAGCTGTAGCGTCAAAATTCATATTACAAGTAAATAATAGAACAAACCTAATTGTGGACATCAGTGTTTTTCTCTACGAGCCATTCTGTAATGCTGTGGAATGCACATGTAGGTTTACCCATATTCTATTACATTGGTTCAAAATATGTACTGTATACTACTTGTAATTAAACCTACATGTACTAAGATGCAAATAAAAATTCTATGTAATCTATTTTATGTATAAAATTAAATTCTGTACTTACGAAAAAAGACTTGATTTTTATTTTTAAAAAATGTTCAACTATCTCTATAAAAGATTATAATAGTCTAGCTGTTTCTGAGACTATCTGCAAAAGAAAGCCAATGTCCGTCCTCATGATACAATCTAGCTTCATGCCAAATTGTATTAAAATAGTATTAAGAGATTTGATGATGTGATAATATCCACTGATGATCCTATTATTCGCCATGTACCATGTCAGGTAGAGTTCCACGCGGTTCCACCTTGAAACAACCGTGATAAATAAAAAAAAATCCGGCACTGATAGATAGATAAATTCTTAATTCACAATTACAGACACATAACATACATGAGATACTGCTGCCGTGTATTTGACACACGCATGTTCCACGCGGTTCCACCTTGAAACCACCGTGATAAATTCCTGGTTTCCTCATTTGCCGCGATGGGCTGTTTTTATCTCCTGTTCATCTTATCATCCTACGATGATGCTTCGTGAGCGTAAACCGACAGCGCAGATGGGTGCACCGTACCATTATCATCCGTCAAAAAAAAATATGACTATAGATATAACAGGGTCGAAACTAAACAATAGAGAAGTGAAATGAAATAAACATGATCGAAGTGGGGCACTTTTACATTCTTATACAACGGAGCTAAATAAAATCTGTTATGATATTATTTCCTTTTGTTTAATCCAGTATTCGTTCATTACCTCATTAGATGTTCCGATTGAACGAGCGCTTCGAATCTCTTGATTGTTGTGAAGATGGACAAGACAGGGATTTTCAACATGTGGTATATTTATTATTTGTTATTAATTCTTTTTGACCAATTTATTTTCTCTCTTTTCATTTTTAGTTTATTTTAGTAAATTTCAGTTTTAATTTTAGTAACATTAATTGTGGAAATTGATTTGGTCGGAGGAGTATGAAATTTCACTTATAGTTTATACAGAGTGCAAAATCAATACATTTTTTTAATTATGCATATAAAATAATATTAAATCAATAAAAAACATTACAAATATAACCATGTACTCGTATTTAACACTCACATGCATACCTATATACTACTTTGTCTTGCTGGTTACTTGTTATTGCTGGTTTAAAGATCTTGTTGTATTTTTTGTAATGGGCGTATTTGGACGACTGGGCGATCCGTTGTTCATATTAAATTAATGACAGGACTTTCTTTCCATACAGCCAGTTACAGGAATTAAAGGTGTCAACTTTGTCATACCCTATTAATTTAAAATAAGTACGTGTACAAAATAGCTCAATATGATATGTACATTACCAGTCTTGTCCTACGTTTATTGACCGCAAACTTTCTATACCTAAACACTTTCACTGCAATACATGTACCCAGAGACTAGAGATCAGACTCAGATTTATTAGAGCTAACCGTTATTACTACTATAAACGCTTCTGTTATATACTTACAGAGATTTTTTTATTATATTGCTTGAATATTTATCATTGGTACTTTCTACTAAAGTTTTCTATTTGTAGTTTAAATTGTATTGCTGATATCAATTAAGAGAATTTGGTATACTTACCCAGCAAAACAAAGGAGACATTGAAAAGTGTACTATTTTAAAAGTGTTGTAGGTATATGAAACAAAAGAGAATGAACATATCAAATAAAAATATGATCAATTTGTTTCAGATTATAATAAAATTCGGAACATTTACGCAACATTTAATTTTCTTTTGAAAAATTATATATCTTCCAAAAGAAAATGAAAATGAAATGTTGCGTGCCCCTGACAAATGTCAATTGTTACAGTTTCCTCTATAAATGATCTGTCGGCTACCATTCTCTTACACCCACGATCAATCGGCCGAGATGTCACAACGTCAAAATACAACGGTATCATATCATTTACTATCATTAATCATTATAATCATTGCAGTTAATTTAAAAGTATATAAGTTGACGTCAGTGTTAAGAATTACAAGAAGTGATAGGTGAAAGTGATTGTGTATATATAGTGGTATTTTTCTAATATATAATATCCATTTATAATTTATATTCTTGAATATAAATTTATAATCAATATAAATTAAGTTAATGTGTTTGTGTCATTGACTTTATAATTAATTAATTACCGAAAATATGGGTTAAGATGTCGCCAAATATAAAAGTGGGTTGATTATTACGAATGACAGATCGAAAACATTTAAGTTCAATAGTTACGGTGGTCATACTGTGATTGTTTGTTTATGGGTTCTTGTTTAAGCATAACAAATTTGAAGTATAGTGACTTTAATATTTGCATTATTGAAAAAAAGCTTATAACGACAAAAGTAACTTTATTATACATATATTGTCTTATCTTATCTGTGGTATTATTATTAAAATTACTTGTAACCCTTGAGGAATATACTTATGTAGTGTAATAAACGTACAACATAGAAATAATATTCTCGAATCCACTACCTCATTCTTTTGTAAAAACGGTTATAATTGCCCTTATATTATATTCCAGAGTTTGCGAGATATCAATACATTTATGTATTTATAAGAAACTAACGCCTCGCCCCGGTTACGCACGGTATTAAATATTTTCATACGGATCACTAATATTATAAAATTATATTCTATCGCATATGTTCATCAGGGACAATGTACGATTCTAATAGTAAAAGAATTTTCAAATCGGTCTAGTAGTTTCGGAGCTTCTTCAATGCAATCGAATCAAATCTTTCCTCTTTATAATATACTCGTATGTTTAGAAGATATTGGTTTATTTTTTAGGTATCTAGTACTAGATATATACTATAGATAACTATAATTGTATTTTGATAATCAACTATTTAACGCTTCCTCTATAATGTATATAGTATTAGTTTAAAAATAATTTTGTTAGATACCCAGTAAAAAAAATATTACTATAGGTACTTATCTTATAAATTTGTATTGATAATTAATTATTTAACGATACTATTCACTTAAGATTTATTCCTACGAATTAAATTAATATTTTAATAATAGTATATAATTTTCAGAAATGGTTCTGCTACATCTTAATATTATCGGCCGGCCCATTTTGGATTCCCGCTAGGGGCGTCTCAGTGAAGTCACCGCCTAACAACCCTAGCACAGTTCAGGCACAAGCTAAGTTCTTTCAGTAAGTATCTGGGTGTTACAGGTCCTACTCATACTTTATGCCGATATAAAACAGCATATTCTAGAATAGCATTTTCTACCGCATATATCACGGGGAGTGTTCTGAGGAATTGTTCGGATTAATACCAGCTGCTGAGTTTCACCACCGTACCACCCGTCAGAAACTGAAATACCATCCTGATCCTCTGGATGAATGGCGGTCTTCCACAGTACGGTTTTCTAGAAACTTTTTGCCTCGCACAACCACATTGTGGAATCATCTTCCAGCAATGGAACCGATACGATATTGAAACCTTCAAGAAAAGAGCTTATTCGTTTTTAAAAGGCCGACAACGTACTTGCAATTCCCCTGGTGTTGCGGGTGCTCATGGGCGGCGGTAATCACTTACCATCAGGTGAGCCGCATGCCCGTTTATCCCCTGTGTTATATAAAAAAAAACAGATGATTTGATACTAAACTTATTACTTACAAAAGCAATTTCCATTATTTCCGTAAAATTACTTTCTTTGTTTCGCATGAACTAAAAGGTACATCGTAGAGAATGTTGGACATACATATACGAGTATCTAATATTAAAAATTTTACATCTAATTCATATATTATTTGTTACTGCAAATTAAATTTTGTTGTTATAACGTTTTTAATAAGTAGAAAAAAACAACTGATGCTTGTGATGGATTTAAAAATGGAATACCGATTTGTGATCCTATGATTTTTGAAATTGACAATTTTAGAGGGTTAACAGCATTGAGCAAAGAATCACTACGTTACATAACTTAACTCTTCTGAATTACACGATATAATATATAAATACAAGTGCGTATCTTAAGACAAAGATACACACTGTAAATAAAATATATTCAGTATTCACCTAATTCTCATATAAGTCAATATCACCTACCAGGAATCCAGTAAATATAATGACTTATCTAGGTATATAAAATTTATGTTAATACTAGAGAATTGAGCAATAAATTATCGTACAGGTAATATTTTCAAAAGAGGTTGATGTGTTAGGGCGTTTGTTATGAATAGATAATTGTTAACTGTTCTGTTCCCACGTAAGTAAAGATGAAAAATGTGTTATACAAGTCTCTGCAAATTATCATCACTCTTTGGATAGATTTTGCGATTGCGTTTTGCGGTCCATATAAAGATCAATACAAGAACATTGTGTACGCTTGTAACCCACATGTTGCAACCCATTGCAATATCTAAGACTAGTGCTGCTTGCTCATTGTCACAAATGCACACCTAATTTGAATAATAACCTTCAAATAAATTAGTTTACATTGTCACTATGGAGAACATATTTCATAATGTCTCAAAGAGAAATTTTGTATTTATTTACCCTTAACAATATAGATTACATCTTATATATAAAATTCTCGTGTCACAATGTTAGTTACTACACTCCTCCGAAACGACTTGACCGATTTTTATGAAATTTTATATGCATATTCAGTAGGACTGAGAATCAGCTACTATTTATCTATTTTTCATACCCCTAAATGATAAGGGTTGTCCACCCCTAGTATTATTTTATACAATTTGGCATTAAAAATACATACAACCCTAAATTTTCATCGTTCTATCCCCAATCCCTATTTTTAATAGCAATATTAATACCTACTTAAATTTATATGGCAAAAGAACGTTCTCCGGGACAACTAGTGATTATATAAGTTTAAAGCAGCATAATATAATTGTATTAATTATCACATTCGCTAAAAATAATTACAAAATAGTCTTAAGTCAGATGTACAATGTGTAACTGTTTCTTGACCTAAATAAACTAAAAAAAGGCATATTAATAATTGAGGAATAAGAAAATGATAATTAACTGTGCATAGCAAACTACATTACATTGCTAATCTCTACGCGGTTACCCCTGGAAAACATCATAATGAATTTCTAATGAATTCACTTTGACCTTATTCTCATTTTTCTCCACTGGTGCCCCATCAGTGTAAACCGATAGAACAAACAGGTGCACCATTCCATTACCATCTATTAAAAAATATTACCTACGTCAACACGTTTCTTTATGGTCATCATTTTAATTCCATTTCATCTACAGAATAGTAAGTTTTAATATTGTATGCGTATTTAAGTTGTTTTAAACAGATCAAATAGTTTTGACAGATAGATTAAATTTGTAAATTTATCAAATAATTTTTATTATCTTTTTTATAACTCACATACTGTGTGTAACTTTGAATGTAGCTTGTTTATGTTACTGAATATCTATTCTCCTAATATTCTCACAATTACATCTTTCATCCAAAGTGTCTTATTTTTCTATTTCAAACTATAGAACACTGAAATGTTATTAGGTGATATTTGCTTTATAGGGATTTTTTCTCAGTACAGTTGAGTCCGTACAAGATAGAGTTCGGTCATGTTTGCGAGGATCCTAACACGTGGGAGCAGCGGTATGAGAAGAAAGACTTTAAGAACCACAGGGATATGGGAAAAGTAACAACTATCATTTATCTCGCTCTGCTCTCTAACTGTTCTGTTTCTTTCTCTGTCCCGCTTCGCTTGGCTTGCCTGAAGGTATAGGCACTTGCCTACCTCGGAGGACTTCGATCAAGGACACCGACTGGGCAGCGACCGCCACTTCACTGAGAGGCATGAGAGGTCCAGGCCTTCGGCAGGACTATTCTCCGCTAAAGTATGCTTCTTCTGCTTTATGTCTTTGAAATTTTGTTTCTTTTCCATATTTCTTATTCTGTTTTATTTTAATTAGATGTCCATTTAATTTGTGAAATCAATTAGAAACAAAATTTCATTGTCCTTACAATGCACTAATACATTTTATATTGCACTTATTTGTATCTTGTCTACTTAATTACCCTATATACATACATACAACAAATGTAACACAAAGTATGATATAAACAAATGCTTGCGACCAAGTCATATAATAAAGATAAATGTCACCATAATATAAATCATTATGTTAGGTCACTATATTATAAATATTAACGCATTTCAACTTTCCATTTTTGCATAAAATGTTAATATTTCCGTTTGCTTTAATTTAAAATTATTAAGTAGTCTAACTCCATTCCGTGCATAATACTTCTCAGCTCTTATCTAACTTTCAATTTTCCTCACTAATTATTAGTGGTTAGTTAAACGTACATAATTAATTATTCGTATCTATCATGAACAAGACTAAATGTGTTTTTTTCGTATACAGGTAAGATGGGGTGATAAAAAAGGGGGATATGGGGAGCATTATTGGGATTTAAACCACGCAGGACACACTGGAAGTCAGGATAACGACGGATATAATGGTGACCATGATGATCATAATTATCAAGATAGTTCCAATGACCCATATGATGAGCCAAGTGATCATTCTGCATTTTATAGCAATGACGATTACGACCCTGAAAAATCAAGCTATGAAGAAAATGGACGAGCTAAGAGAGCACATTCTAGACAAAAATCTGAAAACAGAAAACCACAAAAAGAATACTATGAGGAAGAACAAGAAAAAACAAGACCAAGAAAACAACATCGTAAAAATGCAGAACAGGATATAGCTTCTTCTCATAAAGTGGAAGAATATTCTGAGGAAGACGAAGATGTTGAAGTTCAGAAGAAAACACCAAAAAGACGAACACAAAATAAACAAACACAACAACATCAGACTCCAAAAGAAGAGAAGAATCAAGTCGTTTTGGTTGTAAAAGAAAATGATAATAGTAACAATCAGGAACAAACAAATCAATACAATGGGAATACACAACAAGACGTGAATCAATATGTTCCTTATGAAGGTGGTGCTGGAGTTAGACAACATCATCAGGCTGACTTAAATGCTGCGGCAATAGCACCAAGATTGTTCTTAGAACATGCTACCGGACGTGTCGTGGATAGAGTAACTGGGCAAGCATATATCTTGCAGCCAATTCTAAATAATTATCAGTAGATGTTCGATTAGTAGACTTAATTTAAATAGTTATTTATTTTGTAATTAAAAGTACTGTTTAATTTAATTTGTATTTTAGTTTTTGAATAACAATATTAGATCCACTTAAAATATAATGGATTTACATTACAGTAGATCTAAAATGCATAAATGGCGCAAGTAAGTAAGTAAGCTTAACTTTCGTCACGTATAGTTCCCTACCTACTAACTACTAAAATATTCTTGACAGCAGTAACAAAATGACACAATGTAAGAAAATACACTTATTTTCTTGATCTGGGTAAGTAGAAGTGTCAGTATAATGTGCGGTTGGTTTTTGAAGTCTATTTGCAATACACTGACATTATTAAGACAATTCTATATATAAGTCTATTAATAGGTATAATTTTAAAACATCATTTTCTATTTGAAGTTTTTTTATATATTGTATAAACGATAGTAACATGAACTTTTTTTTAATATCTAAGTGGCATACAAATATGTGAACTCTGGGCTTATATATATTTACAATATTATATGAATATCTTCAACATCCGAGAAAACTTGCATAGCTCACGCCATAGCCTGAGCACTGGAAGGAGAGGACTCTGAAATTATACTAACTTCCTGTGGATAGTGAGCAGTGCCTTGGAAAAAAATAATCAGTTATATTTAACTCAGTATTTTTTCCATGGTACTGTGATAAAAGCGATGAAACCTGCAGAATAAGACGTATGGTATATTAGAAAGGATCTTTAATAATTCTTTTAACATTGTCAATGAAACATATTTTTTTTTTCCATTAAATATTAGTATTTAGTCCTGCACTATTGTTAGTAATGAAAACAAAGCTATTCACTTCCGCAACGTCACCGTTTTATTTTTTAACGCATTATTATCTAGCTTGTCCCTACCTGCATTTGTGACCCTACAGAATGTGAGCGAAGATGCAAATCGGGGGTCAGCAGTTTGTATTGCCCTTTCCCACGTCACCTTGACTGGGCAAACAGGTTCTAAGGAGAATATACGCAACTTATTGTAATTGTGTATTTGAAATAACCGCTATTTTCCGTTAGATGCGGGTAATCTTATCGTGATATCACGTTTTGCCCCTATAGTCAGATGAGTCAATTGTTTTGAAGCTGGCTCGTATGGCCTGACTTTTTAGAAACTGTTAACTGCTGTTCCGTTGAGAAATGGTAGTAACTGTCATGTAGGAAAGTTACAAGATATTATATATATATGTTATAAATTTATCAACTAAAGTTTAGATTAGAGAGATAGGTGATTGTTCTGGGTTGTTGTCCCTATTACTAACAATCTCTTCCGGATTGTTAGTAATAGGGACTAGAGGTAATGCTAGCAATGGACAGTGTCAGAATGACATTCACATTGTCCTTCCTGAAAATCCCATCCGGTGTGGTTCTTTTACATTTTCTTCGTTTAAAATAAACTGACAAAACAATCGTAAAGTAAAATAGTTTATTAACTGTAGATTATTTTTTTATAACTACATCCTCCTTTTTCCTTTCCGTTTTCTACTTTTTTATTTGGTAATGGATTAAAGGCCGATAACTCACCTGCAACTGGTACTGTTCATAATCTTGTTGGTCTTGAGGGATTTTTTTTTAAATGCATTAATATGGAATTATGCTCCCGTCTGCACATGCATCGCGGCGAATTTACCCGGTAGCAACCACTTTGATTCTAATTCAAAGCACTTGGAGGAAGATCGAACAAAAACGATAGATACAGAACTGTATAAAAATTGTAAGTTTGATTTGCAAAAACTTTTATAGGGCAATTAATTTCCATTACCAATTAACTTTTACCCATAATTAAAAAATAATCCACTCAAGTAAATAATGTGATACAAATTGACGTTCAAATATCCGCTGTTTCCCGGTCATGGACCATGGGGAATGAATAATACATCCACCCTTAATCTTAACAAAAGGGGCACGCGACTAAGATGAGAAAAAAATATTGAATTATAGGGATGCAGATGCAGAATTGTTCGCTAAACATAAGGGTTGCTGTGCAGTCAAGGGCGACTGTTTACGTTACATTTCAGCACCTTTTATCACCCAAGATTTCTATAAATGTCTGTTATTTATCCCTATTCTTATTGTTTTTCTATATGTCATATTGGCAGGCAAAAGTTTTTAGACCATACAGCCTAGTTTTTGTGATATATTGTAAAAAGCTCTGGGAATCAAAACAATTATTAATGAATAAAATATTTTTTTAATAATTAACAATATTTTTCCACATTCGACTATGTAGAAATATTTTAATCTAATATTACTATAAATTTAATCTTATTCTGCGCATTAAGGATAAGGAATTTGTATACTAAAGTATTTATTATATAAATTCCCTGTTAAATAATAATGACGATGACGAATTTTTACCTAATTAAAAAAAAGGTAATACTGTCTATGCTAACCTTAGTGATTGGTAAATACATGAGACCAAATCAAGGATAAAAAGCATTCCCTCTTAGCCTTCTGAAATGGCAACGTATAAATGGTGTCACGGTCGTTACATGAGAACGTAATATCCGTTGTGCTCTTCATGCATCTATAATGGTGATGGTTACCATTTACCTTGTGGTTGGTGGGCATTCAGCCTGTTTTCCATTCCAATTACATAAACTATAAAAACTGTAGTTTAATTGGTATATATGTTAGAAAGTATTTTTTTATACTAGGATTGTGACAACATGCATATGACCCGTCTGATGTTAATTGGTTACCGTAGCCTACGCCAGAAAACCAGGTAAATAACTGCATCTAAGCAATCTAGGGATATATTATATTATGTTTATGAAAATAGTTGAATTAATTTAAAAATAATTAAAGAGAGGGTAATTTTGTTAAATTAAGAAAAGATAAATACATTTCTTAAATAAAAACTAAATACTATAATTATTATTAATGAAATATATTTTACTTTCATATTTCATGTTTAAAACAAACATATCGACTAAAATCTTGTATTTTCTATTTTAAGAAATAGTTTATCAGATTGCACATCTATTTACAATTCAAATATAATTAAATGCAAGACCAAGCAACGTCTTATTGAATTGCGAATATTCCCACACACACAGTAAAAATAATCCTAGCGAAATAACGGACGTCACGTACCTACGAGTACAGGACGACCAAAGGGTCGCTGTCCACCCTAAATGGTTAGACAAACCAGTTTGACCAGTTCCCAACGTGGGAACCATTGTCCACTGATGCACCTTTGTGCAATTCGTAGTCGTAACTTGCCCAGACGTTTGCACTTGTCCACCGAAGGGGTGCTTTCTATTGTTATGCAATAAATGCGACATGTCCCTTACAGTGACGTAGTTGGACGGCAAAAAATGTTCGTGCCAATTTGATTTAGTGTAAATTACAGAATTCTCTATATTTGCCTTTTGTTATTATAAAAAAGAAAGTAATTCAATTGAGTTTCTTGCCAATTCTTCTCAATTGGATCTATATACCGAACTGGACGGTAGGGAAAAAATTTAAATCATAATGTAAAAATTTGACGTTCATAAGCGGTTAAAATGTCCTAGATGAATAAATGATTTTTGAATTTGAATTTGAATTTATATTATTAAAAGTATAGTATAGTATTCGTCTATATCATTTTAAATACTCATTTGTTGTACAAGCATTGAAAAGTTTAAAGAACCCGTGAACTATTTTACATATTCTACAAAACTGTATTTAATTATTAATGAAATATTCTTTATTTATATGTATTTTTTAATTTTCATATTACGTTATAGCTTAAGTGATGTGAAGTAAAGTTAAAAAAAATATATTGTTTTTTTTTTATATACCTAGTGTACTAACAATTAAGAAAAAAAAATTACACAAGAATATCTGCCAAAGTCTTAGGAACCCATCGACAAGACAATGGACTGCTACTGCAAGTAATCGCTATTTGCAAATAAAGGGTCATTCATACTGTCCTTTCTCACACATAGAAGTGGTCAGACTGGTTTTTGGACGAACCCTTTTCACAATAAACTATAGGAAGTAAGGACAGTGGTGTCTTTCTAGCCCAGTGTATTGTCCAATACTCGCCAAACTGGTTTGATGTCATGAGAAAATTATCTATTGCATGCTGATTCAGTACAGACCCTTTTCAGGTAACATTTAATATGGCAATTGTTTATGGTTTGAAAATTAGTGAAATTCAGAGTCTAAATAGTCTTTGATGTTGTTTGCATCGTAATATGTATCAAAGTAATTTCTTAGACAACTAATAAATATTATTAAATATTTGTTAGTATTATTATAATTATAATTATAATCAGTATTAATACCGCAAGAGATGCAGGACGGTGTTATTTGAGAAACTATATGGTACATACAGTGCTCCAGTTCCTTTCCATGATATCCAGTATTACAATCTCCTCTATCAGAGAAGAGATTAAATACTAAATTTATTTAAGAATATTTTAAAATAACAATATCTTTATTACGAATACAAAAATAAGAAAAAATTAATGAAGCTCTTTTTTCAATATTAGGAACGTGAACTCACGGTACTTGAAAGATAATAGTTTCACCAAAAAGTAACTACATGTTTTAATTATATAAGGATTTTAATTAATTACATGATTCCATTTAGTTTCAATTATATATATAATCTTGTTTGTGGTTAGCATTTCAATCGGCGGTCAGTATTAAGCTGAATGTCCTTGATTCCACTCTACATAAAACGTGCTACTATTTATATTTTGTACAACAACTGATTAAAATCGGTAAAATTTGTTCAAATGATAAGATAACTAACATCAATATTTCAAACTAGTTACATTTTCTTGAAACATTTTTATTTTGAAATTAAACGTAATTGAAAATTCGATTTTCATTAAAATAAGGTAAAATAAATAATAAAATTATACAAGACATGGGAATTATAAAGTGTTTTCAGAATATTGAACAAAATTTATTTACTGTAATAGGTAATACAGTAAGCTGAGTGGAGTGGAACGTAAATATACGACAAAAGATATGGTAACATTTCGATTGAAAGTGTTTGGGTGAGGGGAGTTGTAAGGTCTCTGAATAGAGATAGAACGAATACTGAAAAATATCTACAACGTAGGTAAATTTATTAAAACGTTATTACGTGGACACAAACCTCTTAAAGGAACGATCTATATATAGTTCACTGACCCCAAATAAATGTGATAAGGAAGAAGCAGATGATGATGATGATGATGATTTAAATATGAAGCTAAATCCCTTTTAATTTTAAACATTATTTTTATCTTTGTACACATTAATTGATCGTTTATAACGTCAGCGTATAAAAAATAAAATTACTTCCTCATTATCAATTGAGAAAATTCATTATAAAATATAAATATTAATAGTACTGTTACAATATATAATAGTAGTAACGAACTTTTTTTTGCACCAGTTATTACCCACTCAGTACCACCTATGCCACTGTTTTTTTTAGGTTGACTGAAAGAGATCTCTTCTATTTATAAGTCCACCTTAGCTCGCATTATCTTTCAATTATAATATCTTTGTATTATATGTGCAATAAAGTATTATAATAAAATATATATATATCTGGCAATTATCATGTGGCGTTCGTGATACTACTGATGCATTGCATTCCGGAGAGCTAAGATGTTATGCCTGCTTATCCCTTACCTACACTTCAATCGAAACACAGAATATAAACCAGGCTGCTTGGATGATCCCCACTTGATGAATTTCAAATTCTCGGTAAAATATATGTAACCAGCAAATGCTTAATTTGTCTAAGTGTGTAATTAAATCTGATAAAGTATATTTAAAAATATTTAAGCAACCGTATGTAGATATATACCGGAATAGGTCAAGACTAAGTTAATATAACAACAGTAGATACATCGCATATTATTTGAGAATGAAAATATGTACTTGTAGACCCAGAATAGGCGGATTAGCATGAGATCGATTATAAAAATTTACGAAGTTGTTACTTGAATATATCATACGTAATCGATTTGGCTCGCGGTTGAGAAATTTGACTTTAGAATGTTGCCTACTCCGTAAGTGATCGATAAAAAATATATCATTCAATTGAATTGAACGATGTCTTTTTAAAAAAAGCTTAATCCTTTTTTTCATGTGGTCACAACAACAACACCTTATTATATAATCGTGGGGCTATGGTAAGATATCTAAAAAGGGTGCATAGAATGGGGCGGGATTAAAATCCCTTTCTTTATCTACATTTCATTCCTTACAATGATGTATGCAAATCAAAATCACGGCTCCTCACTATTTATCAAATGTAGTGATGTCAGTAACGCAGAAGTCGTTCTAGAGTTAAGATCAAGGGTGTACATACGAAGAAGTAAAACAATTAAATCCGGTGATGTTTATATTTTAAGTTACAATTTTACTACAATAAGGTAAGTTATTATTTTACATAAATGTTCAATATTTATTGTACATAATGTTCATGATATATTTATTTTATTAATTTTATGACTTAAATATTCAATAATTATAATAAATAAAATGTGATATGAGTACAATAGATTATATGAGAAAATGATACATTTGGATAATATATGTGTGTAATAAATAATGTTAATAAAAGTGACAATTTTATCTAATTGTTAATCTTCAAATAATCGGGAAATGAGGTTTAAAATATTTATCGAGTTACCTTTCTCATATGCAATTGTTTTTATTTATATAATTTTTCGTATTTTTCCATTTTTTATCTTCTTAATTTTTCTATATTTTTCGTTTCTTCTGAAGACTTGGTTTTCAAGAGATTGAATCTCATAAGTTTTTATTCGGGTTCGTTCATTCTGAGCCGTGCAAAATCTTCGAATACGATGTTGTCCTCCTCTTCGTTGACATACAGAGAATTTTCGTAACGGTGTCGTTCAATAGATTGCATTTTCTTCATTGCATTGAAGCGCTGACGTTCAACGGTGCCTAGAATAACAATATGAATAATTTATTTTAGTTTCTGAGGTTTATCGTGAAGTTACACAATTTCTATGTTTTAAGTTTATTACCTTCAGCGGGATGCAACAATTTAAATGGTACATCTGTAACAAGTTCGCCTCCAAGAGTTCCACAGTTCAATTTAACGCGAACTGTATAAGATACTACGATACCAATAGCGTCAGCTGGACATTTCCCTTCAGCCACCAATGTAGAGCTGGCTAAATTAACATCATCTTCCTTCAAGTGACCGTCTAGCGCCACACCTATAAACACAATAACCACATACATATAGATAGTATATTTCTTAGGAATTCCTAAATTTAAATGATATTAGCACTTGTTTAATGTTTAGTTAAATAAGTAAATAGGAATTTGTTTCACTGAGTACTAACCACGAGTGTCCTTATTGCTGCGCGCCAAAGGAACTAAATAGAATGATTTCGATAAACTGGCTCCAGGTGTGATTGGGCAACCTTCGCGGCTTTCTAAAGACGCCACATGACGACTGAATTGAGAATTGATCATAGTAATCTCAACGTGCTGAATCACCATGCAACGGATGCTGCGAACTGATTTTCGGGAGTTGTTCGAAACAATGACATTAGCAGCAATCTTCTCGCCATGGTAGTAGATCTCCCTGTCCAGGGTCACTTCCAGATTAATTTTACCATTGCTGAAAGTAAATCCTTTGCTTACGAGTGAGCTAGGAAGACGGCGACCTCGGGAAGCAGGAGCATGTTGCAACTAAATAAAAAGAGAAGCAAATTATTAATACATTCGTAACGTCTTCATTTAAGAATTTTGTTCCAATTTATCTCACCTTTTTAATAGCTAATGTTACAGAACTTCTCTTGTGGCTTTTTTGATCTTCATTTTCTGCAACATAAGTTCTGACACAATATTCCACACCCATTGGTTTGCCTTGATCTTCTTCGGCAGGTTGTAAAGTAACCTATAGATACATAATGATTACTTAAATTAACTTAGATTTATTTTTCAATCATATTAAAAACAGAAATAAGCTTACCGAGCTTGGCGCCATTTCGGGGAAAATAAATGTAAAAGGATAAGCATTGGGGCCAAGCTTCTTCAACAGCTTCTCTTGAACGGTTGTCAACTCCATTTTAGAATTGATCATAGGCACAACTTGATCTTGTCCAATCACCATTTCCTTGGAAAACTTCACTCCCATCACCTCATCCTCTTCTCTACCATAGCGGTATGTAGTCACGAGCTGGAGGAAAATAATATTATTTACAAATCCTAATATTTACTGCACTTTTTTTCTATAATATTGCGATTAATTTATACCTGACTATAAACTTTTCTTCCTTTCAGATATTCAGTATCAACCACTACCACACCATCAACGGGATCGCAGTAATCCATATGATCAATGAAGTCTCGTTTGCCAAGGTAAACAGTGATTTTTCCATTTGGAGTAGTCTTTTTAAATACTTTTACAGCGACCACATAGGCCATGGATAAGTATTTCAACATTTTTGATAATTCTAATAAATCTGTTTAATTTCGAAATACGGATTGACAAGGACTTATTTAGTAGCTAGTAAGGGTTCTAAGTGTGAAAGGCGTTCACCAGAAGTGAATATTCTCAGGCAAGCTCAGTTATATACTCGTAACATGTGAGGTTTCATGTAAAACAAATAACAACCTAATAGGATTTTGTTCGTGGGCGGGCTAATAAGATTACAATCTTATGACGCATAAATACACTGAATCGATATTGTGTTACATCACTAGTAGTATCATTTTATGAAAATCGACACAAAACGTCATGCGTCATGAATATGACATTTGGCGACAGAAGTTTTGTATGTCAAGATTTTTGACAAAACCTATTTGTTTAGGTTATTTTTATTGTAGTTCGTAAAATAATCTACTTCTAATTAATTTAGCAAACCAATATGATTCTTGTAAGCGATATATAAATTCTTTATGTTATATACCACAAGACTGATGTTACAATTCTGAATTAAAAAAGATGTGTAGATTCTTTAGCTAAGTGAGACTGTAAGTTTCATGTTTTGATACATTGTGTAATTGAAAATATTTGTTATTAAACGTACAATATATTTTAACGCAGACCTTTGGTCGGCAAATATACCCTAATTAAATTAGTAGCTGTGTAAATATATTTTTCAAAATAAGTTGAATTTTTATCGGTATATGATAGAACAAGTTCATATTCAGTTTTTTACTAATGTATTTTTTAATAATTTCTTATTAGCCTTACATTTATTATGGCGCAAATAACAATGGTGAAATACATCTACCTAAAATACTTTACAATTCAGTGTTATAAGATTAAAATCAAATATTGTTTTATTTTTTATTGAATCAAAATGTGTACTCAAGGGTTAATTATTTCCAGTTATACCATTAGCATGCCCACCTTCCTGACCCCGGGCCGGCATGGCTACAGTGTTCGATTTTCACGGACCAGACCTGATGCCCTTGCAGTTGCTACCAGCCAGTACTATGGTCTCGCTGGAGGAGGAACATTGTTCTTTCTCGAGTTGGCTCCTGATGGAAGTACATTGTTGGAAATGCAAAAATTGGAATGGAGTGATGGATTATTTGATGTGGTATGTATTTTTGAAACTAATTTTACTTATATTAATTTTAGAATTATTAATTTCATAAAATACATGAAAGAACACTTATTATTAACAGTTAATTATATAAAAACTATAAATGGTATTACTAATGTACTACCAAAAAATAAAAAAGATACTCTATTGATTCTAAAAGTCGCAGTTTCAATCAAAAGCTGCGTAAAGAAATACTTCAATTGATTTTTTTCATTTTCTTCTATCAGCTGTTTTTCATTTGTACTTGGTATATTAATACAAACAACTCTTTATTGTCCAAATTGCATTAATTTAGATATTACTTAACAAATAGAAAAAATAAGTTTTTTTTATTAATTTAGTATATATTGGAGTATGTCATTGTCTTGCTATGTATTTTCTTTTTAAATAACTTATTTCAATAATACTATGGTCATCCTTGATAATGAAATCAAGTAAGGTAAAAGCACTAATGCCCGACACTGAACTAAAAGATGACACTTTCGAAAAAAATCGTTTTTATTAAGAAAACTAATCATTTAAGTAACACCACTACTGATATTAAAGATACCTAGGGTCATTTATGATACGTGGTCAAAAGCTTGCATACATTGTCAAGCAAATTTCAAAACGGCGTTAGTTGACAACAAACAATATGAGCAGGTTGATAATAAGTCCGTAATTCTTAGCGTTTTTCTTAAGGCAACTGACTTTTAATACATATGATTTTGTCTTATCTATATATGATTATTGGCTATTGTTGGTTTCGATATTATAAATGTATGAAATTATTGATCTATTAGAACTATTTCCTTGTTATTTTGGCTTGTTTTTTTATGAATTTTAAGTGGTGTTTACTATTAGTACCACAAATCAAACAAAACCTAAAAGATGACATGTGTGTCTTCTACTAGGGTTACATCGAACTGATTTTGTTAGCTTATTTTAATGCAAATTTAGCCTTTATGTTTTAAAACTAATATTTATATCCGAGTTTCGTTTATTTTACACTAGTCTAACTATAAGTAGACAGTGTCAACTATTAGGGTATACTAGGTGTCAACTATTAGGTAGCCATTAATTTCAAATTAAAGTTCGAGTACGATGCCTCCAGTAAAGGGTCTGATGTTTCGATACTCCGAAGATAATATGGAAGCAGCTATATAAGAATGCAGGCGGGACGTTCCGACAGCTACTGCGGAGAAGAAAATCGGAGTCCCCGAATAACTTTGATAAACAATGTCGAGGGAAAGACCTATTACACGTAAAATAGGAAGAAGGTGTTACGTGTCCGAAGCCGTAAAAAAAATACTCGTAACATGGGCAAAAGCCATAGTCAAACAAGGGTTCCCAATACGAAAAGATAACTTACAAGATAGCGTTAAGAAAATAGTTCAAGACCTTAAGATAGTAAGATAGAATCCAAGAACGGTAGACCAAGGAAGAGATGGTACAATAGCTGTTTAAAGCGTCACCCTGACCTTATAACAAGGTAAATTTGAAAGCCTCCAGAGCATCTGTAATCATATCTCAAATAAAAAATTGGTTTCAAGAAATTGTCACTTACCTAAACAGTAATAATCATACAGATATTCTTAATGCACCTCAGCGAGTTTATAACATGGACGAGACTACTTTCTTCGTGAACCCCAAAGGAATAAGGTCCTAGTATCAATAGTTTAGGTTTTGAATAGTTTAAAGTACTTAATATCATCATCATCATCATCCCAGCCTGGAAGACGTCCACTCTGGGAAAAGGCCTCCCCCAAAACGCCAAAAACTAATTACTTTTGACAAGCAATATGGCTAAATATTGATTTTCTGCCAATTATATTTTTATGTTATTTGATTTGATTATATTTTGTTGCTAATTTAATAATTTTAAAGCACAGGCTGTGCTCGGTATTCATTTTAAAGTATTTTTATTGATTTGTTTTGATGAAACAAATAATATTAGAGTGATCTTATATATGTCTACTATTAGTGCCAATTGATGTCTATTTTTGGTGGATTTGATTTTTGATGGTGTCATCTTTTAGTGTCTACGACAAACCTAAGAAGAATATTATTCTTAGTTAAAAATATGTCAGTTTTAAAACATCTTACATGGAAAAGTTAAATTGTAAAAGTTGCTCTAACAGTAAAAAAAATTGTAACTGTAGTTTTTTGATAAATACATCTGCTTTTTTGAGAATGAAGTTTGGTTTGTCCTTAATGTGTCTAGCATTAGTGCTTTTACCTTATTGCATTCAAAATTGCCTAAGGTGTAATTTCATCAGTATACCATAACTAAATTAAATTTATTTTAACAATTCGTTTTATGTAACTTGTTATTTTTATTAATAGCTATTTTATCAGTATGTTATTGGAATAGGTGTATGTAAATATGATTTTTGCCCTGTTCAATTGGCGGGTACACAAGACAACCGCTGCTTGATCTCTACTAAAACTATTATTATGTATTGTAATAATATTATAATAATAGTATGGTATAGTGCAACCATTTATAGATATTTATTTGTAGTTATTTTTATTACTGTCTATCAGTGCTAACATATTACAAATATAGAGATATCATTGTAGGTACAAAGTGTGTACATCAAACCCTTATCAGATTTGTACTTTTATACAACTCAAGTCTGTGATTTTAATAAATTCCTAATCATTTTGTTCAGTCACTATACCAGTAGAGAAATGAATTATATTTATAAGTTCACTCATATGTATTATCCATTCACTGTGTTATTGTTTATATAACAATTGCTTTGCTAATCTTACTACAATAAAAAGTAGTGATCAGTCCCAGCTTTTATTCTTTAACAGACATGTATTATACATGTAAACCTTTCTCTTGAATCAATATCTATAGCTGAACGTAATATTAAAATCCGTCGCATAAATTAAAAAATATAAGGAAATAGCAGCGGCCACTTTGTTTTATACTATGTAAAGATGGCAAAGATATTGAGGTTGTTTCGATGCTTGTTACACTTTTGTGCAGAAACTACTCGACCAGTTGCAATGAAATTTAGTACACAGAAACATCATATTTTATATTAATTATTAATTACCTGAATTCATATAGGCAATGCTACACGCATTGTTAATACTACCAGCCAGTTTGGTAAGCTATTTCACTTGGTAGCTCAACTGGATTTTTTCAATAAATTTTTTAACATGGTTTTTAAAATGTGATCATACCTTATGACTAATTATCCCTTTGAACATCATTCTTATCTTTAGCTTTAATCTATTGTACTTTCTTTACATGGAATTTCTGAGTATAATCAGGATTATAATATTTTTAATACCTGAACTAATTATATGAAGAAGCCCTATTTGAATATTACGTGTACAATCTTGCTTTTACAAGTAGTTAATAGGATCACTTAGGTATATGCTATTTTTAGCCAATTGATTTAAGTTGCTAGTACTATCCCATAATAGTATATTACACAGACTTATAGGTACTGAAAGTCATAAGTTTATGTCTGATTTGTTAATTAGATAACAATAATCAATAAATTAGTCAGAAATAGAAAGGCTATTTCTGACTAATTTATTGATGAAGGAAGATACTAAATAAAGCCAAAGTTAATACTAACATTGTCATCATTTGACAAGAATGTTGACTGTAAAATATTCCATGTCAGTACACTACAAAGTACAGTCAACATTTATGTCAAATAATGTACATTTTCATAAAAAACATGCCTTATTTAAGGTTACTAAGTATTCCCAACATATTTATATTTTTAATAAATCATATACCTTTTTTTTAAATAATTGTAATAAATAAATATAATTTTATCTTTATTACTGAAAAAATAGCGAAAACTCCTCCTATATGTTTTTGGTCCTTCGAGTCGGATGTTTTAAGCATGCTTACTGTTATGACGCCAGACGTGGTCGGGTACAAGCGAGGCGGCGGTGGCATGCGGCGCCGGTGACGGTGCAGTGGTGGTGTGGCGAGGAGGGTGCGCGGCGCCACTGCGAGTACTACGGGGACATTCCAGCGAGGTCTGCTCTGTGGACTGGCCGCGTGGACGCCTCCTCAGCGCCAGTTGGGACACCACAGTCAAGCTGGTAACTATACTGCAATTCTGCTTCCTAATGTTCTGATGATAAGGTTTGATTTGCAAAAATTTTGTAGTCCCAGACATGAAATTTGTTGAAGAGTGATATGGCAGTGAAATTGGTCAAGGTGTTATTGGAGTAGACTTTATTACAAATCGTTGTTATTTATGTTACAATCATCATTGCTTTACCTTTATGCTATCATTTGGGCACGAGATATCATTTTCATCCACCGGTCTCTATCAGACATTATATCTCGCGCGGACGCCTTCTCGGCGCCAACTGGGACACCACTGGTAAACTATACTTGCAATTCTATATTCTAACGTTCAGATCATAAGGTTTGGTCTGCAAAAATATTGTAGTTTCTGACACCAAATTTACCTTGTAATATATGTTTTGATTTGAAGAGTGATATGGCAGTGAAATTATTGAAAAAGGTACAAATACTCAGAGTGGTTTATCTATCATCGTTGCTTTACTTTTATGCCATTATTTAGGGTTGGCTGAAGCTGTCATCTTGATGTCACTAATAGTGTAATTCAATGTAATATGGACTCTATTCCCTGCATTTAGCTTCAGGTGTAATACAGGTCTCAGCTTACACTCTTTTTATGCCTAACGTTTTTCCTTTTACATCCATCGTCTACGTGGGTATGGTCTCAACAATTTCTGTTGATAAGTAGCTTGCTTTGTAAGCTATTTTGGCTTTGGGTGAGATATAGCAGTGGAATTATAAATAAAATATGATAATGGAGGTACCTTACTCATCAGGCATGGCAATTTCTTGCAGTATCATGGGCATCATGTCTGTGATGCTATTCATGCAGTCAACGATTACTTCCTATCAAGCGTACCGTCAGCTTGTTTCCTATTTTAGTATCATTTAAAAACTGAGCATCGTTATAATAATATTGTATTTGTTTATCATTTATAGTGGGACCCTGAATCTGAAGCCTGTCTCAATACATTTGCGGGTCATTCTCAACTGGTCTACACGGCGGCGTTCTCTCCCCACTCTCCTGCAACCTTCGCCTCCGTCTCAGGAGACGGCCACCTTAAGTTATGGACTTGCACAGAGCCACGACCTGCAGCGGTTGTGAAGGCGCACGAGGCTGAGGTAATTTTAATCTTATTGTAACGGTATTAGGTGTTATATCTGTATATTTCATGACATTAGTTAAAAAATGTTTTATATTTTTTATGTATAAGGAGAGATGAACTATAAAATAAGAAATGAAACGTAATATGTGTATATTATTTATATTTAATTTCAAAGTTTTTTTTTTTTAAAGAAGGTGCAATAGTTCAGGAGGATACTACTATCACTTACATATAAAGTCATAAAATGTCTCTCTTTACAATATTAGTATAAATTATAATAATTTGCAGGTTTTATCATGTGATTGGAGTAGAACAGAGACGCATGCAATAGCGACATCTGGATCTGATGGTCTGGTCAAAGGATGGGATTTGCGGCGTCTTACCTCTCCTATGTTCACACTTAAAGGTAATATCAATTATTTTCTTGTAGATATTTCATACAGTACAGTCATAATCTAAACAGATCTTGTAACTAGAGGCAACTAGAAGTACTTAAATACTTTTATAAAAAATATCCAGACAAATATAAAAATCATACTCATACATAAAAAAGTATATTCATACACTTTTTTATGTAAATAGAACAGCAGACGTGCTTACAGCTCATCATGACGTCCGTAGTGCTGTTCTCATATACAGCACTACTGACATCAGGTTATTGACACGTATGATTCCACTCACGTAACATGTGACACATTACAGAGGACTAACATATCATGTCTCTAATTTAACTGCTTTATCAAATTGAAGAGAGACAGATACCAACGCAGACTACGTCTTCGTTTTGTCTTTAAATCGTCTTTAATTTGCATAATTGTAGGTTGCGAATGCGCAGTAAGGCGAGTACAGTTTTCACCACACGCGCCCTCCGTCATAGCGGCCGTGTCATACGACTTTACTACAAGGTATGAAAGCACTAATTATTTATAATAATAATAATAAAGCCCGTAATTTCGAAATTTATAATACAATTCTTTTTAACTAAAGTATAGATATTTACAATAAATCTCTAATGGCAGTGTGCCTTTTGGCTTAGACCTTTTCCAGCGACGTCAATTTCTTCCGTTTCTATCATGTGTAATTCTTTTCCATTTTGTGCCCAAAGTGGACTTCAACTCTTCATTTCATTAACTGCCTAGCCCTCTTTCTCTTCCGTCTCTATGATACCACTCTGTTGTTCCTCTACTCCATTTTTCTCTTGTGTCACGCATCATGTGGCCAGCCCATCGCCACTTCTGGTCTATTTTTACAGAATGTCAGTCACTTTTGTCCTCGGTGACAACTAGTAATTATTATTTCTTAACAACCAGGATATGGGATCTGAAGCGAGGTTGTGAGCCACTAGAGACGATCCGCCATCACTCTGAGTTCACATACGGGCTGGACTGGAATACACTGAGGCCACATCAGATAGCCGACTGCGGCTGGGATTCGTTGGTGCATGTGTTTACACCGAGATCACTAGCTTGAGACTGGCTTAGGTAAGTTGTTACTGTTGAAGATTGAGCCTCTTTGTAATTTGCTGTTACTGTTGTTCCAAAACATAATAAAACCTATGATAATGATTATGATATTAAATAAATTTACCAAAGAGGTACACTTGACTGAAGAAATGCGTAAGTTTTTACCAGACTGTACAAAGTGGATCTCGGTAAAGAATGCTTTCGGCTCAGTAATATCCGTTAAAAGGATATATAACAATAACCCTTTGAGGATACATAGGTATTAGTATATTTTCTAATATATAAATTTCCGTTTCATAGTGTTTGTAACAAACTCTCCTGAAACGGCTTTACCAATTATTATCAAATTTGTGGGTCTGAGAATAGGACATAAACTATTTTTCATACTTCTAAATGATAATGGTACTTCACACTCCATTTTTTTTTGAGGTTTTGGCATTAAATCTTACTAATATAATAAATGTGAAAGTTTGTGAGTATGGATGGATGGATACTCTTTCATGCAAAAACTACTAAATAAATTTTAATGAAACTTTACAATAATATAGCTTATACACCACAATAGTATGTAGGCCATAATTTAAAAAAGATATTATGTAAATACGGCAAAATATACTAATAAATGTTCAGTTGTGATGGAGACGATGTTGCTTGAGTCAGTTAGCATTACATACAATTCTAAGTTTTCACTCATCTACCAGCAACCCCTATTTTTTCATAACGACATTACTTTAATAATTTTCGATATTTGTAAATATCAATCGTCGTATTATATTGTAAAACAATGCTTGCTAGGTCAGTTAGTATTTATTCTAATATTTTCCATTTCAGATGTTCCCAGAGTGTTCGAAGCAATCGAAAACTTTGACTGATGATGGCTGTGTATAATGCGATGCATGTTGTTCCAATATGCACTTTGAGTGCCAAATTAATTGGTGTCGTATTTGTTTGTACGAATTAATCGGTGCGTAGTTAAAGATAGTTATAATCAAAACAGGGATGATAATATCCTTCACTGACGGTGGCATGCAATTTTTTTATATTGTCTCATTTTTTTATATTACAACCTTCTTATCCATAAAAATAAAGTGCAATAAGCCCATTTACAGACTGATAGTCATGGCCTAGTGGTTACTACACCGACTTATACTGAAAAGTCGGTAAGTTCTAATCTGCTCAGCATTAATAAACTTTCTGTGTCACTTTTTATTCCTAACTAACTCCCCTGACTGTAACTGTGATGAGAACACCTATAAGAAACGAAGTTGATTCGGAATACGGCGGTAGCTTCGTCCTCCCGTAATGCTTTTATACCGAGCGAATGTGGGCATTTGAGCAAGTGTTGAGTTCACCACGATGTCGTCAGTTGCCTCGTTTAAGATAAAAGCCGTGAAAATATATATATGAAAGTATAAAATAGTTCAGTAGGTCAAATGGGTTTGTAGGAGATTTAAGTTTATGCATAAGGAAGAGTTTGTATTTAAACATATTTTTTATATTGTTTTTTTTTATTCCATTGCATTTAATACCACCGTCATTGAAGGTTTTGTTAAAGTTGATGGCAGTAGGGTATGAGGGATGTAATATAAAATTATTATTTCGTTATTTATTAATAGAATATTATTAGTTTTTATATGCCAATCAAAATAACGCGAATAAAAGTTATTATAAATGAAATGAATAAACATTTTTGTTACAATTTTGTATATTTTTTATTTAGTACTTCTGTATATATGAACGTTCGTACTTAAATGTTGATGTATTTGTAAAGTGTATGGACTGATTGCATGTTTCATACATTTCCTCTCCGACGTCGATGGCCAGTTCACAAACGTTCTTCTTTGTTATATATATATATATATATATATATAACAAAGAAGAAATAGTTAGTTATATATATATAGTATAGTTATATATATATATATATATATATAATTTACATCTGATGGTCGCGTCTTCGTCGACGCATGGGTCTTTAATATATTATATATATATAGCATTTTGTCTACCACCCAGGTGGTTTGGTATTGTTAAGGGTTCATAGCGTCTTATGGTATATTCTTTTTCTTCATTCTTATATTGTAACCACAGCGAATTCAAGTTGAGGGTCTATTAGCACTTAATTTTATTTTTAGCACAATTTTGCGTTTCAGATCAAAATATTAATATTTAAATCTTTTAGAAAAAATGTGACCTCACTCCTTTTAATCTAATAATGATATAATATAGCGCTTATATCGACCTTCTTACTACCTATGTTTGTTAATGCCAGGACATCATGAAACCTTATCGATTTTAAAAGACGATTGTCGTCATTTCAGAATTTTTAAAATTTTATTTTTTTAAATGCGAAGGGCATTTAAAAAATTATAATTATTATTGTATGGACGGCCATTGAACGTATTTTCTTGTGTTTGTAATAAGATATTATATTTGTAAATAATAGTTTGTGTATATTACGATGGTTTATATTGTATCTATATTATTGTTAGATTTATCTAATCAGCTTTATAAAAAGCATATAGTTCAATGTTTATGTTTAATGGAAACTAAATGTGTAATAATATGAATATTGTAACTATTCCATTTCTTTATTTATATAGTTTTAAATAATTTACTAGGATTTTTAATATATTGAACCTGAAGGCTGAAATCTGATCAGTGTGGAGTACTGAAAGAGTTTATCTAGCTAGTTTTTACAGAGGTAATGACAACTATGTCACTTAGCTTAAGGATCATTTATTTATTTATTAAAACTACTCTTTATTTTGTTCGTCATCCACGTTGCTAGATAACTATGAACGTGGATAAGTATGTAATCTTTGGCGATTTTTTTATATTGAAGTTTCGGGCTATTGTCCTGTGCAATAGATTTGTAGCAACTGCGACCTGCATAGATATATTATGTTCGCCCTTTTTCTAAGTTCGCTACCTAGACTCGTCAGGGACAAGAATTAAACGATATTCTTAGGAGCGATGGTTTCTAAGAATCCCTTGTTGAAACCTAGATATCAACTTTTTGCATTGCTGCAGTTCATACGTAGGGTCTCAATTTAGTCAATTTTAAGTATATATGTTTATAAATTGATAATAGTTTAATGATGTGTGATTTGCAGCAAACAATCTATTTTGTATAAATTATATAATTCCCTCTTGTATAAATGGATAATTAAAAATAATAAAATTATGTTGGTACCCCATAAAGTTCTTTACGTCATATGAAAATAAAACGGGATAAAAGTACATTTGTTTTATTCTTGTCTAACCAAACACTCCACTCACTTCTTTCTATAATTAATATATATATAATGTGAATTAGTATTTAGTCACAGTGTTAGTATATTAATATTAGGTAAATGTCTAAAAGCATCTTATGCAATTATAGAAAAAACCAGAGAAACTGCATCCTAATAAGAAACGACTTATCTAGGATTGCAATTAATGTATCTGGTCCACAACTGATGAAGATATCGATGAAACAAAAGAAATACAAACATAGATAGAACCTTCTCAGTTTTTAAGTCGGTTAAGAATACATAGGCATTTATTTTTTAGACTTGGCATATAAAATAACAGTGCTTAAAATAAACAATTACTTGCAATAAATATTGTTTGTTTAATTCATTACAATAAAAAGTAAATTAATAATATTTACAAATGATATGCCAAGTATAAAAAAATAAAATAACGGTTCGTTAAATAATACCGTAATAGCGACACCTAGCGGCAACTACCTAAACTATTCAGATATATTCAGTTTTAGCCTGCGAATTCTGCCTTCGATGGCTGTTAACATGTGATAAATAGAATTGAGCTGGTTCTTATCGCGACCTCCAGTGAGACTGGTTAGGCTCGGTGTTAAAGCACAACATGACAATGGTCGGTAAAGTCTTCTTCCATGCGTCTGACAGGCGAGCTCTTCTCTACCGCTGGGTTTCATTGTGCATGCTTCTGTGTAAGATATGTTCGGGAACGTTGAGATTTGGTACAGGTATTGGTCGTTAGGTAGCGCCAGATGTTTTGTCACTGCAATAATTATTATGAAATGAATTTTATTGTAGTCACAGTATATAAAATTAGTTTTAGTATTTCTCGGACAGTGCGGTTTCAGAGGAGCTTTTTCCCGCGTACACTTAGATTGTGGAATGAACTACCTACGGAAGTTTTTCCACGAGACTACAACATGGGGTTTTTCAAGAAGGGTATATTAAGGTTGCTTAAGGATCGGCAACACGCACCTCTGGTGTTTCAGACGTCCATAGGCTACGATAACCATTTACCATCAGATGGGATGTATGCTTGTTTGCCACCATTAGTATAATATTATTTCTGCTTCCTACTTCATTAGCAGTAGTAGTAGCAAGATCGTCCTACTTCATTTAGTAGCAAGATACAGTTTCTAATAAGTTTAGATCGGATTGAACGTACAAGTGAAGTGCTAGTAGAGCAGCTTGACTGTCCGAATAAATGTATATGTGTACCATTCCATTATCATCCATTAAAAATATATATATCACCCTTCAACCAAGACTCCTTATAAACCAATTTGGTTGATGACTTCAATCGACGAAATTCATAGGTCGCCTATCTCGCACACAGACCTTTGTACAAAATCTATTTCTTAAGAGTACGTATCTAAACCATTTATCGATTATTACGTACCATTTTTCTTTACTTTATCGAAGTGTTTTGCAAATAAATTACTGAAATATCGACACGAATCAATCAAGTGTTGTGTCCCGCAATCTTCACTTGAATCTAAGGAAGCAATATTTATTATTAGAAAACAGTTATTAATTTAAATCAGATTTTAGGTAGAATAAATTTGTTGGTGCTCAAATATAAAATTTTTGATTCAGCCAGGCTGATACTTATCTGTCAAATAAACTCGACGTATATATTTTGTTAAGTCGCGTATTAGGTACATGTGGCTACATTAAATACACGAGCCATTGAAATACATGAACATATACTAATATTATAAAAAAATAAAGTTCGCGAAGGTCAGCTGATTTTATATATAAGTAATGCCTCGTTGACCCACGCGACCACATCACATTTTTACCGTTTTTGTTATTTTAATTTTTTTTATATTTTTTATATTTTATAGTAAATATAATATAAATCAACAATCTGTTTCAAAATACAGACTTCGCAAATCCACAGAGTACGTTATAAACATCCACTATAAATGTTATAATTGAATAAGACCATTATCCTATAGTTTCCCAAACATTGATGTTGGCAAATGCACCATAGTGCCAAGCAATTAAAAAAAAAAATTAGACCACACACTATATATGTATTACAAATATATTGGTCGTTTAGTTGGTACCGTAGGCTGTTATCACTAAGTTCCCCAGCTTTATGAAATCCGGCTCAGCAACACAACGAGTGGTATAAATATAAAACTGATCATAAAATGAATGCACGGATCAAACGACATGCCAGAAATATAGTAAAGTAGGCCTCTTATTTATTTTACTACATCTTATTAAAGTTGATTCACATTCGTCCAATCAGATATGAGTTCGGTATTGATGACCGGGAAACGGTTGTTATGCCATATAAATTAATAATAATAATAACCCTCACACAATCCACACAGCGCCTCATCTAGTCCCAAGCTAAGCAGAGCTAGATATAAATACTTAAATACATTTTTGTAAATACCTAATGAATTTAAATAACAGGGCGACCACTACAATCGATCACATTCAAGAATACAAATGTTTGCACCATGCAAGGAATCGAAAGGTCCAAGAAAGGCGATGTGCAAAGACCACCGAGGCCGTTAAATTTTTTTTAGATATATCGCTATCATAAAAATAGCTCAATAGACCTATTGACCTATACACGGTCAAGCCGTTTCGAAGGATAACAAATACTGTGACACAAGGCTTTTCTTTATTGGAAGATGTATATATGTATGTACACGCATTTACATATAGTGTTATATAAATGATACAACTCGATACTAACTACTTGATAGGCAGTGGATTAATTGTTGTCATGTGATATGTGAGGCATGCCAACCTCGAATCAAAACAAAGCAATGTCCTCGTGCGAATAATTTTGGCTCTCTAACCTAATTACATCATAGTGCAATATTTCGACCAATGTCCGTAGGTACAAATCTCTTACAAACTTGAATGAAGATCGCTATGGTTGTTTTACACAAAATAGGTATAGAGTCAAATACATTTTGGAGTCTTTAAAGCAATCCATAAGATTGGTAATGAATATATTTTCTATGAAAAGAATGCATGCTTCTATGGATAACTGTCCTCAACTTCTGAAGGACTGTGTTGCAATGCAGATGATTTGGAATAAGCTTTAATTTTGAATATTTAAACTAACGTACATTACAGTAATAAATAACATGTCTTTGGTAATAATGTTTATGGCAAGACTAGATACAATGGTACTTTTTCATATTATGCAAAATACCTATTTTATCAGGAAATCGAATGGTTCCCCACAGGATATTCAACAACTTTCAAACTTTGTCTGTACCACGCAGCTGTGTTTGATGTATCGGAAATAACAAATTGAACAACATTATTTACCTTTGTCATACATTTGTGGTGGCAGAGTCCCATGATAGTTGTTGACGCAGGTTTGAGTAACTTCTGTCAATGCTGTAAATAAGAAAAAGAAAAAATATAAAGTTATCTTTGAGCCTAGACACCTCGTTTAAAGTACAGGCACTAGACTTGTATAGTTAAATACTTTAAGCAATAAATAATTCTAAATTTAAACTAGTTTATTGCTAGATTCATATAATGACGACAACGAACAGATACCATAAGCAAAACCGCGACGACCTCTCTATCAAGAGTGAATGACTGAAGAAATAGACCAAATAAGCTGAAAGACGTTGAAACAAAGTAGCAACAGATGCCTATATATATAAATATAAACAGACCATATAGGCATATTGTCTTATGTTCTTGTATTTCTCAAGCGTTCCCGTCGCTGGGCCAAAGTATTATGCTTCTGAACCCTGTAATGTCTCTGCTAAATCCTTTTAAGCACAAATACATATTACAACATATACAGCAGACTATGTACAAATTAACCTCATTAACCTGAGTACCTAAATTTAATACTGAACTGGATGACGTCAGTACCGTACGGGCCGCAACCTTCTAATTTTCAGTAGACTCAGTTCCTTAGAATTCTAGTTTCAATTTATGAAATTGACTGCGGAGTTTAGTACTTAAATTTATGGTGATAGGAGTCCTATAAAAGTTATCCTTTACACTATCTATATCCGGTACAACAAACCTTGAGACTTCCGATGATGGTTATGTGAACGGTGCATAGACAAATCCAGGCCGCACCACGACGTCAATATGGCTGCGGAACGCACCGCTAAGGCACGAATCATCGCTGCTTCCTTCTCTAGATACATATATTATAACATTTTATAACTGGAATATTAAACACGCCCAATGATGGCAAACGGTAAGCAGCAATAGTCGCCTATATACATGAATAACATTACGGCCATCACATTATCATGTGACATAGATATATGTAGAATCTATATAAATAAACATTGTAAATAATCTGGCTTTAAAAAAAAGAAAAGAATAACAAGCGAGTTTCTTGAAAATTCTTCTCAATTGAATCTGTATACTGAACTGGACGGTAGAGAAAATATTATAATATATGAAATTTGATGTTCATAAGCGGCTAAAATGTCCTACATGAAATCGCCTACAACATACGGAATTAAGTATATCACAATTTAAATGTACTTTCCATTACCATAATCGATATAATTTAGTAATTACAAACCATTGTCATAACGCGAGAGGCTCTGTATCGCAGAATCTAGTCTTTTTTCATGAACCAAGCAACGTGGATGGTCGTAGATGAATATACAATCTATAAGGAAAAGAAGAAATAAATACTGAACGCGAAATAATATTATTATAATAAATTAAAAGAAGATGAAATCCTAACCAATGGAGCCATGATTATCCGCATGGATGTGGCAACAAGACTTCGGAGACGGTAGCAAACATCTTGATGTTAAAACACTAGCAGATTTCTGATAGTTCATTCTTGACTCCGTTGCTGAAACAACATATTTTACACAAACAAGCACAAACATTACACTACATCAAATTTAAACCATTGAGGTATTATTGTATGCTAATATACTAGAGCTATGTCAAAATAATTGTGGTGATATCACCTTAATTCAGCGTCATTTTAGTACCATTTTTTGAAATATTTAAGAAAAGGTTATTTATTATTCTTCGATATCGGTATAGTTAGATATTGATACTTTCATATATGTGATATACTGATACTTTCATAGATACGGGGCAAAATAATTCAAAATATGTAAGGGAATAACATTTTATCTTGTTCACTGCAAATTGAGCACAATATTTGCGTTTTCTCTAATAGATTTTCTAGTAGATATAATACCTCAATGGTCGAACCACGGCAACATGTAAAGTTCCTACCTATTTCATTTTTCTCGAGTTACTAATGTCTATTGTGACGGCACATCTAGTTTTACGACTATCCAACTTTAAAGTGATACTGAATTTGGAGCCGTGATTTTGTAACTTTGATGCACAGGATGGAGCTAGAGAAGAAACATCCAAATATGTAGTTGGTAAATAGTGAATGAAAAAATAAATAATATGATCCGAATGCCTTTTAATAAGAATAAGAAGCCATATAGCCTGTTCATGAGAAGAAAGAAAGAAAAGAAAAAATGCACATGTAGCCATGTGTTGCCGGTCTTTTAGGGAGGAAAATCCTCATTTCTTAAAGTTTTCATTATCATATCAGAAATGTACTGAGGTGTATGTACTTCGACACATGCACCAAAATGTTGTGTTAAAATGTTACTTGTAATGGACATTTGTCAAAATTGCTAGAACAAATCATTTCATCTATATCCATACCTGCATGACGAATATCAGGACATGTTTGAAGCATAGATTCTTTTACATTTCTAAACGATTTGTCATCTGAAATATAATCGATTCTTATCAATGCTGAATCAGTTTTTATCATTTCATTATTTCTATTATAAAAATTGTTATAATACCTGATGTTACTTTGTCGACCATAACAGACGTTTGCTTTGTAACTATGTCTTCAGTTTTCTCATAAACTTTTGCTGGTAATACGTCAGCTAGACTATCAGTTGATAGTGCAAATGGCAAAGGTGGTGAGGTATCTATTAAAAAAGTATATAATAATAATATCCCATAGATAATACACACAACGCCATCTGAAGGTAACCAGAGCTTGTGTCATGGGTACTAGACAACTGATTGTAATGTTTATATATTTAAGATTTTTTGTAATACATACATAATATATCTAGAAAACACCAAGACAGATATAAACAAGCATACTCATGAATACCAATTTTTGTACCGCGGTATCAAACCCGTGACCTCCAGAACGTGCTCTGTCCTTGGTGTATTTAGATTATAGCTATACTTTCTATCGCATGAACATTTAAGTAGTCTAAGATCTTTTATTATTTCTAGCAATATAAGAATAAAAGTTTAATAAAAATAAAAAAAAGTATAATATATACCTGGTTTTGGTATAAATCTTTTGCTTGATTTCAAAGTATCAGTCTTTAGTGATCTTTTCGTAGACTTGGATTTGGTGGAATTATTACTAGATAACAAGTTATGTTTTAGAGTTTTTAATATAGACTGTTCATTATAGAGCAGTGATTGATAGTCTGCGAAAGATACAATAAGTTTCTTAAGTAATAACGTTTGAGTTTTGGTCAGTTTCGTAAATAAACATTACTCAGTGCCGTTAGAGTTTGAAAGCTCATAACACGGTAAATACTCTAGAAATATATTTACAGGATATATTTCAAACGTCAACTGTGAAATATAGCTTCTAGATATTGTCTCATACGTTCAGAAATTGGTGCGAATTTATTTTCTATCAGACGAGGACGCGTTCAGATCTTGGATTATAAATGTAACTACGTGAAAAATATGTATAGAACCCTAAATTATTTGATTTAAATCTTTAATCTGTCGTCCAAGATGACTAGTGTATTATTTTTAGTGAGCATTAAACGACTTTTGGTATGGTTAATCACTTGATTTGATATTTGTACATCAGCTTAAGTTTTCAACTATGTCAAGCATGATATTATAATATAGACTATGTTGAGTTGTAGATAGAGAGACTAAGACCAGTTAGTAATAACTAACTTAAGAATGTAGTCGTGAATAGGGTCTCAAATAAAAACATAAATGAAATCCAATTTTATATTATCTAGTCGTACAATTGCGCAAGAAGATTTTTAGGATTAACATAAAGTTAGGCGCTTCTGTTTATTGTAGCTTCAGATTTATCTTTGTATTCAAAGTTTTCAAAGACGTTATCTATAGGCAATAATCTTTTTAATTGGAAATATCGTCTTATTGTTAACTTATAATACGAAATAAAGCTTTAGATTTAATTAAGTTAAATAGAAAGAGTCCTTAAATTCATTAGTAAGAAAAAATAGTAATTTCCGTAAATACTCGTATAAAACGAATTTCAATAATGTAGTAACAAATACAAAAAAGGTATACTGTGATGTCATGTTATACCATATTATGTCAGGGCATCAACTTTTTCTGCTCTACCCACTGTTTGGAAATAAGGAAAATTCTACAATTTCTCAAATTACTACTAACAGTAAGTATCATCTTATAAATATAAATTATAGTTCCATAAACATAAATTTTAGCATGTAAGTTTCCTAGGTCCCTTTGCCATCAATTAGGAAAGTTTTTAAAAAATAAACCACGGTAATGGTAAACACTGGGTGACATATAGATAAAACTTATTGAAACAATACCTTTATCGTCATTAGCCGTACATCTTCTAATCCATTTCTCAGCGTTAAGGTCGCTGGAAAGAACAGTATTGCTCAATGCCGGTCCGTCCATGTCGGTACTAGATTTGGTAGTGCCTGTCATATGTGACAATGAAATAAGATGACCACCATGAGTTTGACCTGAAAATAAGTCATTAATTAATATATATGTGAGAACAAGATTTGAAATCGATCTTCAGACTAGTTGGTATGGGAGATGAAGGATGTTTGAATATTTCAAAAGAGAGTGTTTTCTTACTATCATATCAAGCTTCCGTATTGCTAGAAAGTATAAATGAATGTGTTACATTATTTATTATAACAGTGTAAACGACTTATCAGTTTAAAGTCAATCGATTTATGGACAAATAATACGAGTTCATAATCGACAGATTAAGACAAATTAAATATTATTTGCCGAAGGAGTTTAGAAATCGAATAATACTGAATAATTTCAAACTGAGGCTTCCTTTCTGTATCTACCTAAGAAAAATATTAATCTATACCACTCTGACTTAGAGGAATGCGTTTTATATAGAGTTTTCTTTTAGAGTGACATTATGTTTGACAATTATAACTTCTACATAGAAATGAAAAGGAGTAATGACATGTTATGCTCTAGATTATAATATTTTAAAAGAAATAAAGTGGAATACAGATTAATAAACCAGTGCGAAATTGCTTTTGTATAATCCGAGAATTGAGAAGTCTGTGATAATCTGTTACTCAGGACCGTGTCTACATTTTTTGATACAACAGATGACATATGTTCGTACTCGGTATAGAATCTTCATGTCAAATTTCATACGGATATATTTCAGTCATTTAAGTCGTGAAAGTAAAATGTCAGACTGGTATGGATTATACAAATACAAAAAAGAGATTAACCGTGACCTATTTGAATATTATCCACAAATATCAAAGGGTTATTTTGTCTAGAGTCCGCGCGATTAAAGTTACGAGCTGCCTTTATTTATTGATAGATGTGTTTTGGTCATGCTGGCATTTTGCCATACTTGAAAGTAGCTTTCAATATTTGTTATGATGTTCGGTTTGTTGAATTACTTCATATATCATGTCTTTTATGAATGCGTTCAGAACGAAAGGGTTTAAAATCTAATAGCTTTTCCTTCATTTTCAAGATAATTTCTTTCATTTTCTACCCATTCAATTGCTGCAAAGCTTTCATTCATTAATAGGGGTCTGCACTGTTGTATGAGAAAGCAATTAGGACTAACTTTTCAATATAACTTACTGGTAAAATTCTCCGTCTTTGATGGCTTACTTTTCTTTGAGGGACAGGTGGTCAATATATCTTTTACAGGGGTTGGTTTACATTGCATCATTTCAGTGGAATACTTTATATTGAGATCTATAATAAAAGAAAAATATAAACAGCATATATAAATTAGGTGTTTATGATCACTTGCAAATTTATTGTTTTATTCCCAAAATATTTAAGTGTGTTTCGAACTAACATGTTGAGATTTGCAGAAAAACTGTGCTATGCTATTAGTTAGGTAGATATTATATTGTGCATTTCTGTCATATTCGATAATGTATTTTAGATTGAAGTTTAGTATGATATTATTACTAATATAATACAGTAATGGTATTACAGCAATACTACTACTACTATCATTATCTACAAATGAAACTATTATTCTTCGGAAGTACAACCGGAATAGGTTGTAATGTTTTTCGTCCATTCAATTTACATTAATATTATTCATTACATGAGTATAATGAGCTTCAGAATGTTTTAAAGTGGATAAAGTTTAAATGTAAATAATTAGGTATGGGCGCCGCTGTAATTTAACTTTAGCGTTGTACAACCATTATTGTTACAGATTTTATTAGACACGTTCGTCATAAAAATTCTAAAATATGTTTATTACAAAGTTTGTTTCAGATAATTGGGTTATTTTTTATTTCTTAGCCGTTTTAAGTACATTTTATGTATAAATAATACATTATAATATAGTAGCGAAAATAGATGTTATGATCAATTAAAATTAGCACATACAAGCCGTCGTACTGTAATAGTAGCTACACTAATATAGATCTGTTTGTTAAGCCCGCTCATATAATTCAGAATATTAATTAGAAATTATTAAAAATAATTTACTTTAATAATTTACTTTACGGATATTGATAGAGTTTTTCGTTGAACAAATATCAATATGCGGAACTTACTCGATAAATAATATGATTGTGTATTGGTTTCGATGTCGTGACCAACTCGAGCACATCCACAAGAGACAACTTGATCTGGGGAAGTGTAAATCGTTTATGAATCATTAATAATAAATTTAAGAGTATTACGGTCCAGGAATTTACCACTGTTTACCATTCGAATCGTAAAACATACGCAAAAGTAAACCTAGTCGACACAATAATCAACTTTCGTAGTCACATCGTTGTGTGTGTGTGCTCAACTCTCCAATGATCGAATACCGATATCCAGCCAAATTACTTCTTGGGAATGCAGGTTCGCCATTTTGCTGTATAATCTTATGTTCACCACTCGATAATTGACAGGGGCATCTCTGAATACCCCATTCGGGATAAAAATGGTAAAGATATATTAATTATTATTAATTGTTTACAATATTTTTTTTCTTTATCCTAACTGATATAGTAACGAAGAGCTACGACTGAGGCTAGCGAAATTTTGGATACAGGATTCCATGATGAAGTAAGAAGTATCTATAGAAAGGATTCTAGAAATTTCCATGCTAATTTTAATTAAATATATCTTATTAATATGCATCATCATCAATTATTACTTAATATTATCATCGCGAAAGTTTGTAAGTACTTTTTCACGCAAAAACTACTGAACGGATATTGATGACACTTTACAGTAACATAGCTTATACATCAGAATAACACATAGGCTATATTTTTTATTGAAATTTGACGTGAGTGAACTGCGCGGACACAGCTAGTATTTTAAAATGAGGGATTGGAAATAACATTTTCTTATACATAGAGCAAACTAGATTACAGAACTTAGTAATTTATATTATTCTGAAAAGCAATGGTGTTTACATAATGTATAAAAAAATATGTTGAAAATGAATGTAATTATACTTTTGTATTGTTGGTCGACGATTGTCTGCATAGAAGTCAACATACAGGTAGACTTTACATCTCTACGCGTTTGTATTTCAACTGACTTGCTTTCTAGAAATATTTATTTTTCTATGAATTTCTAATTTAATAATAATAATAATCATCTCAGCACAATACACATAGTCATCTAGACCCAAGTTAAGCTAGCTTCTGTTATGGGTACTAGATAACTGTATACATATTATACATAGAAAATACCCAGACCGTCAAAAACAATTTATGAATATAAATGTTTGTGCCGTGCAAGGAATCCAACCAGCGATCATCGGAAGTAAGGCGGTGTGTTACTACTAGACCACTGTCGCCGTCAAGTAAAATAGAAAAATGCAATAAATGACCGTTGCATTTTTGTATTTTATTTCATTTTTACTTCAGAGTAAAAACATAACGGGAGAAAATTAACAAAAGGAAGATTACGTACAATAAAAGTCATTCAAAAACCTCATATGCATCTCTAAACACATCTGTGTTTGCCAAGAATTTTACTCATTTGAATAAAATTGTTTCAAATGTTAAGAAATACATTTTTCTTAGAGATTAATGTAGAATGAGATGTAACTTATCAAAATAAAATATTTTGTCGTATCTATGACTATTTACTTATATCAACAAAATAGACAAATAAAATCATGTAGGTAATAGTGCACCCGCCTGCGCTAACGGGGCACCTAATCAGTCGTGGAAAATTCACCAGGAATTATCATGATGGTTTCCAGGTGGAACTGCGTAGACGTCAATCTGACATGGTCCGTTGCCAGCAATGGGGTTTTTACTCCAGATTACTAATAATTCCTTTAATAATTCCCTCACTTTATTAGCATTAAGTACGTCTATTGTACAATATTTCAATAATTATTAATAAAGTCCAAATAAATATAGCTAATACAGAAACTACTGCTACCGGCTAAAAATTCTCTCGATAAAATGTATCTCTGTTTTGTTACATGTCATCGTAAACAGCAAACGATTTTTAGTTTGCTGTTTCCCCCGTATTCAAATTACACAGTACATTCTCCATGTGAAATGTATCGTGAATGTATGGAGCCATGCACAGTAAGCGATGCAAGCAGCGTCGCCGGGAGCATTATTTATCAAACCGAATGAAATATAACCCGTACCTGCCTTTCAATTCTTACGCAGCATTAAACACAATTGCAAACAATTTCAATATATGCAGAAAGTTAGAAGTAGTTGGCATGAGTTCGTCTATATTAAAAAGTTGGCTGTTTATGAACGCAACTATTCTGAGATATACTGTTTTAAATTTGACGTGGTCATTATTTATTCGTGTAATTAGTAAATCACGGGATCTTGCCACGTTTTATTCCTATTGAGTTCGAGATATTTATGCAGTGTTTTAACCGCCATTTTCACAGGTAACCTAAGAGCAGTTCAATAATCATACGTATAAACTATTCTGAAACTTTGTAATTTATGAAAGACAACATGAGATCATTTTTTTTAACGATTCCAGTGCTGTTGGCCGCTGCTGGGTTTTACAGCTACACTGAACGATAGAGGGCGAGTAGATAGGCATAGGAGGTAGGTAGATGCTACTCCAAATCCGCGAAAGGTCTTATGGACCAATTATTAGTTTTTGGGTACCGCTTGGGATTCGAACCTCGGCTGTGGCCATTTGAATTATGTGTGTGGGAAGGGGTCCTCCGATAGGGAGGAGAAAAAGCAAATAAAATAAATGAATTTCAATCAATACTTAAAGTAAAGAAAAAGTACTTTAGTTTTTTACTCAAGTTCTAGTAACTTTATAAATTAATGTGTCATAATGTATTGGTATTTGATTGGGACGACGACATATGTATAAAATTGAGGACTAGCTCAGGAATGGATAGTTAAAGATAAACATGAAAATACTAAAAATCTCGTGATTTTCGCAATTTCTTAAAGTTACATGATAATCCTGGCTGTATTTAGGTTACATATTAACAGTATTAAAATTTAAAAAAACTTAACACGTCTGAATCATTCATTTTATATTTGTTTGGACAATATCCGGATATTCACAATGTTAGACATCCGGCGAGAATATTGATAAACGGATAAAAAAGTGAGATATTGGCTACGGAAATGTAGATGAATAGCTGTTATTAATCACTATGATACATTTCTTTAAGATCGTTTTTGTAACGGTTGCAATCGTGCTCCATATCTCTATTTTTTATATTCAATTTTTATAAATCCATATGTAAAGTTACCATTTTTACAATATATTTTTAGAGAAAATATATATTGTTTTATTAATTTAGAGACTTCCAATCGAATCGAATTTGAAAAGAGACAACATTAATAATCGTTGACAGAGATGTCTATCTGTTGATGTTTACCTCATTAAGGAACTAATACGAAAGATATTTAGATTTTTAAATAATTTGACCTTTATACTCAATTACCCTTTAAGTAATTTAATTAATTGAAATATGGTATACATTAAAATTGTACGCAGATTAACTCATACTTTTATACCCTGCATGCTTTTTCGGCTCACAACCGTGGGAAACTAGTAGGTAATGAATGAAGAGCGAAATTATTTACTAGAGGAATCCTAGAATTTCTAATACAGATATTGCAATATACACAGATGAATAATTCAAAGGTACTTTACTTCGTGCCAATTTTATTATAAATTCAAATTTGTTAAAAGTTAGCGAGAAAAGCTCCGCATGAGTGATCGTTAGTAGATATTCAAGAGAGAGAACGAGTTGTGTTATTCGGTCGAAATATTAGGAAGTAAACTTGAAGTGGGTACAGACGCTTCAATACGAGCCCTCCAATTTGGGCCAAAATTTCTGTTATTTCAAAATTATTGTCTACATATTTCAGAATATATTTAAAGAGTAATTCAGTAAAAAAACGATACTTTAATTGATTCATTATAATTATATCGAACCTACAATAATACCTACAGTAAAGATGTGGTACAAAGGCCTATGCTTCTGAATCTCTTTCACCCATTTCAGTCAGCCGCAAATCAACTTTTTTTAACCATTGTTTTGGTTAGCGAGTGAAATATGGTAGTGTTATGTTAGTATTTTGGAATGGCAACGCGTGGGGGTACTACGGCCTTCACATGACGAGGTGAATCCGAGGCGCTCGAATCTTTATGTAAGTTTCTTTACGTTTACTTTCGTTGAAAGTAAAAGTAGTAAGGACTGTTTAATTTTATTTATATGTTACTCACTGACCCGTATAACTTCGGATAAGTCACATTTTACCCGTTTTTAGTATATTTTGAAAAATCATTGCAGCCCTGTTCTTATTAGTGAAGACAACATGTTAGATAGCTCATAGCCTTTCTCGATAAACTTAACTATTCAACACTAAAAGTACTTTCAAAATCGGATCACTAGTACCGGAGATTACTTTAAATATCAAACATAACTTTTTCATAGTATTGCTATAGATACTGTGACCATATAAGTATTGTTTAATATTATTTAGATACTACACCGTGTCGTAACTGAAATAGCTTACTATACACTTGATTTATAGCTTAATTATATGTAGCTGATTCCAATTCCACGTTCTAAATATGGGTCGGATAGTGGTCACAGTAATTTATATACGAGTTTCAAACTACAATAACCCTAACAATTATGCCGTACAATAGTGTTACGGTTCGTTATAGTTATTACTACGGAGTGGAATAAACACTACGTTTAAAGAGGTGGTGAGTGGCACTGCCCTTACGAGAATGAAACCTAAATAGAATATATGTGAAATGTGTTCAGTGACACGAGACTCTTTATGAGGGTTTTTTATGGATGATTGTGGAATGATGCATCCGTCTGCTCTAACTTTGTACGCTGTGCTGGAGGAGCATCCTACACCAGTGGAGGATGATAAGATGAGTAAGAGAGAGTAAAAATAATGTACACAACCTACTGCATACAAATGGTTTTATAACTATAGAGCACAATCAATCAATACAAAATAAATTAGTAGAAAATATGCAAAATAAACAAAAAGAATATATGCGCTGTTTCATACAAAAAGGCGCGGCCCGGCTTTATGAAGACGTTAATTAACAGTGAATTGTTTGCAAAAACGTGTAAATAAAAAGGTAGCACACTTTCACACGCAAAATTTGCTTTAATAAATGAATTTCAGAAATGAAATGTTTCATACATGAAAACGTAACAATTTATCTAATACACCTATAGCTGGAAAATATACAATACTTAAAAAACTTGGATAGCATCGAACAAAAATTGTTACGACGTCCGCCTCACTTAAAAACTTATTTTGTTAAAAATTGTTATACAGTTTCATTCCAAAAATATTTTGGTCTAAGTAATGTTCGTCAGGTTTATACTGACCTATTTCGCAATGTGGCGGTGCTAACTGTTCTGTAGTCTCGCTAATAGACTGGTCGCTCAACATTTGGCTTGATATGACCCAACTACGGCCAATATGGTTGGGCCGACGTATGTTCTCATCTGTGAATCATATTATAGCGAATGAAAATTTTTGTTCACTTTCCAGATATTCTCTTTCTCACCTACTACGTCTGATAATCTATATGGAAAGCAAGTTATGTCCGGTTGTAGATTAGTTAGTAATCTTACAACTATAATAATATTATAAACGCAAAGTTTGTTACCCTTTCACACAAAAAAACTACTCATATTTTTATGAAACATTACAGTAATATAGCTTATACATCAGATAACACATTGGCTATAAATTTCACGCAGGAGAACCCGCGGACACTGTTAGTTTTAAATAGTATAAAATTGAAGATTGTATCTTTTTTAGCTTCAATTGAAAAAAGAGTAGATATGAATCTACTATTTTTTATTCCCATTTGAAAGTGATATTAAATAAAAGCGATGTCATAATAATATTATAAACGCGAAAGTTTTTAACTATGGATGTTTGTTACTCTTTCACGCAAAAACTGCTGAATGAATTTTGATGAAACTTTACAATAATATAGCTTATACGTCAGAATAACACATAGGCTATATTTTTTATTGAAATTTAATGCGAGTAAAACTGCACAGCAAATTACACCGATACAGATAAAACAGCTAGTTATTAAATAAAATTAGTATAGCAAGCAACATAGTACATTTTTTTATCTGTTTTATATCAACAATTGTGTCGTAATGTTTAACCAAAAAAATATTACGATATTCATTCAGTACTCATTTCTTTGTATAAGACATACATATATCAATCTTACGATATGTTTTAAACATAGTGTAGGTAATATCTTATAAATATATTTTTTTCTAGTATAATATAAAGTTACATATATATATATCCTTCTTATGTAGTTGCAGACCAACCTGTAAATTGCTTGTAACAGCTATATTGAACGCCAGCATCTATTTTTGATCTCTTTGTGAGAGAACATCGTGTGGGCGTGTTGGATGTAGATAATCCAATAGATTTCTTTTGGGGTATATTTGTGCTTATTGTCGCCGACATAGACTTGTTACATGATTCTGAAAATAGGAATTTTAGTTAAAAAAAAAAAACAGGTCGGAGCTTATCATCATCGGAGCGTAACTCTTTCTGTGAGGTTTTCGTAATATCTTAAGATAAAAATAAATATCGTTCTGCTTTTTTTTTATAATAATATTTTCCAAATAGTTTTATAATAAACTTCTATTCTTAAATTGTAACAAACTCATTTTTTTCATGAAAAGTAGTAGTCATTTTAACATAGACTACCAACTACTACATAGTTATCTCGCTGTGTGTTTACATGCTTATATTCAAGAAATAAAATATTATTTTATTGTCTGTAAAAATGTTGTCTTCATAATATAATTTGATTTAATCAAATTGTTTTTTGGCCAGATTTCTCATGGTCATTTCATCATTGTTTCCAGGGCAAAAGCGTGGAGGTCGACCTAACAAGGTAAGGTATATTGCTAGCAATGGGGTCACTAAGTTCCCGTTAAATGGTATTTTGAATTAATGTTAGACAAAGCGAGTTTTTTTCATTGTATACTCACATAGGTGTCATGTAAGTATGCAATGTAGAAAAACTCGCTTTAAAAAAATCTGTAGTAGGTAAGGAAATAAATATTAATACACAATACTTGACGTCCTTAAGCAGCTAAAATGTCCTATACGAATAAATGGTTTTTGATTTTACTTAAACAATCCCTCCCCTCCCCGATGGTGATATTAACCTACAATAGAATGTTGCTGTTGGTCAGACGTCTTGATATAGTGTTCCGTTTCGAGTTTTCCTTCTCTTGTACATGAGTACATACATATATTGATAGTCGTTAATCTTTATAAACGACGTTCTTTCACACAATCAATTGTCTGAAAACGAAACGCTTCAGAAAACGCAAACACGAAAATGTGAAACAAAAATCGTATTTTTTACTATATATGTATATACATATATATTACTTTTTCGCATTTAAATGTCGAAAACACTAGTTGATAAACTAGTTCAATCTATTTTAGTCAAGTTTTCCAAATCTATGAAATTACAGGATAAGAGGCATGATATGTTATTCTTTTGGAACGGAAACGCATGAATGTAAGGGTCGAGTGCATGGTACTCCAAACCCGCTGAAGGACTTATAAAGCGTCTAAAGGCCAACTCTTACCTGACTTTAGGCTGTGGGTAGCGCTAGGGGTTCGAACCTCGGCTCAGGATGTCGTAATTTCGATCACCGTTTCAATTAGACGGGGAAGCGTACATCATACATAGTTCATTTATATAGGTGGAGGTTACAGCTTACCAACAGGTGGGTTGTCAGTTTGTTGGCATTGCGATTACATATAAAACAAATTTAACAATATTTACCTTCACAAGTAACATAGTCGTCTGACTGCGTTGTCTTATTCAGTAAAGCCACAATATTAGCTGATTTCTGCATTAAAAGAATGGTTGTTGTACCTAAAAAATTGTAATTGATATTGTTATCACTAGTAATAGTTTGACGGCCGCGGTGGTCTAGTGGTTTAGCATACCGCTTTACTTCCGCTGGTCGCGGATTTGATTATTCGCATGGTGCAAACATTTTTTATTCATGATTATGATTGTATCAGTCTGCGTGTTTTGTATGTATATTATATATGTATTTACAAAAAATAAATCTAAGTATTTATCTGAGTTGTCTAGTACCCATAACACAAGCTCTGCTTACCTTGAGACTATATGGCTGATTGTGTTAATTTTCCAGAGTTGTTATTTATTTAGTATTCGTTTAATAGTATTGAGAACAAAGAGTGACACCAAAGCTTAGCCCGCATTTTGCAAGTAAAATTATTGATTATGGGCTAGACTTCGTAGTTAATAGAATCGTTTGTTCAAGTGCCGCTTCTTGGGTCCCTTATCTTACCGAGATAGAGCGTTCCAAAACTTTGGAAGCCATCAGATGCTGTCAGCGGTGAGCATGCCGTAGCGCATGACGTGCACTCCCCAGAGACCCTAGATATTGATTCTCTATTCCTTGTGAATAGTCTACTTTCCGAATGAACGGTAGAAAAAAAATGTATTCTACTAGTTCTATTATATGACTATTTAAAAGTTTTTTTTTATTTAATAAAAATAAAAGAAATTTTTGTTTAATTCTATGTAATTGTAGTTACTATTATTACCTGTTTCAGTAAAAGTTACGGGTTTATATGAGTTTGTGATTGAGGGAGCCTGGGTTAATAAACTTGATGTCTTCGTTGTTTCTGTAAATAATGTAAGATTTGACTAAATCTACGTTTGTACTATAAGTTAAGAATATTAAATCAAATGAAAATAATATTATTCATGCAGGTCTGTTACAGACACTAACAAAAAGGCAACTTTACCATTAACTATGTAGTTTGAAGAACTAGAACAAATAAACGTTCTAACTTTTTAATATGACATTATGTTATGTATTACCTGTTACTCGTGACTTCGTCTACGTGGAATTTAACGTACTTTATTTATAAAAAAATGCAAAAGAAAGTAGCATAAGTTACTCCTTATAACACTAACTATTTCAGAGATCATCAAGAACAGATATAGGCTTAAAATAAATTTGATGTAAGTACCGAATATATTTTCATATGCATTTAGTGATAATCTGTTAATTTGTTATTACAAATAGACACTTTAATTTTAGTTATTTCATAAGATGATTATAGAAAATATAGATTATATTTACTAATAATTATATATAATATATTATAAATTATTAGTGAAAGGTGCGATTTTGTCTAGATCCCATAATCTATTGTTCTAATCTGTATCTGAATTGGTGAAATGTTTTTGTAATGACATAATGATTGTAAAATTATCTAGTATTCCTTCAATAAAAAGATCGGTTAAAAGGAAGGAAGTCAATATACAAAATAATTTCTCTCTTTTATTTGTCGAACAATATTGGCAGCAGTGCAACGTTGTCTCGTATTCTAGCAACATATAATAAATCTACACTAATATTATAAATTAAAAAGTCTGTTTGTTAATCCAGTTTGACGTGTAAACAACCGAACAGTTCTTAACGAAAATTTACTCAAAGGTAGTTTCTACAACGAGGCTACTTTTTATTTCAAAAATAATCTGGAAAGAGCTGAAAATGGTCGTTGAAAGTTAATGTTACGAAGTAGCAGGTAACAGTTAGTTGTGTGCTATAAGCTATGTAATAGTAAAGCAGCTATGTAATAGTTTTGAGATTATAGTCGTAATGGTTTGTCTGTCTGCGCGCGCGCGCGTGGGTGTGTGTGTGTGTGTGTGTGTAAACTCTTACCGTATACTCCTTCTGTCTGTTTTGTCAGTGTGTCCTTGTTTTGAGCCAAACTTTAAAATAATGTTAGCTTACCAGTATTTTGTTCCACAGTTTTTGGCTTTGATATATTAAAAGGACTTAGCGATTGATCTGTATTCGAGACGATGAAATCATCTAAAACAAATATTAAAATTCATTAAATATTATTAAACATTTAATTTATTAGAGATTCAGATTTTAAAATACATATGATGTAATTCGATTTCATATTTATTTATATCATTTCAATAACGTCTTAACATCGGTTTTTTATACTGATGATCTTTGCGATCGAAAGGTTTCTCTTTCGTATTAGTTCTATATATTTTGTTTATAATCTAGATTGGTTTGATGTTTTTGTTTCCAACCTTGTCAACCTCATTATATCTAACCTACGATATTGTCAACTACATAAGGACCATGAGTAACTTGACACAAACGTGACACAGCTGGAGTCGAATAAAAACGCGTGTTTCAAGACGTTTGTGGCTTGGGTCCCCGCCAACATGCTGACTTCTTCATGAAGGAGGACTACTGACCGAAGGGGGTGTATCGGCGCTACCGTAGCAGATTGCCGTCGTCAGTGCAGTGACCACAAAGACAATTTATATTTACTTATATTATTATTAAATATGTGTATTAGTCTATAAGGTATTTATAATATGGGCTAGTAGTAGCTTTAAATAGATAAATAAAAACACATTCCTATATTATATTGTAGATAAAATTTCTATACAAGTAAAGACGGGGGAAAGTCTTTATTAGTCATTTGTACGTACCAAAAGTAATCACTCTCGATTGATAGTCTTGAAATTGGTCCGGCTTCATACATGATGGGGTTTCACAAGATTTGGTAATGAGAGTTTTGTTACTTGTCATAACCTCTGAAATAAATAAGATAAATAGCATGTTTTTATTTAATTGATGATAATGGGTTGTTGCACCCGTTTGTGCACAATTTACCAAGATGGAAATATAAATATTTAGGTATATACACACATCAATATAAAAAAAAAGTATTTCTGTTGTCTAGAACCTATAACACAAGTGAAAGTACGTCATCTCGTACCCATCTCACTAAACAATTAGTGAGATGGGTACGAGATGATGTTGAGATAATTGTCCAGGATTATTATTATTATATACTCTACTACTACTATATGTCTACCTACGTATAGATATATAGCTTAATTCAATAATAGAAGATTGACGTACCTGTTCCTATTGCATTTTCCTTCGACGTGGCAATAGATACTGGAATCAATTTGGCAGACGATATTGATACAAGTTTTGTATCTGAAAGTTGTCTTAGATTTATATTACATTAAATTTAAATATAGAAGCAAGTGGTTTTATTTTTCTGAATGTTTTACATATTTTTAAGAAACTCTTATTTAAATAATGATATATAGGTATATCTACATTTCACTACGTTATTAAGTATTTTCTTTGTCTTATCTATCTATTATTGGTTTCAGTCAAATAATTATGTGGTTATGGGTAAATAACAGATATATATATATATTCCAATAACCTTTATTTCATATTTCTTAGCTGCAATAAATAATTGATTATATATAAATAATATACCGCAAATTCCGTGAAATACATTATTTCTCAAATTTATGCAAATCCTTTCTTACTACTCGGTTAAATTCTATGTAAAATGTAACATTTGTAGACTTGTAATAATATTCACCTGCATAAGTTAAATTAAATCTTTCCCGCTTGGGTTTGGAGTGACGGTTTCTGATTTCTGTGCGACCTGAATAGTTTGAAACGAAATTAGTTTTCACAGTAAAATTATAGTAAAAACATGAGTACTATATTCATTATGTTATTTGTGGTTAAATTTAAATTAAAATAAAGTTAAAAATAAAGTTAAAAATAAAATTTACATTTACTTAAATTGAAAAAAATATTGATAGCGTCGTAACCTAAGGTTTCTACTCCAACTTGACCTCTTGACCATAGTTAGAAAGTCAACTCTATGCCAACATTATTAAAAGTGGTATTACTATTTATATTTTTGAGTAAATCTCCTGGAACGGAAATATTGATAACAAATCGAAACTAATCCAAGAAAGCCGACTGCCCGACTGGGTTAGAATATGTATACCCTACCTGATTGTATAATATATTATATATATAATATATAATCAGACACCTCATATATGTCTTACTACTTCATCTGTGATAATAACCGTGAATGTACATTATTATTACGTAACATATATTTTTATAGTACCTTCGATATTGGCTGAACTTTCATTTATTGAATTTTGAACAGATACTTTTTGTAACGATACTTTGCACATTTGAGGTAACGTACCAACTGAAACTAATATAAGTAACGTTAAGTTACAATAAAATAACATCGTACAAATAATTAGATATAAAGCAAAATTAATTACAAAATATATATAACCATAGAGAATCTGTCATATCAAAGATAATACAAACATACACCAACACATGAAGAAATTATCAATATCTTATACATACATTTATTCAGACACATATATTGTCTGATTATCTATATCGCATTGAAATTTCGTACTTGTAGTATATGTACTATGTAAGTATATTATATAAGAATTTAATATTAGATCTATATCTATATTTCATTTAGATAAAAGAAATTACTGTTCAATACATCTAAACTGTATGTCAGCAGGAAAAGTTTATAACAGTCTATTTTATTTTCCCGCGCAAAATGAAAAGCGCCACAGATATTAAATAACGCACGCCGCGCAACCACAGTGGCATTATAAGCGGCCAGCTGTATGAAATGTTAATAATATATATCAATATTAATAACTCGAGTTATATCTTATTATGATTTTATTATTTATTATGTACTTTCCCAAAATGTTAACAATTGTTTTTTTATATACATATCATAAAATTGCAGTCAAATTTTTTTTCCATTTAAATTTACTCCCGTGCGTAGCTGATATGGGTCTTTAGTGCCTTTGGTTTAAAAAAGAAAAATTATCCTGTGTACTTGCAAGCATAGATATATTTTGGTTATTTTGTTTCTACCATATATGCAACCCCACCTCAATAAAAACAAAACAACTTTTGTGTGAAACTGTTCAAGTTGTTTTTTTTGTATAGATTCTATTTTGGTTGAATTCTCATAAGGGCTGTGCTAACTTTTGAGAAACAACTTTTTAGTCTAAACTGTTCTGTTATGTGTTGTTTGTCATTACTACAGTTAATAAAACTAAATTTATCTATTAATTTAACCTTAATATAACAAAAGAAAATATTTCCAATGTTCTATAACTAAATTGTTGTTTACACAATTGCTAAATGTCATTTTCATTGACATTAATTATAATACCAAAGGTTGTCGAGGTTATTTTAAATATACTTTGTTCTGTAATGAAATGTTATTAAACTTATTGTATAAATAAAATTATAATCTATCTTTATATATAAATATAATATATTATATTTATATATAAAGATAGGGTCTTTGAGGATGAAGTGTCAATAGTAGTTTGCTAGTCATATTGTAAGATTCCTTAGGAGCAGTAAAATAAAGATATATTAGGTATTATTATAGTTATCTAATTCTTAAGCAGTAATAGTTTTCTAATAATATTTTTCTAATTCTTTATATGCCCTCCCGTTTGACCTAGACATTTCAAAAGTTCGTTCAAGGTAATTGTCGTATACTCATAAAATTAGAAAAAAATGGGAATAACTTGAATGAAAATCTAGTAGTTCAGCTTTAAATAAAATCTGATGAAATAGAAGATAGATAAGATAGGTTCGTTTAATTTTATTTACGCTGACTACAGGAGTCGAGAGTAATTATAAACATAATTTCATGTTTCTGCATAATAAATATTTGTTCAGTTGACTTACCAGTACAATGAGTTTCCATGACTTTATTGGAAAACGTTATTTCATTCATTACATTGTTATTAAATATTTTATTACAACCTGCAAATTCAGGTGATAAATTTATTAATAAAGTACAATATTTCAAGTGAATTATTACTGTAAATATGGTAGCAGGATGAGCAGACGTCACACTTTCAGAACTATCAGGTCACAGTGTGTCAAACTATTTAAAAACCTAATTATTGCACACAATTTTTCACCAAAATCTATCCAGTCGTTCAGGCGGCGTTACAAGACAAACACACGATGGAAGAATTATAAATATTAAGAGAATATTGCGAAATACTACATATAGGGAGGAGGGGGGGAGCGGGTTTGTTAGAAATGTGAACTAATTAAAACCCCATTGCTAGCAATGTACCATTACAGGTTGACCTCTAAGTGATTCCCCCTTGAAACCATCGTGATATATTCATGGTGAATTTGCCACGATCGGCTAACTGACCTGACTGACACCGTAAACCGTTAGCGGAGGGCAGCATTCCATTATCATCCATAAGAATACTACATATAGTAAATTTACCTGTTTTATTGTTATTCACAAGTATCTGTGTATCAGCATCTTGTATTCTATCACGGTTTATCTGATATTTGATTAAATCTGTCATAGTGGTATGGACTATATCACTCTTCCTCATTATGGGAGTCGTTAATATAACAGTATCTTAACAAAATAAAACAGTAGACTATAGATATTATAATTCAAAAATTACTATAGGCTTCAAGGACATGTCATAACCGCAAAATAGGCCTTTAGGATTCTTCTACACCAGAGAACCAGAGGAAATTTAAAATCGGCTTAGACGTAAATCCTACACTAGGTCCTTTGATTATATGAAATGACCTAGTGTAGGGTGTCTCGGATACAATATAAATAATTTAGAGTACATTTTTTTAAGAGTTTGTAGATTCAACTTGTTACCTTTATTTGTGAGTTTTGTTGTCTTTGCATCCGAATTCATACTCAATTCAACTTCAACATGCTCTATGTTATCAATATTACCAGATTTCATCAGTTTATTCGTTCTTTCTATTTTTGTTAGTGGTACAGATTCATTAAGATCGGTAATGTGATTTCTGGTCAGTTTAGATGTTCTCTCTAGAACCTCTATTTCTGATAATTGTACAATATTATTTTCTGGAAGTAAATCATGACCGTTTTTTACGTAATTAGAGCAAACAAGCTGACGGCTCATCTAATATTAAGTGGTTACCGTTGCCTATATGGATATGAATAACATTTCAGACTACGGATATCACGTTATCATGCGATATTCGTGATACCACTCATATATTACTATTCCAGAGGACTATCATACATCTTATCTCGTAATTGTCGGAAATTACGAACGAATTTGTGAACGTTTATATCACTGATACATATCGATGAAAAATTACAAATATTTATAACCCTTTACTTGATTGAGTTGCTTTCACATTACTCTTAGATTCAACTAGTTTTGCGTCTTCATCTTCTTTAATGTGACTTGGATAACTATTATATTTTGGCATCGGTTTATGTGCTTTCTCTATTTTTGGCAGTGGTAAGGATTTTATTTCTTGAAACAAATGTTGTGCGATTAATAATGCCTCAGCTTTGTCAGTGTTATTATATTTGATTAATAAACAAAGAATCGTGTTCCCAAACAAACAGTAAATAAATGCTTAAAGTTATTGAAACATACCTAGAGCTAAGCCCAGTATAGGAGCTAAGCTCATTTGCGTGAAATGTGTGAATAGATTCAATAATGTATTCACACGTTTGATTATTTTCCTAAATATATACTATATTACCAGTTACTTCAGCAACTGTCAAATCTATACTAAATCTACAAAAATAAGTACAGTATAAATGCGACTATTTATGCCTTTACTCAAATAATTACTCCATAAATACTATGTAGTAAGGGTCTATATAAATATCACGGTTATTTTTCTTACATCATCCAAATACTTTAGATAAATGATTCGGATATTACAATTAGGTTTTATTGAATTGGCTCTATAATCGAAGTATCACTTGATTCAGAATTTCTTTGAGCAATTCAGGGTAATATAAAATGTCAAAATTACTGCCATAAAATGCCGTTTTGCAGGAGTGGAATATAAATCTAATTTTACAGCATTGGTATTATATAAAATGGTTCATAGCTATATACCGTATTACAGGTACGCACTTGTTCCAGATCATTAGTAATTAGGTACTTACTCGTGTTATAGAGGAACGGAAATCTAGAAGGCCCTAAATTTATGTGTTTGAAGTGAGTCTTGAAACTACGAGAAGAGGAATCGGTTGTTCCTTAAAATAGAAAAATAAACATAATCGAAACGGTTTTAAAAAATTGATATGGTCTAATAACGAAAATACTGCAGTTTGTTTTCGTTAATTACTAAATTAAAAATATATGTACTTTTATATTAAAGAGACACCTTGTTGGTGGCTTTTAGCAGAGAACAATTTTAAGAATCTAGTGAGATTCAGGAACTTGATGATTTTAAACTGTTTGTTTGTTACATAAAAAATATGTTTCTATTCACTATCATTGAACTAGACAATGATTTTGAAATAATGAAAAATATTTTAAAAATCCTCTAACTTAGGGTTTAATTATCAGTGTTTAATAAAAAATCTGTTTGAGAATTTTCGAAGAAACTGCATAGTTAGGTACTGTCACAAAAAGAAACTTTTGTAAAGCTGCTTAATAAAACCCACACGTACCAACTACAATTGTGGCATCGTATTGTGTGCTCTATTTCATTTTACTGAAGACGATGAATAATATTTTTTGCGTCGCTTTGTGACATTATAATGCTACAATAATATAAATAAAAATCTTGAATTATATAGAATAAATGGTTCTTAAGAATCTAATCTAGCCTCACATATTTTACTCGCTGACCCCGCAAACGTTGTTTTGCCATATAATATAAAATGGCTATTAAAAATTAGGAATTGGTGATAGAAGGGTTAAAATTTAGGAATGTATGTTAAAATACATTAAATGCCTCATATTGTCAAAAAAATGTTAGGAACGCACAACCCTTGTCATTTAGGGATATGAAAAATAGTAGTTGTTTCTCAGACCTAATGAATATACATATAAAATTTCATAAATATCAGTCAAGCCGTTACGAACTAACACTGTGACATGAGAATTTTAGATATAAGATAATATATTATATCTTATTTTAATCAAAATTATTTATAATTAGAACTTGCATTATAATTACCTGAATCAATCTTACTATTACATTGCTCATCATTCGTGGATGTGGTAATTGCCGCCGACTTTTGCTGGACTAAACTCATGTCTGTTCCTTAAAAATAAAACAGTGCCACAACTCACAACCAAGCAGTAAATAGTCAAAGATTTATATTGAGGTCTGTTTTATTACTTCAAAGAGCTTTCAGTGGAAGCTAGCAATATTCTTTAGATATAGAACACAAATTTTTACTAATGCACACTCTCTGATTAAATATGGTCAACTAAAATTGAATAAACGTTAGTTATTTAGACAAAGTACTGGAAAACACCATAACTTATGGTTGAAGTGATTTGTGAGATCTTTTTCGAAGTGTGATTTTTTTATCAAATGAGAGTGAAATAAAAAATTAAAATGATGCGTCGTTGTTCGTTTAAATAATAGTATTTTGTATTAACTTGCAGTATTTTGATAAATATTAAATGTTAATACATATTAAGGAATATTTACTGAGCGAAGCCTATTTATAACTAACTAAATGATTACTTAAATGACATTATTGCAAAGCACTGATAATTGTTCACTGGATTTTTATAATTTAATGTTAGACTAGGTGTCCATTTTTTTATATTTTTGTTTTTAATTAATTTCTAAGCATTATTAACAATAAAAAAAAATCAATTGGATGAGATTGAACTAGACGGTAGGGTAAAATATTAATACAAAATACTTCCCTTATATAAATGACGGTACTAAAATATTCTACATGAATACATTATTTTTGAATTTGAATTACGTAAATAATGTTCATCCATATTAATGGAGCTGTTAATGTGTCATGAAAGGTTTTTCGTGTTGCATATAGCATATAACAAACACTTTCGAGTAAATACCACTCAACCGTGGACTCGATATCCAGTATTCAACCGGACCAACTTAAAACCGATATGCCTCACTGATTAATCCCAAAGGCTGTTTCATGTGCCAATTTATATGGAGCTGACAAATCGATGCCATCTATCGGGTGCCATATTGTTTGTGTATAAAAATAGTGGTGTGAAATTTTATAATCTGTATCTCAAAAACAATAATATTATTATTAAATTGCGAGGTAGACTTTAAAAACTAGTCTACGTGAATATATCAGTATTTTAATGTTTACGTTATACGGTGCATATTAGGGAGTAAAATTTTAGGAGGGAATGATATCCTAATCCTCTGGAATCCCCTGGCAATACATGAATCGTATCGCGGGTTTTACTTTATGACGAGATGACCGCACTGCTGTTCATGTATATTGCTCATGCGACGGTTACTGCGTACAATCAGTTTATTTTTATAAAATCCATCGGCATATGTGCTATATATATTACATAACAAAACTAGATAGCTGACGCGCTAAATTTCGTGTGAATCACATTTTCTGTTTTTGTAACATTTTTAATTACCGTTCCACTCCTATTGGTCCTGCAGTGATTTTAAATAGCATTTAGATAAATGGATGTCGTTTTCGAAGTGTGTCGTATCAACATTTAAAGAGCGTGATGGAGAATCGTAGAAAGTGGCAATAGCTCCAGCGACAAGAGCATGACTCTTAAATTATTATAATTAGACTATCAAATACTAAAACAATTTTCAAAATTGAACCACTTGTAACGCAATCACGAACATCCGAACCTACAATTTTATAATATTAGTATAGATAATACCTATTTCTTCGTACTGCAGTACACTTGTTTGAACATCGACGTCTTCCCATATAATTGAACGTGGCAAAGATCGTCTGATGCGAACTGTATTATTGCAAAAAAATAAAGATGAGATAAAGGGCAGAGACAGAGATTTCAGAAAGAAATTCAAAGTTTTTTCTTGATACAGATAAATATGATAACTAACACTTTTTGAACTTAAACGTTGATCTTGACCAGATGGGCCACCTGATAATGCTCTTCTTCCACATATAGTTCAGACGACGTCGGCAAATGCGACGAAATGCAAGTGTCCTGCGCAGTGTTTCAAACTGTCTTGTTACTGCGTTAAAGAAATAGAGTTACGAGTTTGTAATAGTTATATAACGATTTGTAGAATATATGTAAGAGCATAGCTTCAAAATTACTGTTTTTAAAACTTATTTAACTAATTATTATTTTTGTTATTGCCAGGATTTGAGATTTGTATGAAAGAAAATCTTAGAAAAATTCCGCAGATATAATGTGTTAAAAATATTTATACAAAAATATGCACTTTTATTCATTACATGATCGTACTTAATAGCGAATGTTTGCTTTGATTTTATTCTGTTCACGCAGTATAAAGTTGGGACGATGTTGTTGGGAGGTTTTAAATTAGAATTATATTAATGTCTTACAATTATATCGCTCACTTGGAAATCTTCTATGGAATCTGTATATTTTACATTGATTTCTATTTTTCTCGTAGTAATTAGGACCGTAATTGTATCTTGAGCTACCTAAAATTATAAATATTTTATTTGCAAATATACTTGATTTATATAATACTAATATTGATTTTCTCTCTTCTTTTTTCTCTTCTCTCTCTATATAATACAATTATATTCACACTAATATTATAAATTTATTTTATTATGTACGTATTCACGACTAAACGGTGGAACGAGATTTTTGATTTTTTTTATTTAAATGTATTGGATTATAATAATAATCCAGAATAATTCACTCAACTCTATCTAGTTACAAGTTAAACAGAACTTGTGTACTAGAAAGCTGAAATAAATAGATAATTTGTTTGTATACATACATATTATAAATAGAAAATACAAAGAATCATAATCATAAATACAAGTGTTTGTACCGTGCAAGGAATCGAACCTGCGAACTTTGGAATTAGGCGGTGTGCTGAATAGTTAGGACGCCAAGGCCGTCAATTTATATTAACACAACTAAGACAGATAGCATTAGTATGTTTACCAGTATCTCTAACTAATGTTGCTTCACTGGCTCCAATGCAGTCATTGCAGTAACGGCTGAACCATGATTCAGATTTATTAGTTTCATTAGCTGGTTTAGTAGGTTTTATAAAAGTAAGGCAGCTTTGTGATGAGCATCTGTGTGTGCACCAGTCCAGCGCAGTATCTTCGAGAGTATAGTCGTCAATTTGTTCTAATGTGATGACTGATGAATGATGACTGGAGAAATCACGGATTTCTAAATCAGTTCCAGTTATACTGTTAATTGTGTTTGGTGATTCGCAGCCTAAAAAATATTTATAGCTATAATTTTTATGTCATATAGACTTTCTCTTACTTCTTGGTAGTGGTATTAACTTTTATAATCTGTTTCTAGCATAATATTACAATTACAATTAATATTGTCATTTTTGGGAATATACGATTAAATAGAGATTAAAAGTAGTCTGTATGAGTATCTCAGTCTGATCTATTTTAACGGCAAAGCAGCTCGTATTTTTAACATGTATTTCCGTTGAGGGGCGTGAAAAGAAAATAAAATATAATATCAGGTGGACTGTTAATTGTTGACAGGTACATAAAGAAAAATTAAGCACATAACACAATAAAAATTAAACGACATTCTAGTAGATTCTCTTTACAATTTCTGTAATAGTAATTTAATTGTAATTATTATATTTCACAATCCCTACAACGAAATCTGCAATATGGTAGAAGAATTGCATCACAGTAACGTAGGATGGAACGGGCATTATCATTTTATGATAAAAGTTCATAAATAAAATTAAGCTTAAAAGAAGTATTAGTTATTTAGTAAATTAAAAAATTACCATCAGCTTCAAAGTTTGTAGTCTTCTGTAAGACTTCCGATGGACATACGACATATGAGGGTACAGGTACGTTATTTGTAATATGATTTGTGGAACTTGGATTAATAATTGATGGAAACTGAAAGTTTTTACTTCGATCTGAAAAAAATACACAATCTCTTAATAGTGCCAGACTTTTGCTTTGTTGGATTTCTATATAAATATTTTTTATTTTTGTAGTCAAGCGATATTCTAATTATTTTGTATTTCAATCTAAATGACCAATATTTCTTACATTTTAGGTTACCATCTTAAATTTCGATTGACATTCCAAGGACAGTGTTCTATTTTGAACTTGAGTACTACCATATAAAATTTTATTTGTTATTACATTATGTTACAACATATTTTATCTGCCTGCTAAAATATGTTGCACCATAGAAAGCAACGATCAAAAGATTATCTTTCACCTCGTACTACTCCCAACGCAAGGATACTGTAGTGTGTATTTTACCTGGTACAGCGTCGGTAATAACTTCCTCTACTATATATGCTGGCATAAAAGGATTTGTTGTAGACTTATGACTGCTTTCAGTTGGAGGTTCAGCCAAAATAAGTTTGTTCATAATGACTGTTGGTTTTTCTAGTAAAGATATAAAATAGTAAATATAAAATTGTAGTAAAATATACATTTTTGTACATAGTCCTCTTGGGCACTACCTCTATCTTCTCTGTTTAAGTTGTCAAGCAGCTTGCTAGTCAGAGAAAATGGCAGAGTAATTATATAGTGCGTAAGAATGACACCTTAGTTCTCCGGAATCGTTATTGCATGATATTATCATGCGTTGCGCATTAGCGTAACATAGGTATGTGATGACGTGCTGCCCGTAAAGCTGTATATTAATAATTATATTTATACATATAATTTATGTTCTTGGTACAAATTAATCATAAGGAATTCAATTATATAAGCACAATTGAAGTAATCTTTAATATTTATGGTTTTATTTTATTAAATTAGTGTTTACACTACCAAAACTATTATCTCTTGCTACTTCCGAATCTTCAGTAACATATCTCTTATTTTCTGTTTCATTATTCAATGAATTTTTAATAAATGTTACAGCAATAGAATCATCTGAATATTGGGATTTATGAATCCGAATATTGCTGGGTGGACTTATTGTATGATATCCTGAAATAATATAAAGCAAACAATAGTGTGATAATTCAATGGAAACATTTCAGCTGTAAGGGGTCCCTTACCGGTCCTAAACGTTTCAATTGTAAAAGACTTTCCCAGAACCGATTATGAACGGAACTTCTATTATAGGAGCTTGTTCAGGTATTACAAAGAGAGTTTATAACTTTAAATCTCCGAGAATCTAATTTTAGTTATTTAAAGAGACTTCTTTAAATAACTAAAATCAAAAAAATATTCTGATTGACTAATCAGAATATTTTATTTGTAAAAATAACTCTACATAGATGTGTCTGCATGAAATTTTGACAAACGACAAACGGTTTGTAAAATTTAAATAACCCAAAGAATAAAGGTTATTTATGTTAAGAAGGTAAAATTAAGAAAAATAAATGGTTTCATTTAAAATAGGTGTAGCTTTTTTATTTTATCCCTTAAAACGAATGTGGAATCACATTTGTTTTGTTTCTAAAAAACATTGTGTTATTTTATAGTACGACATAAATTTTGATGTGCAAAAATAGAAGTCTTTATGCATAGCAAAATTCATAATTGATAGGTAGTTTCTAGATAATACCTCTCAGTTAGGATTTATATGACAAACAAAGCCAACCACCCCCAAATACAAATACATTATTTAGTTTGCACCTAGTATCAGTTTGCAGATCCATGTCGTTAAATTACTATATCTGTTTTTGTGAACAAATTAAAGGCATCAAAGGAAGTTTGTGGGAAGCGTTCATAATGCATCTACACGTTTGTGCATAATTTAATGAAAATGAATACATTAGAGGATGTATGAAAGTGGCGCCAGTGTCGGAGAAGTTGAAAGTAATCGTCTGTTATGGTATGGGCATATAATGCGTTGGAATGAAGAAAATATAATAATATTATTGAACATCATTTATATGTAGTTACAAAGCATTTTTTTATTCAAATGTTTTGATACCTTTCATCCCGATTTTGCTACTTTCTATTTTATTTTCTAAGATTATATATAGTCTATATGCGTCATCGTAATATTTTCGTCATAGTATTTAGATTTATATTATTAAGGACTGCTCGGCCGGTAAAATATGTAGGTAACAAATATACAGACAGACAACAGTTTCGCATATATAATAATACTATTATTTATATTTTTATCTCCATTATAAAACTCGTATGGTTTTAAATTAATATGCTTCTTACCTGAATCGTTGTCTTTATTTGATTTTGCTAATTCATCTGTGAGCCATACTGTAACATTCTTTTCTGCGTTTTTAAATACGGTTTCAGAAAAATTATTACTGCTGACCAAATCCGTGAAGTTTTTTGAGTTACGATGCGAGTCGTTTGAAATCTCTACAAAAACGTAGAAGTACATTAGGGAAGTAAGTAAACAGTACCGTTTGATTGATTTAAATCTTATCTCTCTTTAAATTAGAACTCAACATACCTAATTATAATAAAATCTAAATAATTAAATTTAAAACGCTGAAAGATTTTTTAAATTGATTCAGTAGTTGCGGAGATTACGGTCCTCATAACACAAAATCTAAGGGAAGTAAGTAAAAAGTACTGTTTGATTGATTTAAATTTATCTCTCTTTAAATTAGAACTCACCATATTTAATTATAATAAGATCGAAATAATTAACTTTAAAACGCTGAAAGATTTTTTAAATTGATTCAGTAGGTGCGGAGATTACGTTCCTCATAACACAAAATCTACTCTCTCGTTACTTATAAGTAGAGATTTTAACTTTTTTTGTTAACTCACCAGTATTTGTAACACTTTGCTTAGTATTATTAGAAATATTATTTTGTAAGCTGTCTGGGCTAGTGTGCTGAGAAAGGACTGGAGTAGCCAATTCTATAAACCAATCTGAAAGTAAATTGCTAATTATATTTATATTCAATTAGTTGAACACCACAATTCTATTTGCGTCATATATTGATCGTTATATATTCTTGATAACCCATTTGTCGAGAAAGTTCTCGACAAATGGGTTATCAAGGATAAAAAAAAGTAATTTCTGAGAATTTAGTTTCGTCGAATGTGCGAAACATTAAGCAACAAATTCTTTAGTTTTATAATACTCGTAGAGATAAGGGAAATAATAATTAAAAATATATTTCTTAGTTACCCATCCGATTCACAAAAGGTTTTTGCATTATAACGGGATCAAAATTTTGAGAATTTCGATTCCCACCTCCTGTGCTTTCAGCCGCTCCATAACTTATTCCACCGTTTCCTTTTCGTTATAAAGGATAACGAACGACCATTAAAACTGTTTGTTGAATGAATGAACTTACCATATAGTCGCTGTTCATCTGTTATCACGTCGTTTTGCCTATAAATCTCTTGTAATTTAGGTATAGGTCTTGTGGATGCTACCGAAGTAGTTGGTATCTGGTCTTTTGAACTAAAATCTTTAAAGAAATTACTTTTAGTATCTTAGAATATAATTACTAGCTTTTTTGTTTTTCGGAAATAATTGAACTCATAACCTTTAATGCTCTAATATAAACTGCTTTAAATTATTATAAAATGTAAATACGTGTAAGTTAATAAAGCTAATACCTGGACTTATATTCAAAACTTGAACTCTATGAATATTCGGCGTTCCTGTTATGAATAAATTGCTTTTTCCTGCCACAGAGCCACTAGTATTTTTAACAAGTGCTCTACGGCACGGAATATGACTACGTGCTAATTTGTTGGCTGCAGCACCTGGCGAATATTATTTAAATATTTTGTTGACAATGTGATTTTGTGTGTAGTACTAAATATGAATTTATTATAGGAACGCTGTATATACTTTTAAACTGTTATTCCATATATGGCATTCAGGGGCATTGTCAACTCTCGTTGGGGAGAAGAACACTTAACATGCTCACATTTTGCTCAGTATATACAACGGTATGCAGAATTTTCCGGATTAATTTGATTATTTATCATCGTTTCTATCAATGGGTAGTTGTTTTTGAAACATTTTTTGTTCCAAATTTTAACTCACAATCTTTAGCGTCGAAGTCAGCTCAGTCAAGTTCGTCAAGGCTAAGAAACTTTGAAAATATATTTTAGGTTTAAAATAATTTGACTTTGTAATTGCCTTAAAAGTAGGGACTAATCTGTAATTAAAGTCAATTAGATAGGTATGTAGTAGGATAGGTAGGTAGCTATATATAATAGTAAGCAAATTTAATACATTAGAATTTACCTACTCCATAAGGATTTTTGGATGAGAATAGGTAAAGTTTACCTGAATAATCTCGTTGTCCTCGAGAGTTACAAGAACCCTTATTAAAGCGATCTTTAAGTTGTATAGGCTTGATTATTCTGGGTAACTTGCTAACATGATGCCTCTTGTCTTGTATTTTTGGGATAAAGTAAACTATTAATATCAATTACTTTTATATCTAAATACATATAAAGATGCGTTTTTAAATAATTTATGAACAATTCGTAATTATTACCATTTTGTTTATTATCTTTTATTTTATCTTCAAAATTATTATTTATACTCAGATTGTTACCGTTATGTTTCAATGATTCTCTAAGATCAAGTGGATGTGATCGAGACTGCATTACTATTGATGACAATTTCGTAATAAATCGTACTGCATATACATACGTATTTCTTGGTTCAACTAGAAATAACTATGTTGATAATTCAAACTGATTGATTCATATAGGTATTTACGATGTAAAAGAAACATAAAACATTCGTAACGGATGTTTAAAATATTATAAAAGCAAAAATTATTTATTTTTTATTAAAATTGTATAGTTTATTTTATAAAAACATATTACTTAATCTCATTATGACACCAGCTGTCATAGCGTTGAAGTATCAATAATTTTTCTGCTAGTTGAAGTATCAATAATATGTAATCTTCTACTCCTGTATTAATTATATTCTATCGTCAACTTGTACTAGTTTTTCCTTTCTCTCTGCTGCTTTTCTTTCTGCTTCTATTTCTTCCAACTTTTTTATTAAATCTTCTTGAACGCTGTCTACGATTTCTTTTAAATTTTTAGCTGCAATAGAATAGAAACAAAAAATGCTTATTTTAATATTTTTGTTATTACAATACTGTCGAATACACATTTTCTGAAACAGATAAATATAATGATATAAAGTTAAGTATACAATGAATTTATATGTATGGTTTATGTAATTTTATTGTATTTTTCTATTTCTTCTAGTTTTACTGATAACACTATTGTTACATGAAATCATTAGTAATAATACAATTATTACTATTATATTATCAGGTAAGCAAAGATGCGAATATAGCTAGAACTAATTTACCAGTCTTTTGGTTAAATTCTTCCGCTATCAACGATATTTTTCTCAGTGTTCCGACGTGCTTAGTCAATTCAGCGGCGACGTCATGATCCGTTACTGTATTTACAGATGCATCTTCCTTAATTAATTTTCTTTTATTTTCTACTGCCTGTTTTATAATATCACTACTTGCTAAAGGCATTTTAGGCATTTTGAAAGCTGGTCGAGGAATTTCTTCTTCTAGTAGTGGTTCATCTTTTATGCCTAGTTCCGTATGTGGCATCAGTAAAATGTTATTGGGTGCAAATTCTTCTAATGATTCGATTTTCATTGAAAATTCTTTCTCTTCTGGTGATTTTTTAGATACTTTTACAGGTAAAACATTTGTAATACTATTGATAACGGTTTCTGGAAAAACAATAAAATGCTATCTAAAACTAAATATTTTTAATATAAATAAGCCAGATATAGGTTAGATATATAATCTTTTTATTTAATTTATCATATATATAAATATAAATAAATGGAAACTTACGCACGATATCTTTAGTTTCATGTTCTTTTTTCTTTTTACGAGCCAGTTTTCTTGTTAGCTCCGCCAAAAACATTGAACACGTCGGACCTGAAATATTGATATATGCAATATAATTTTAGATATAGAACAATACAGGAGTCTTTACAGGTAGTTTTATAGTTACCATCATTTTTAGGTTTCTTAACAGTCTTTGGTTTTGTTGCAGGCTTTTTACTTTGACTTGTACCTTTATATCGTCTTAGTTTTTCCATTGCTGTACAAATCAAATAAAATGTAATATTAATTTCATCAGCTTCCTTTACTTTTATTATAAGATTAGTAGCTCTATATTTTTATACCGTACAGTAATATTATAAATGCAACAGTATATATTTTTATTACTTTATCATTACTAAACGGCTGATTGAATTTTAAAGAAATTTGAAGTGAAATGAAGACAGGATTTAGATTTTATTATATAATCTTTGATCATTTGATCTCATGACAACTTCTAATATGATTACCGTTATTACTTACTTGATAACTCTGATGGAAGTCCCGCTACAACGGGACTTCCCATCAAAATTATAATAATAATAAAATAAAATATACTGATAATTTAATAATTTTATAACTATGAAATTGACAATCCAATTGCCAAAACAGACATAGTTGATTGTTGTTATTATTTTAAAAGTCGTCCAATTCCGACAAGCAAAGAGCGTGGCCCACACTGCTTATACATTAGTTTTTAACGCTGTGATGGCACGGGCACACTACATGATCAATAAAAGCCATACTTTCCGAAACTTGCCCCTGGCTAATGCATTCGACACTTTGTGCAAATCAGTATTATAGGCAAGGCTTACTTATATTAACCTTATAAGACTATTAGGCTATATTACATATACTTATTTATCTTTTCAATAGTCTTTGATTACTCCAGTATTTATACTCAAAAATTCTAGTTGACAACTAATTAAATTGAAATTGAATTTGAATATAAATTAAATGAACTTAATTAATTTTAAAATTCAAGCAAACTATTTATTTTAAATACTCTTCAATATGGTAATAAATGATGAATAAGTATATCAAAACTTAAATATCAGTCACTGATTTATAGTCGATAAAAATTATCAATAATAGTTGTAAACAACTATGAATATGTTCAAACAATGCAATCTTCGTCATTAGGTCTAAGTGGCATAACAGCCATTTTCATCGGGTAATTTAGAAATATCAACTATATTTCTTAAGACGCTATTAATTTATTGTAAGAAAAAGGCAATCTTTTATATGTAGAAACAAATAAATCCACTAAGCAATGTAAAAATGGACTAGTTTGTCTTTACATTAGACCATACAACCTCCCAAGTATATACATATGCCATTTCTCATGTCTTTCTAATATTAAGTTAGATAATCATATTTCACATTTGTTTACCATTAGAGAATTGGCAAATAATATAATATATTAAGGGAATGGTAACTCGTTATATTAAAACTTCAAGCTATTATATATTGCTTTATTTTTGTGATTTTCATTGTCAAGAAATGTCGTCGATGTCATCTGAAGAAGTTTGTGTAGTGTCTGTAACAAAATAAAAAGCAAATTATTTATGATAAATAATAAACATAACTTCTTGCAATCAAATATATGTTTCTTCTTGTTATATTTGGTTGTTATTTCTTATTTTATGATACTGTATCCCAGTTTAAGTTCTAGACTTCAAATATCCAAGCTTGGTTTACAGTACATTATGTTTGATGATCAATTCATTGTTTTACATTTTTCAAAGTCATTACTTTAAACAATGTTAAACGTTTCTGAAAAATTCACTTGCACTGATATTCTAGTTTATATTATATCTGAGCAATATTTAAAATATTAATTGTTAAAGATATTTGAATTGGAGAAATAAAAGTAGAAATACTACATATTTATTGAAATAAATATATTTGAACAGTCATATTTTTTGTTCTACTATTTATTTGGAATACAGACTCATCACAAGAAGAATGAGAATTAATCTTGCTTGTAGCTCTTTTAAAATAACGTTATTCAGAATAACATATTTAAGATTTTTTTGAGAAGTTTAATAATATAGTTAAATTCTCTATAGGTATCTCTGTTATACAATGTATTGTTTAAAAATGGACAAAAACGTCTCTTTATATAATTTATATACCTTTTTATTATACTAAGTAATTAGTCAAAAAATTCCGACGAATATGTAATTAACATCCTGTTATGATATAATATGCTTCGGTAATAGTATCTGATTTGTATTAGGGAAATAACAATTTGTTTTTCTAATGATTAAATACATTGTGTAATTAGATGGAAGTGATAAGTCTTATCTATGAATATTAGTTATATATCAGATTTATTTTCTGAAAGTCATTTAAAAAACTAGTTGGATTTTTTCCCTACCAGAGACGAGAGTTGCAATGTACGTAATCTCCATTTTTGCAATATTTTTCATTACTGCTGCGCTCATATTGATCGTGGTGTGATCTTATATAGTATTCCACGATAAATGGGCTATATAATACGAAAATATTTATTCAAATCTTCTATATACTTCTGGAGATTAGTGCGTTCAACAAAATTAACAGCTTTATATATATTAATATAGATTCTGTATTGCACGAATGATCATATATATATGATGGTTAATACTTACTTTTGGAAATAAGAGAAAGCAGCAACAGATTAAATATTAAAATATATTAAAATGATAAAATTTTTATGTTGACATTACAAACATTACAGAGATATTCTAAAGTGACATATTCTATAAAAATGTACAAACAACTAATTCTACGATGGCCAGCATTATACTTCCAACACTTACCATTAGGTAAGTTTACCATCCCAGTTACATAAAAGAAAATAAACAGAGCAAAACCTATTATGTCTCACTAAACGAATAATTAAATAAAAAAGAAAATTTAACTAAATAGCTTTAAAAAAACATAGGTACATTCAGTTGAGGTCACCAATTGAATGTATAGAACTGACTGACTACAAAGAACTCATCAGTTATAAGTGACTAAAATATTAGTATGAATTGAGTAAGTTATGAAAAAAATAATTTTGATTTACCTTTTTAAGATAAGGATATTATTTGACTTATTCCGGCCGCGTTACAGGTTTCTGGAAGAAACAATTTAAAACGTAAATGTTGAAGTAATTACAACTTGTAACAAGGAAATTTCCGTTTGTTTACAACTTCAAAATATATAACTTAGGAAATATATTAATTAGTACTTTCTATATCATATAACCGTTATATTTTACCTAATAATGTACCTTGTTAATATAATGCTTTATCTTTTGAAAAAGTGAAATATGAAAGTTAAATGTCTTGGAAAGAAAGTAAGCAGGTATTTCATTGTAGTTTGTATGGTAGTTATCTGGGCCAAATCCACCTTTATGTCTACGTTTATCTACTCTGTGTCGATATTTCTTCCAAATAACAAACAAATAGGGTAATAAATCTGATGACACTTACTTAACAACAAGTAACTTACCTAACAATAAGTTCTATATCTAAACTAATGTAAGAAGATCAAAAAGTAGGTTGTATTCAGTATTAATATGCCAAAGTTTGATCTGTATTATCTTTTACCTATTTTACGATATATTTAACATATTGTCAGGACTGTTGGAGTTTCCCAGATAGGGTAGTCAGCGGAATAGTCAACTCTCAACGTTGTGGGGCACTTATTTTGCACAATGTGGGCAAGTATTGTACTTGCCCACATTGTGCAAAATAAGTGGTTAATAAAGCTACCGTCGATAAAAGTTGAATGTTTTCAATGAAGAGAAGAATTAAATATTGCACCTATCGATTCTCCTAAGAATTAAATAATATGTCAAAGGTTTTGTGAACTTTAGTTAAGCAATAAACTTCTGAACGGACCTTGTTTAACAGGTACGAACAGTATGTACAGGAAAATAATTTTTTTGTTTTATTAAACGAGTGGGATAACGAATAACACAATTATTTTTACCTACCTCATGATAATAAAAAATCTGAAGTCACATGAACAAGCGAGGTCTTATAAATTATACCACATTATTATATACTTACCGAAATAGTGGATGGTTTTTTGGCAGACAACCTGCCTGTGTAGGCGCTGGTTGCTCCTGTGTTGTCTTTGGTACTGGACCATGTTCAGATCTTGCTTGCACCAGCGCTGCAGCGGTTACAGGATTGCTGACTTGGTTTTCTGGAAATTTTACCGAAATTATAATGAAAAAAATTTTTATAAAAATATTATTTTACTAGCAGATATCCGCAACTCCATCTGCTTGGAATTAATATTATTATTTATTAGAACATTTGCTATCTACGAATGAAAACCCCGTGAATTTAGTTCAACCGTTTCAGAGATCAGAGCAGTAATAAACAGATAGAGAAAACATATTTAAATTAATTTTCGATGTAAGTACTGTATATACTTACATAAGCATTTAGTGAAAAGCTGTTAATTTAAAACTACAAAGAGATACTTCAATTTTATTTATTTGTATAGATGATTGATAATTTTTATTCAGATTTAGTCGTAAAAGAACTTTTTTTTAATAAAATAATTTCAATTACGTTAGCGCACGTTACATTATTCATTTCATCGTTGACATTATTGAAACGTGCGTCGCGGTGTGTAAGGGCTTTGAATAACGTGATTATTCCTTGAGAACGTCACGCCAGAATTTTTTTCCCGAAATATCTCTGGCCCACATTTCAATCGTTGATTCCTTTATATTTCATTGAATGATACAAATATTTTTTATAAGATCTGTTTTCCAGCTCATTGATTCTTTTTATCTGCACCAAGGTAGAAGTACGTATATTTTTATGAAGGCATCTTGAGAGGTAATTTTATATAATAAAAACATCAAGTCAAAAGCCAGGAGCTACGTCCGGATTTCTGTTTATTGAAAATCAAAGACGAATGTTGGCAAATACAAATAAAACTAACTGTGTTTACTTAAACTTAGTAGGTACTCTTAGGATCTGTATACGATTGAAGAATATGAGACTCTTTTCATATAAATATATAATTTTTTTTCCTCTAATCTAAATTCAAAACATAATAATTTATATAGACAGATATATGTAGACAGTAACGTGCCATACGTTACTGGCATTATTAAAGTATTTTCCAAAGTGATACCTATATCGTTTTACAACAAAGATTATCCTCTAAATCAAATCAAAGTTTAAAAACAACAGATACAGCTTTGATTTGTAGTTTTAATTAATAATTAAATTCATACCCTTTTTTTATTATATGAAATTCGCCTAATATGCTGGATATAATTTTAATAAAATTGCTAATTTGTTCACGGATCAACACCAATTTCAAGATTTAGTCGATCATTGTGGATATATATGTATATATACATATTAATATCAAAATATGTCTCGTAATTTACGTGTACTAAATTTATGCCCTGATGTTTCCAACTCATAAACTGCCTAAATTCTGATCAAATCATTATGATTCAAAATACAGTTTTAAGTTTTTTTTACTACTATAATGTGATTTATTCTCTTATTAGATTATTTTGATATTAATTCAATAATCAAAACAAAACAATGCTTACCAGGTAGCTTGTGGTAACTTTCATGCGCATCATAAAATTCTTCTTTTGCATGTTCGTCGACTACAGGCGGAGGTACTATACTGGTATCAGAGAGGCTGCTAGAAGAACGACTGGTATGACTCTTCTTAGAAGCTAATTGTCCTTTCTTCTTCTTTTTCTGCTTTTTTCTAATTTCAGTTGGTAGGCCAGACGGATCATCTTTTTTAAGGTCATGTAACTCTAGCACAAGTGTCTGGTGAGGCTCAAACATTCCATTATTAGATGATGACGTAGAAATGTTATCTGACTCTGATAAGTCTTCTATAACACCAACTACAAACAAAATTGACACCAAATATTTATATATTGAATACAAATTGGTTTTGCCATGTGAAGCATTTGCAACTGGCTGAACTAGTGTTGTCATCCAGTTGTCGTGCCGAGTGCATCACGTTGTAGAGTTAGGTTAGTCATTATACAGTATGTATTATAAACTGTACTACAGATATAATGTCGTCACTTGACTCCAAAATGGCAATGCAAAAGAGGTAATCAGGTAAAGAGGCATAAAAGGGTTTGATTTAATTTTATGACCTGATAGTATTGTTAATATTACTAAAATCTTTTTCACAGTCAAATGCAACAAATCTTGCATACTGTATATCAAAATATTTACCATAAATATGTTTTTTATGCGCACGTGATATATCGATGCTGTTAAATCGTCTGAAGTTGGCGGTGCGTATAAATATTTATTAAGCTATCTACCAGCAGTATCAGTTTTTTAGGCTTGACAAAAAGGAACATATTACCACAATTGATTGGAATATTAATCGGAAATAATGTATCTTTCATGAGATCCGTGTATTTCTACAGAGAAATACACAGCTTCTCTTTTACATTTCTATTTATTAATAATAATACATCTTTGGGTATACTTACAATTCTTATTCTCCATTGTAGGCGACGTTTTTTTCTATGCGATAGTTCCTAATATTATTGCTAGATGAAAGATAAATTATATGTGATTATTTTTGGTCTCCATTGTTGATTGTATGGCTCCAATTATTAATGGTAGGATTGTATTATGTTAATGTTACATTTCAATTTTTATTTTCAATTTATAAGTCATGAAAATTGTCATGAAATATTTGTAAATTGACTTTTGATCATTTATTTCGAATTAGGAACTGTAATTAGGAATATAGTTTTATTAATAAATAGGTTTAATACGTCTGTGATGAAATAAATAATTTATACTTTATGTCAAGTATGAAAAAATACAGAAATAAGTATTTGTGATATATTTTTTTATGTAATTGGAAAGGTAAATCAGCTGACGAATCACATTATAGTATGTGGTAACCGTCGCCTGAACAGCACTATTTATGTCATATAATCATGTAACTGCCTGTGAAACCTCTAATACATTACCATTCAATATAACTAAGATATCATGTCTCCTATTCTGTAATTTCACTACCCTTTAATCGAAATATATTTAATAAAGAAAGCTGCATGGAGGCTGAAATACGCGACGAGGCTAAGATATTCATGCAGATGATTTTTTCTAAAAGTGACCACATATCCTTTATTATTTGCTATATTATATATTTTTTCTGTTGCACACTCTTTGCACATTTTTATATATTTATTTTTGTACAAAATCTTTACAGTTTTTAGAAATGTCACATTTTTTATTGTCACTTTTGTCTTATTGTTTGGTTAATATCACACATACAGCCTGTTAATTGTATCGCCCACAGTTTCTATAGTCATCATGATATTTTAAAGATAAAAGGGAGTACTACACTACATTCTTACTCACCTACCTTACATTTTGGCCCGGGCGATCATAACTTGTATGATTGAGATACTACATATTGCTTTTCAATGAAACTTTAAAAGATATTAATAAATGCGGATTGAACACTATTTACGAGAGCGGTTATAAAATAGCGAATCGACTTATCGACATAGTTCGAACAGTGACGAAGCGGGAATGTTTTTGATGGTCTATATCAGCAACATATGCCCCAGAACATGGTGGCGGTCATTTTTATGTACACTATAAAATTTCGAACGATCCATGCCCTCTGTAGGACATTTTACGACGTGATTGACACTGACCTTCTGTTATATAAGGTCTAGTTTGACAATAACGGGATAGAAGAATTCTCTTCCGTATTAAATTACTATATATATTTGACACCCTCGGTGGCGTAGCGATTTAGTACACCGCTTTACTTCCGATTAGCGGGTTCGATTCTAGGTATAGAAACACGGTGCAAATATTTGTATTCATGAGTACTGATTACATTATATATATAGAAAATATCCAGACCATATATATTATATAATTACAAAAAAAATATAGTATCGGTAAGGGCGTTTTATATTCTTGGTCTGTATATTATGCATGTATTTACAAAAAATATATTTATCTAAGTACTTCAATTAGCTGTCTAGGACCATAGAACACAAGAATTATGCAGGGGTTATTTTGTTTTATTTCTTTTTTTGCACAATTACAAAAGGCGATTTTAAATATTGCATGACATTGATTGGATCGAATGGAGAGTGGTTTTCTTGTGGATGTTACAATCACCTTACTTAGAGATTTCAATATACGGGATTCTGGAGGAATTTAAGGCCCCAAATTTCCATGTTTGAATCTACCACAGATTCAAACATGGAAATTTGGGGCCTTAAATTCAGGGTAAACATAAACCAGGAGGATATTACCTACTATATATCAAATCAAATTAAATTTATTTTACGATAAACATAGTTGTGATATTTGGTATTGTAAAATTTTATGTGCTATTATGTTTTGCTTTATTAGGCATACAAAATTGAAAAATTATTTAAAATTTAATTCATAATTCTAAACATTTATAATAATAATAATAACAATTTTTATTTGTCTCAAGTAATAAACTGTTACAATTGCTGCTTATAATAAAAACGAAACTTAATAAATGAGACGGAACTATTTATAACTCAAAAGGGGCAGATTCTGTTATAGCCTTTATAAGTAAATTAATATAATAAAATCAACGACGAGCACTTACATTCTAATCTGTCCAAAATCTGTAAATCTGTCCTGTGTTCTAATCTACTACTACTACTACTACAAAGAAAACATAAAAATTTGACAATAACATCTTAATAATCTCGTCATATCATTATTAGGCACTTACATTAGATCTATTTACACTTATATATATTTCTAAGAAAAAATGTACTTGCAGTAAGATTCACATATTTGCTACAACATTTTGTTTTGGAAGTATTAGTGGACTATTGAGATTTATGAATGTTGTCACAGTAGTGCTTTTCGATATTGTCTTATTGAGATAGGGGATAAAGGGTGACCAGATATACAATTTTATTTGTACTTTACTTTACTTTATACACCAAATATAAATCATGTTATCTTACAAGCAGAAATCAGTACAAAAAATATCTATAAATATTATTTAGCAAATTGACTAATTTCGCCAGTCTGTACCTCAACGTGTTTTTCTAAACCTAGCAACAGGTTTCAAATACCTTTTGCTTTATAGTTTTGATATTTCATTGGTAAGGTTTATATATTGCTTGTAGATATATATATCCGTCACATACAAACTCGACTTGAGTTACTAGTTTACAATAAAGCATTACTTTAATTTATTTTATCCGTAGATACTTTTCTATGAACGATGGCCACATTGTTTGTCAGACAAATAATAGAACTGCAAGCAATAAGGAGACGCGTCGGGTTCCTGTTAGCGGAGTTCGCAATTGATCGAATCGACCGTGAAAATGTATACCAGGGTTGCCAACCTGAAAACATCTGCATTGGTAATATATTGGTAAAGAATCACACCCAAATTAGTTAAGATTTAAAAATGGTTTTTTCATATACTCGTATCTTCCTTAAGAACAGAAGGCAACCAGTTGCACGTTTATTACATATATATCTATATTTCGCAGTTAGATGTATATATGCTACTTGTAAATTATATAATGAAATATATCTTTTGTAATTTAGCTCAGTACGAATTTGGCTATCTAACGTTGTTCATCATTGTATGTTGACCGATTTGCTTAGATCAAAATCTCGTACACACTTATAGGAGGAAGAAAATGTCCTCGTACCAAAGGCCAAGAATACCAGTTCTTACTGGGCTATTCGTGAATTATCGTACAGTTGGCATCTCTGATGTATATGTACCCCACAGTGTCAAAGAGATACGTGGAAATAGATTCACTGTTCACATTGTTTAGCACATTGGTTTATAGCTATTTCCCGAAGTTTGTAGTGCGTAATATTTTTTTATTAAAATAATATGGCGATATAAAAATATGCATAAAGTCAAGGGAAGTATGAAGGGAAAATACTGACACTCTAGGTATAGTAGATATTGGTTATATCGCTGTTAGATGGTATTGTATCGAATTTACACTTTGATTTAGAGTAGCATATTTGTTATAGGTACTCACGTGAATTCAAAAGTCTGTGGCCATTCATTATGGTTTGTAATTTTTATACAGTTTGGTCAGTCTTCTAATATAATTAAAGCAAACTAATAAACATTCAAATATAATTAAAAAATATCTTTTAAAATTTCATATTTATTATATTAATGAGATGTTATTCATTTTACAAAACATTATCAGACCTCGAAGATAACTAAATGAACAAACAGTTATCTAATCCGTGATAGGAAGTTAGTTTCCTAGTTTCCTTGTAGATAACAGATAGATAGACAATAGAATAGATTAGAAAATCCTTTAATCGAGACAAACAATTATATCTAAGAGTAAACAAAATCAGTGGCCGTTATAGACTTAGTTATAAATTCCGTAAATTGTTGTTAATACGCTTATCAGGTGACTTTGTGTGGGGTTTTTTTCAAGATATCCTTAATTATTTATTATTTTATCTATCGTTTCTATATTCCTCAAGATATCTTGAAGATGAAAGGAATGAAGCGAAAAAATATTATTGTCTAAGTATTTATATCAGTTGTACTTGGGTTAGTACCCAAGTCTAGTACTAGTGTACTAGACTTATAACGCAAGTTCTGCTTACCGTGGGACTGAATGGCGCTGTATTAATTGTCCAGGATTATTTATGTTATATATATAAATTATTTTGATGAGAGATAATGAAATATTGCGCCCATCTGCGTTAACGGTTTACTCTGGCGGGGTATTAGTCCAGGATGATAAAACTACCACGAGTTTAGGTCAGTTAGATTATTGTGACAAATTTAAGCTAGTTTTTTTATGTAAAAAACCTTGAATTTGATTTGATTCGATTTAATGGTCAAGGGGAACCGCGTGGAGGTCAACATAACATGCATTGCTAGCAATTATGTGGCTTATGAGTCCACTTTACTAAAATTCTCCAGTCCCAAAATTCTTCTCCCTCTATATAATATTGGTATCTACATACTAATAATACAAAAACAGAGAGTGTATGTATGTATTTGTAGAAAATCTTGGACGAAATAATTTGGGATTTTATTTATCTTTAAACAGGCTAATGAGAACCTACAACTCTTATTCAAAGAATCATTCGTCAGTTGACATATACATACATATAGTAATAGTTATTGTAAATTCCGCTAAAATCTCTATAGTTATTATAAGTTCTAGTTCATATCAGAACAAGTATTTTTTTAAGTAAAATTCTAATGTTTTTTTTTATTTATTTAAGACTAACAAACAGTAATATAATATATTATATATATATATATATATATATATAATATGTGATAATATTAAAGACAAAGGTATGACCAACAACTTTAATCGCAGTTTATGAAGACAATAATTATACAATCATGCAAATTTGTTTAGAGTAGTGCTGAATTTTATATAAAGTTACAAATATGTACTTAAAATGCAACTTATTTATTAATATAAAGAAAGCGTAAAATTAAATAAAAAATAATTATGTTTATTAATTGTTAATTGTAAGCACAAAATTGTTATATAAATATTGTAGTTGCCTATAACTAAGTTTGCACTTAGTGTTAGTTATTTTAATATTTTATTTAGTGTAAACCTTGGTAAAATAATAAAACAATGTAATGAAGTAGACGATGCCTCTAACTACATCATCATCTGGGATAATAGTCATAAGCATATGTATATATATATTAATGTATATCATAAAAGAAAAGACCGATCCAGCACTACATATAAAATATATATATACAATTATATAATGATCACGTGAATGACGCATGGAGCTCTAATAATTTTAAATTATGCTGCTTTTCTTACTACTTATAATGTAATGATTATTTACTCAAGTGACACTGAACAAGTAAACATTATAATTAAAGTAACAGGTCTTTAAGTTATATAATCACAAATACAACATGTTATAAAACTGCGTAAACAGTAAGACTACTTGAATATTAAATACTAACTGACTCGCGCAACCTCGTCTGAATCACACTTACATGACCTGTATTATTATATCTCGCCCTATTTATATAATATATTTTTAAATGATAGTCTATGTATTATTTGGATGTATAAGCTGTATAACTGTAAAGTTTCATTAAAATCCGTCCAGTAGTTTTTGCGTGAAGTAGTATCAAACATACATACTTACAAACTTTCGATATAATATTAATAATAAGGTATTAGGATTATTGCTTCTTTATGTAACTAAAATGTCAAAGCGGATGACCCATCTATTGTAAAGTGGCAACCGTCACCTTTTTTATACTATCTACTATGGTGTCAAACAAGCATACGGACCGTCTGATGGTGAATGGTTATCGTATATGGACGATGACCTATATACATATACAGCACTACGGACATTTCAGAGGTCTAAAATACATCATGCTTCTTATCCTATAATTTCACTGGCCAATCTGTAATCTACAATCTAAATACGGGTTACAAAAAACTTGGCACCTAGAATATAAGTGAGACCCACGCAGATTATATAACATAAATAATTCCTCTAGTTTTTTATATTATGTGATTAATATGGAATGGTGCGCCTGTCTGCTCTAACTTATATCACCTGGTGGAATACCAGTGTAGGATGATGTCAGATCAGTTGTACATCATAGCGATATATTAAACTTACGCGGTGGAATACCTGGCATGGTACATTGCAATACTTATATACAGACTAAATAATTGAGACAGAAGTACCTACGCAGATGACACTGTATAAATTCTCTTTAAACAATGTATGTTTGTATGTTGTTTATTGCATTAAAAAAATACACTAATAAAAATTATAAAATTAGATACGATTGTAAGCAAAGGTTAAGAGACTTTGAAGAGATTTCTTTTAGTCAACCTAACACAGCGATAGCAAATAAACAAAAAAATTTCAATGTCAAATATACCTTTCTGTCAGGGTAAGGTGACTTATTCGGTACTTTATTTGTTCATTCTATTTGCGTAAAAGTATGATATTTGTGTGGCACTGATAACGAAATTTTAATGTGAAGTATTATTACTATCAGCATATGAGTACAAAATGTTTTGGGGCCTTTGTTCTTATTTCAAATAGATACAGTTATTTAATGTTTAAATAATCAATTTAGGAACGAAATCTTTTACGGACTATTGATATAGTTTAATATATATGTATATATATAATTCTGGACAATTAACACAGAGCCCGTCTAGTCTCACAATATGCAGCGCTTGTGTAATGGGTACTAGACAACTGATATAAGTACTTATATTATTTTTCTATAAAAACATATATAATATACGTAAAAAATACCTAGACATACAATCATACTCATGAATACAAATTTTAGCATCGTGCGAGGAATCGAACCCGCGACCATCGGAAGTAAAGCGGTGTGCTAAACCTCTAGACCACCGAGGCCGTCATATTCAATACTACTGACTTAATATTTTGTTGTTATTAATGTACGTGCATGGAGTACGTATGTATTATATGTATTACGTAAATTATTACGCATTAACAAGTATTATTTATTCCTTTTAACATACATAAATATTCACCTATTTAGTATAGGTGGTATAGGTGAATATTTATGTACGTTAAAAACAATGCTTATTTAAAAACTGTTTGTAAAAACATTTAGTAATGTTTAAATTAATTTAATTTAGTTAAGTTAGGTACATTGCATTGGAAATGGCCCGAACAATAGAAATGATAAGTCATTATTTTGATAATCTTATTCTTTTGACTACAAAAGATTTAAAAATACATTGACAGATATATTTGGTTACTTTGGCATGGTGCTTCTTAATGTAAAGGCATTATTGCGAAAAAGGACTGTGGATGCACACAATTCTGTTATAAAACCAATAATAGAATCTACAGTTACTGAACGCTATAATAATTAGAAAATATAAAAGAATGTGTAATATACACAGGCACAATAAAAAATAAAATACATATTACAGCAAAAATGTTTTATTTACAATTTTTTCCTAAATTTAAAATCTATAAAGACGCCTAATAGTAACATTAAATAAAATAATAATAAATAAATAACCTTGGACAATTAATACAACGCCATTAAGTCCCACGGTAAGAAGAGCTTGTGACATGGGTACATGACAACTGATATAAATACTTAAATATCTTTTTTTATAATATATATATAGAAAACACCCAGACCGATACAAACAATCATACTCATGCATACAAATGTTTACACCAAGCGAGGAATCTAATCCGCGACCATCAGAAGTAAAGCGGTGTACTAAACCGCTAGGTCACCGAGGCCGTCGAATTAATAATATAATACACCATCATCATTATTTAGCTACAAATTTATCGAAGGCTCAATTTGAGAGGCAGTCCTCCTATTACTGCCGGTACGAGATTAGAGCGAGGATTGATGATGGGCCACCTACGAGTGTTCTTCGTTGGCTCGACGTCAAACTTGTGAAGAACAGCAGCTAGGCCTGCCAACGACTGCATATAACCTAGACGAGCACCTGTAAATATCAATGCATTAGGGTAAAATCAAATCAATTAAACATAAAAAATTATTCATATACAATATACCTTTCGGCCTCCTATGCAAGTCATTTATATTTTGTAACTATCAGTACAGACAGGTCGGTTAGCTATTTCAGCTGAGAAATACTTGCAAGACACACAAATAGACATATTTTTTCATCAATATTTATCATTCAAGCGACTACCTCTATAGTGAAACCACAGGTTAAACTAACGGAAGAGTGTTAGATTTATAATCAGACTAGCTGGCAGTTAAGCATATTCGATTCGATTTCGATTCGAAGCATACAGATAGTATTTAAAATACTTTATATATATCATATTCATAGTTCACTTCTGACCTTAATATGTAAAAATATTAAATAATTGTTGTATTTAATTTTATAAGTAAAAATTGTCAACAATTACTTAAAAGTTTGTAAATAAATTAAGTAATTCGTCTATAATTATAATTTATGAAAAGATTACGCATTCAAGATAGAGAAATAGGAATTACAATTCAACACCTATTCCTATTCCTCTAATACCTACCTTATCACTGATAAACTTAAAAATATATTAAAATTTGTTACTTAATTAACCCTCGCGTATTACTAAATTGGTTCAATATTTTAACTAATGACTTACCGATACATGCCCGTGGTCCCTCTCCAAATGGCAAGTACGTATAGTGATGGCGACTTTTCATCGCTTCAGGTTTGAACCTGTCGGGTCTAAATTCCTCGGGGTTGTCGAAATACTTCTCATCGTTTTGAATTGCAGCTATTGGGATTATGATCTTGACTCCTGGATCAATAGTGATATTTAGTTCTGGAATAGTATATTGTTTTGCGCACACTCTATTTAGATTTCCAACAGTAGGAAGTAACCTCATGGATTCCTTGAAAGCCATATCAAGTAAAGACATTTCTGTTATAGCATCGTAACATAACTTATTATCATATTTTTGTAATACCTGATCAATTTCTTCTTGAATTTTAAATTGAATATCTGGATTGTAAGCCAATAGATGTAACATGGAACTTGTGGCTGAAGAGGAAGTTTCAAATCCTGCTGCGAAAAATACAAATACTTGTGCTACCATACACTCTAGGGTCATTTCCATTTCTACTTCTATCGGAGTACCATCAGGATTTCTTTTTTCAATAGATTCACCTTTAATTTTACCTTTACTTTCCATTTCTAACAGGAGATCTATGAAATCGTTCCGACCACATGGTTTATAATTTCTTTGAGCTCTTATTTTTGTAACAATATCTATTATTACTTTATCTATATCAGAATTGAAAACACGTAAATAATTTCTAGTTATGGGAAAACCTTCCCATATCAATAATTTTACAACGTCGCTTAACGTTCTGTTAAAAATCAGTTTACCCAAATCTCGAAATAATGAGTTTTCATTATTGATGGTATCCATTTCAATACCAAATCCGCAAGCTCCAATAAATTCAGTTGTGAAACGTGCCATTAGATCGCGAACATCACACTCTCCTCCGTTTGACACAATGTCCTCTCCAACCAATTGTAACTTCTCTGCACACTTTACGACTAGCGGGAACATATTTTTTAATTTCGCTGTAGTAAATGCGGATGTCATTCGTTGTCTTAGAAGTTTCCAAGTATCACCATCAGCGTGAAATAAATTGGCTTGTAACGGTTCTACTGACGGATTTCTACCAAGTCCTCTAGGATAAAAATACACGAAATCCACATTCATAATATGCCTCACTATTTCAGGATCTCTTATTATTAGTTCCGGTGTGGTCCATCTGTAATATCCTACTACTTTTTCTTTCGGAAATTTATTATACAATTCGGTAGTGATAGCGGTGATATTTTTAAATGCAAATTGATTTCGAAAATGATTTCCAATGAACGGGATTGGAGGGACGTGAGCGACATTTCTCTTTAACCAATAATCGTGATTTCTTGTGCCATAAAAATAAATTGCAATTACACAAAGTATCAATAATAATATAATCATATTGGCACAATTACTTAATAACGCGTGGGTTTAATTTTCAAAATAGACTGACGCTTTACAGTCGTTCATGGTATATTTATACAGGTTACAGTTTATTTCGATAAGTAGCTTGAAAAATTAATAATCTACACTTAAAAATCTACTGATTGTATAGAGATTAAATGTGTAAACATTAATATTATCTTTTGTTTGAGCATATGTTTTGATTAGTTTTCAGATATTATTTATATTATTGTAATCGTATCTTAATAAATGTATCTTAAAAATAAATGTATGATAGTGTCTTTGACACAACGAAGTCCCATTGGTAGTTTCTGTAAGCACTAGAAAACTGATAGATATCACAGACTTACATTTTTCCTCTGAATACATGCAGTAGTACAATTACAGAAAAAGTTCGCACCTAGTTCGCACTTATTCAAAAACTACGAAATTAAAAATCAAACTATTGAAATTATCAACATTACTTTTCAGAAAATTTTTGTTAGTAGTAGTTATTAGAACTCAGTTTAGCAATGTTCACTTGCCTATTATATAATAAGTTGTCTTGTAAATTTTAAAAGTAATTTTAATAAAATAGATGAAGATAATTTAGCGAAATCAAATTAAAAATACAAGTATACATGCGAGTATTTTAAATATCAAAGATACATTAAAATATATCAACTTAATTCCAGTAGTTACTGTAAATGATTTTTATTCTTATAAAGTAAGACTCTACAGATAAACAAAAACATATAAATAAAATGTAATAATTGTTTACTTATTTATTGTTATATTACAATTAGTTAAATAGTCAATATTATGTCAAAATATAAATAATAGTCATATAAATCACGTTTAAAGTCATAATAATGTAATAACTGTTTATGTAATTAATGATAAAATCCATAATTAACGACATTATGTGTCGGAATAATTTATGTAATTCACTTTGTAGTGAAATAAAATCTTTATTAGGTCTATTCAATATTTTTGTCTTCGCAATAAGAAACAGTACATTAGTTAGTTTATTGTCATAATAATTATTATAACAGTTTTAATCTCATCGAAAGCTCAGTTTGAGCGGTAGTCCTCCTTTAATTGCCTGCACGACATTAGACCGAGGGTTTACAATAGGGTATCTAAGAGTCGCCTTCGTGGGCTCAACGGTGAATGTCTGCAAGATGGCTGCAAGACCTGCCAGTGATTGCATGTGACCCAGACGAGCACCTGCAATAGTTTAAGGATAATTTACATAATGAAAGAACATACTAGTATTATTTAACTATATGTTATATATAACATGTAGTTAAATCAATATTTAGGAATATTTTATTAAAGATTCTAATGAAATTAGAAAATTACTTAAATGGAAATACATACAAAGTTTCAGCGGTATAGGCATACTTGACGATAGTAAGCAGAAATAGTATGATATGTTTCGTTTCTTCGATGAATGGTAAAACCGTAATAGAAATTATATATCTCACTATAGTAATATTGAAAACGTGAAAGTTTGTGAGTATGGATTGTTGGAAGTTTGTTAATCGTTCACACAAAATTTACTGAACGAATTTTGATGAAACTTTACAGTAATATAGCTTATACATCAGAATAACACATGGGCTATAAATTTTGGGTGGGTGTAACCGTGGCTGCAGCTATTATTCAATAAAAATTGAATGTTATGACGAATATGCTACGTAGTTTATTATATAACAAGCATAGCATACTCGAGGAATAATAATTTATAAATAAAGTGGGTATATTTTAAACATTTTTTAATACAAATACTATATTCAATATTTAAAATAAGAGATCATTCATACAAAGGTATATAATATTATATTGAACCTCACCTATACAAGCCCTCGGTCCTTCCCCAAATGGCAAGTATGTATAGTGGTGGCGACTTTTTATTGCTTCAGGTGTGAATCTTTCAGGTCTAAACTCTTTGGGGTTATCGAAATATTGCTCGTCGTTCTGAATAGCTTCGATTGGAATTATGATCTTAACTCCTGGGTCTATTGTCACATTCAGTTCCGGAATTGTGTATTGTCTAGAGCATACTCTATTCAGATTTCCAAGTGAAGGGAACATCCTCATCGATTCTTTGAACGCCATATCAAGTAAAGACATTTCTGTTATTGCATCGTAGCACAATTTGTTATCATATTTTGATAATACTTCATCAATTTCTGCTTGAATTTTTGACTGAATATCTGGATTGTAAGCCAGTTGATGTAACATAAAGCTTGTGGCTGAGGAAGATGTTTCAAAACCTGCAGCGAAAAATATAAATACCTGTGCTACCATACACTTAAGTGTCATTTCCATTTCCACTTCTATTGGAGTACCATCAGGATTTCGTCTTTCGATAGATTCACCTTTAATTTTACCTTTACTTTCCATTTCTAACAGGAGATCTATGAAATCGTTTCGGCCACATGGTTTATAATTTCTTTGAGCTCTTATTTTTGTAACGATATCTTCTATAACATTTTCAACATCAGCATTGAAAACAGGTATATAATTTCTGGTTATTGGAATACCTTCCCATATCATCAATCTCACAACGTCTTTAAGTGTTCTATTAAAAATAAGTTTACCCAGATCCCGAAATAATGAGTGTTCATTATTGATGGTATCCATTTCAATACCAAATCCGCAAGCTCCTATAAATTCAGTTGTGAAACGTGCCATTATTTCGCGAACATCACACTCTCCTCCACGAGATACAATATCCTTTCCAACAATTTGTAACTTCTCTGCACACTTTACGACTAGCGGGAACATATTTTTTAATTTCGCTGTAGTAAATGCGGATGTCATTCGTTGTCTTAGAAGTTTCCAAGTATCACCATCAGCGTGAAATAAATTGGCTTGTAACGGTTCTACTGACGGATTTCTTCCAAGACCTCTGGGATAAAAATGCACAAAGTCCACATTCAAAATATTTCTCGCTATTTCAGGGTCTCTTATTATAAGTTCTGGTGTGGTCCATCTGTAGTATCCGACTACCTTTTCCTTGGGGTATTTGTTGTATAATTCAACAGCAATGTCGGTCATACTTTTCAATGCAAATTGATTTCGGAATTGATTTCCGATGAGCGGTATTGGAGGGTCATGTTTAATATTTCGCTTCGACCAATAATCGTGATTTTTGGTTCCATAGAAATAAATGAAAATAACACAAAGTATTAACAACAACACAATCATGACACCACAGCGAATTGCGAACGCGTGCGCTTAGACTAAGATCAGCACTGTTAATGTATTTGGAGAGTAACATGAAGTCGAGTAATTAGCACGCTTGAATATATCTATCGTAGTTGTGTACATTATTCTACCCTGTCTTAATTGGCTGCTACTGTATTACAACAATAGTTTTTTTTTATATTTGTGGTTTCGGTTTGATTAAATATCACGACCTACATATATATTAAGATAGTAAACAACTGGGATACGTCGCTCGTGATGATAAAAATATGTTTCGGCATTGTCTATTTACACTATATATATATTTATTATACTTGTACGTAATTATTATAGTATTGAATAAAGTTTCAATGTAAATTAGAAATGAAATAAAAATTAAAGCAGTTAAATTTAAGTTTCTCTTAAGTAAGTTCTCTTTTAAGTAAAATAATAATTCCTCTCGGATTCGTCCTCAATGGTCTAGCGGTCAGCACACCACTTTACTTCAGATGGTCGCGGGTTCGATTCCTCGCACGGTGCAAATATTTGTATTCATAAGTATGATTGTTTATGTCGGTCTGGGTGTTTTGTATGTATAAAATGTATATTATGTATGTATCTACAAAATATATACGTAATAATATCATTCGTTTAGTACCCATAACACAAGCTCTGCTTAGCCCGGGACTAGATGGAGCAGTGTGAATTGTCCAGAAAAAAAAATCGTCTCAGAAGGGCTCTCACAATCTCGTATTGCAAATTAATTTTAGTTTTTATCGGTATTTCCATCATTGGATAATCAATAATAATATAATATATAATAATATATATAATAAATAATAATAATCTCAAGACAATTCACACAGAGCCATCTAGACCCAAGTTAAGCTAGCTAGAGCTTATGTTATTGGTACTAGATAACTGATACATATACATAGATATTTTTTTTATAAATACATAAATACATAGAGAACACCCACACCGATACAAACAATCATAGGGTACTGGCACCAGTAGTCAGCCTTTTAGTGGTAAGTCTGGGTTCAAACTTATATAAGAAAATATTAGAAAGAGTAAATTGAAAGTCTTTTGTATAATTTAACTTACTCATTTATTAAACTTTGTTACAAAATTAACAAAAATTACAAATTTATCCTTTAATAAAGTGAAAAATACTTTTTAACAAAATAAGGCACTTTTCACCAGTGCTCAGCCGCCAAAAACTAGTACTCAGCCACATTGCCACCAGTGGTCAGCCTCTCTTAAGATCAATAGTTTCAAGCTTAAAGATTAAGAACATTAATAAATAATTAGTCCGGTCATAGAACCTAAAAGGACTTAACTGTGCCCTAACAATCACAACAATCAAATCAAAAACCTATCTAACTTATATTTAAATCAGTCGGAAACTTCTTTAGTAACATCAGTATTTAAAAAGATTTCAAGTTCTTCTTCTTCTTTCTAAAAGTTGCCGATTAACAATTTATCTAGCTTATCTTCCTTACAGGTTTCTGTGTCAGGAGTTTCAGGATATAGAAGTATATTACTGAGAATTTTAATTTTATTTTGTTTTGATTTCCACTAAATCACAGCCTGTCTTTGTGTATTTTACGATCAATTCCTTATCATAATCATAATTTTTCTTCTTTGTAGTCTCCGTCACTTTACTTTTGGTAGAATCTAGAGCTGCTTTTTTTCTTTTTTTTGTATAAAAAATTATATAAAAAACAATTTAAATATGGACGGTTGAACACTGGGTCTACTGTCACCAGTACTCAGCCATGTAACAAACTCTAACTATTTAAGTGGCCGACTATTGGGTTTTTGCCAAACAGCGTTAAAACCAGTAGTCAGCCAGGGGTGGTTGAGTACTAAATAATGTATATAAAAATGGGACCCAGTAGTCGGCCACTTCATTATTTAATAATTCTTAAGAAAAACATGATACTTTTCATTGATTACAATGCCAAAAGTCTTAATTAATGTAAATTTTAATACAATGTGGCCTAAAATTAACAAAAAAATGAAATAAATTACCATTTCTGTGAACGCTTCTCACTAATAAAAAAATGGCGCGCACGCCGCATGTCGCCTCGTCAGCCGATGACTTCGAAATAGATTCATATTTAATGTACTTCGCAGCCACGTAGCTATTATGTTTGGATTTAATTCTAGCAATGAGAAGTCATAGAAGCTATTTAAAATAATTTGATTAGGTATTTTCTGTTATAGCGCTATTCCTATTGGTTTTAAACCGAAAAAGGCTGAGTACTGGTGCGGGGCCGACTACTAGTGCCAGTACCCTACTCATGAATACAAATGTTTGTGCCGTGCGAGGAATAGAATCCGCGACCATCGATCGTAAAGCGGCGTGCTTAACCGCTAGACCACCGAGGTCGTCAATATATATTATAAGTTCTGTTATATGTTCATCAGATTGAACCTATCTCGGATAGTAGACATGTGTTTCATTTACTTGAAGTATAATAATCTCTCAGTATTCTCTTATCCAGATCAATGACTTAAACGGTTTACATAAGATACTGAAATCAGAAACAATATTGGAGCAGTTTTGGCACGGGTATTATCGGATCGACGGGCATATTTTGAGATAAAGGTCTCAATTTCGTTACACACTTCCATTTTAGGGCTGATCCTACAATGGAATCATTGTTTAGCCTATCAGTTTCACTGCCTAATTCAGATTAGGCAGACTAAATACGTATGTATAATAATAATCATCATCATGATCATCATCATCATCATCTTCATTTGTCTGAAACAAAAACTAATACAATTGTTGCCCGTAATGAAGGAGCAAAACGGTCTATAACTCAGAGAGGGCAGTGAGTTCACCCTCTCTGCTATTCTGTTATAGCCTTTACCAGTAAATTAATACAATAAGAGATCGACGACGACGATAGCACGTTACGTTCTAAACTACTACATCCTAACAAAGGAAACATAAAAATTTACAATAATTTAACAAGATAACAAAGTAATAAAATTGGACAATAATCACATCTTAATCTTGTGGAACGTTATACCCGTTATATCACTCATACGAGCAAGACTTTTCTGATAGGTGTCACATGAAATCCTGATATCCGTAGTGTAGCAGTCCATACAAACGATAACCGGTTACCATTAGTCATCAACTTGATTGCTTCTAGGAAAAATATTACACACACTTAAATAAGCGATAATTGTTGTTTCCATCCCTATTCCGATATTCCTCTGATTTTAGTGCCGTGTGTTAAGCATTGTATTATAACATCCATTTTGCTGATGTATGAATACATTAATATTTTACAATTTCTCTAATAGTTAACGAATTATTTATCATTTGGCAATTAGTTAAATAGGCTTAGGTACTTAGGCTGGTGCGTTAACCTAAAATAGGTAAGTATTTGTTATCATATTTCGTAATGATGTGATTTTCTTAACTACCACTTAGAAATGTAATGAGAGGTATAAATAATTATACTATACAATGTATTCATTATAATATATTAATTTATTTATTTTGTACAACCTGATGAGTTACTTCACAGTGCGAAAAAAATAGAAGGCAATTGATACCAAAGTCTCTAATTTTTTATACATACATTCTGCAGATAACTATTCTATTGCTAAATAATACTTCGAATAATAATATTAATGAATAAAAAAACCATTATGTAGATGTATTTAAAAAAAAAAACTAATCTCTTAAGTGTTTGGTATGCATCTATACAAATAAATAAATTTAAAGTATCTGTTAGTAACTTCAAATTAACAGCTTTTCACTAAATGCATGTGAAAGTAAATACGGAACTTAGATGCGGTATACTGAACATACAATAATTTAAAACTTTTTGTATGTCTCCCTGGCTGTTTTTTGTAATCTCTGAATGGGCTGGATCGATTATGACTGGACTTTCACACGCACTTTTAACTAATATTATAAGGAGTAAGTTAGGCTGCCTTTATTTAAAATAAATATTACATAAACGTGTTAAATTAACGGCTAACCTATGTGTTAACTTATATAATAATTTATGAGTGTAAGTGCGTACACTACACCATATATTAGGTTATATATTTTGTATTATTTATATTTTATTATTAATATATACTGCATATGAGATACTGCAGTATACTGGTGTCGCAAACATTAGCAGTCTTATCAAGATCTAATATATAATCCCTTACAAGTAAAGTTATAAGTTAAGTTGTTGAACAAGTAAACTGTATTTTATTGTTTATCTGTACTTACCTTATTTTTTTTCTGTTGAACTTGTGGCCCTCAAAATAACCTAAGTTTTAAGAATCTACTTACAAAACATTACCGTTAAGAACTTACAAGATGTGTAAAGTTTCTCCCTCTACGATCGTTGTGTTCGCTTGGGATCATTATAGTACAATAAAATCTTGCAATGTAATGTCTCAGTCAAGCGAAGAATTAAGCATCAGAGTGTGTCAAAACTTTACCTAGTGCTTGCTCAATAGTCGAAATTTGACCCTAACGAAAAATACAAGGACATTTTTGAACCAGCATTAAGAATTTTTATTATTGATTTAATGATAAAAGTACATTATGTTAAAAGCATATTAAATAAAAATAGCATTCTGCACTCCTTCTCTAAATAAAGTATAAGTGATGATAAATATTAAACATGTTTAACAGAATTTAACTTTCCAGATAAAATTTCAATTAATTTAATAATGAATGAACAATGGCTTGATAAAATTTTCAATTGTAGGTTATGGAAAATAGAGATTTTACTTAATAGATATATAATTTATTCCCATTTATCTCTTGACATTAGTTCAAGATTCCCATATTTTTGCAGTATAGGCAATTGAAGTAAGTTTCGTATTATAAAATTGTAGTACCAATAAAAGTTGTAAGTTAGAGTCTGTTTCTTTTATTTAATTGTATCGATTGAGTTCACACAATAAGAAAGTTAAAAATGTCAATCGAAGGAATATGGATATACATCATTAATATATATGAATATATATTATTATATATATGTTGACATTATATATGGAACATTTAAATTTTATTAAG